TTCGACCAGCATCGGAGTCATTCCTCAATAACTCCGATCTGGAAGCTAGCATTTTACACGACAATTTGCGCTTAGGTACAGTGGTCGAGAGGTTAAGACGCTGGATGCAGGTTCCAGTTCCCTTGTGGAGCGCAGGTTCGAACCCTGTCTGTGCCGAGTTTTTTCGTATGTGTGCTGCAAAAGGGTACTTTTTTTTTATTTTTGGAGCAATATCATACATCGGCTCAATTTTCGAGCCATCCCCTTTATCGCACCACACCTATTGCTATCGCAGTAGTCAATCATGTACGCGAGTGTTTGATGGCATTAGGAATTCCTGTGTCGCCACTTACTAACGCATTTAAGCATGTAAAGTTCAGTATTGATACTCAATATTACGGCGAAATCGACGTGAAGAACGTTAATCAACCTTGCTGTGGTCTTTAAATGACAGGTTGAGTAGAGCTGTCCACGTGACCCAGGAACTGCATTTTGGTGTGGTGTACTCACCAGCACTTTTTTCCCGATCGTCGAGTGAACAACAAATAACTTGCACTCATTATGGTACGTTTACTAAGAGGGTTGCAGACACAGAACCCACAGATGCCTCTCCCTCCGTCAATCCGAACGAATTGAATATTAACATTGTTAGTCTAGATCTGGGTACGTATACTTCGTTTCTTCCACGTGAATACAAACGACTAACATTATAGTGTTGCCGTTAACGACGAATGTCTCACGACTTACAATGACTTGAAGCTTGGTAAAAAGCACAGATACGTTATTTACAAGGTGTCTGACGACAAGACCCAAATTGTTGTCGAGGAAGCTGGCCCTTTGGACGATGGTACCCAAGCCGACTACGAAAAGTTTACTGAAAAGTTACCCGAAAACGAATGCAAGTACGCCGTTTACTTGTTTGAATACGATATCGGTAAGGGTGAAGGCTCCAGATCCAAGTTGGTGTTTTTCACTTGGACTCCCGATACTGCCCCTGTTAGATCTAAGATGATCTACGCTTCCTCTAAGGACGCCCTCAAGTTGGCTCTTAATGGTTTGTCTCTGGACATCCAAGGTACCGACTTTTCCGAGGTTTCGTACGAAACCGTCCTCGAAAAGGTCTCTAGAGGTGCTGGCTCTCATTGATAAATACTTGAATCAACTGAATCATGTCTTTGAATCCTATGCGTAGGCCTACCCACAATGATGTCAATAATTTCCATGAATGACTATAATTGCATGTCGAGCATTCCCTCAAATTACAGTTGCCATAATTTCAAAGAGTGGGATTGTAGCAATTTACTCTACTTAGATCTATATCAGCGGTGTACCCAGTAAATCCCGTATAGCATTGGCGAAATGCTCCGCATAGTTTACTTGAATCGCTTATGTGCGGGTCGAGGCATCAACACTCAACACGCGCACCCACACTACACCGGACCCCAACCATGGGGCGATTACCCCGAGCTACGCTCGAGCAAAAAATCGAGATTCTCGATTTTTACCATGCTCTGAAGAAGCCACAGGCCGATACAGTGGAGCATTGGCGCCACAAAGTTCTGATTCTGACTCTGTCTTTTAGCGAGTGGCTCAAGCACGAGAGCGAGCTTCGAGAACAATACAACGACTCCAGTGTTTACGTGAAGCGATCGCGAAGGAAAATCTGCTTCAAATACGACAAGATCAATGCCGCCATGGATGACGTGGTTCGGAAACGTCTTGCAATGGGCGATCCAATCAACGAGCCCATGCTTCGTGAATATTGGGCGTTATTTGCCCAAAAATATGGTGTTGATGATCCTAAGCGCCTGAAGGAGTACTCGCATGGATGGCTCAACCAATTCAAGAAGCGACATGGCTTGAATCGTAAAGTTATGAGTGGACGTGGTGACAAAAGTAAGAAGAAGAATGGAGAACAGCAGCAAACACAGGCGGAGACATCACAAGAAACGCATTCATTCGATAGTGGTTATAATATGGTCAGTCCACATCGTCATGACGAACCACTAAGACCGCTGCAAGGTTTTGAGATCGGCCCCTCAGTCCCCTCACAGAGATCTCAGCCACTACCTCAAATAAATTCTGGAGTGTTGCACCAAACGCAACTGGCGCTGCTACAAACGGCCATGCCTCCAGCAAATCAAGATTCCCAACCTGCCAGTCTGCAACCTAGTGCTGTTATTGCATCGCTGACACATCAACCTCCAAATTTACATCTGCTTCTGGGACAAGTTGGAAATGCTACACCTTCATCTGCACCAGCACAAAGCAATCAATTCAGACCTCAGCAAGGTCTTAATTTCGCAAATACTTTACTGTTTGCAACGCTGTTCCAACGTCAAGATCCGCGTCATGATCCGCGACATCAGTCTCGACATGAGACGAATCAAGAGCCACGACATGTGCCACGACACGAGACACAACTTGAGCATCATCAAGAATCTCGCCATGAGCTGAATCTGCCAGCAAGAACGGCGTCTCAACAACTGTTGGATTATCGACTACAACTTCGTGTCCAATACGAGAAAGAAAGAGAACAACAGCAACGGGAGCAGATAGATCAACGAGAACATCATGAGCAACGAGAACAACGAGAGCAACGAGAACAGCAAGAGCAACAGGATCAAAGAGAGCAGCGCGATCGAGTACAGCATGATCAGAGGGAACGAGAACGAGAACGAGAACGAGAGCGAGAGCGAGAACGAGAGAGAGAAAGAGAACGAGAACGAGAACGAGAACGAGAAAGAAAACGAGAACAAGATGAATCACAAAATGCTGAATCAAGACATCGCGTTTCATCTCCTACAGTTCAATCCTCAATTCCATATGTGCGACCTCGTCCTTCGCTGTTAGCGGCATTTTCGAGTCCATCTGTTCCACCACCGAGACCAGTACTGCCACCTCCTAACCTATTTGATATCGTTACCACACAACCGACCTCATCCTATGGTGTCTTGGAAACAGGCATGTCATCCAACGACATTGAGCGTTTTATTTACATGTTTGCTGATCGATTTTTTCAAGATCATCAATACGAGTATCCCCAAACTCTCAAGATCTTCCAGGACTTCAAAACTCTGTTTTACAATGAGAGAGTAATAAGTATGCGGTCGAAATATCATCAGAAGCTGCTGATCCCAATACCCGCCACTCAATCACATCAAACAAGGCAACAACTGTTTAGTTCCAATGCGGGACCACCGTTGCTCCAATACCAACAGCATCAACCGGGCATTCAACAGGGACAATCCCAGTATGACGAACTATACACTCGCACGCATCCGCTTGTGGCACCACAGTCTGCTCATTTTCACAAGCCGCCTCCTTTGGACAGAAATCGCCAAATGAGACCAGGCGGTGAATGATCCAATGCGTAAGAATATGACACATAGCTCAACCGGGGTAGCCCAATTCTTTCGAAGTCATAACTCGGTTAGAAATGCACGAAAAGACACAAAAGGTCTCTGCCATTAGCTCTAGGTTACATACTCATTACATCTCGATGTAGTCCAAATACAATTCCGTGTAACTAATCGAGTCTATCAGCTTCCCATTAATCTTGGGTTGCACGGGTAACTTATCGCGACACAACCGAAAGCTGCGCAAACATATGAGAAAGCACCGGAAGTCCAATGTCTCCGGCAGAGTTTATAATTCATACAACCACATCTTTGGTAAAAAGCCCGAAGACAATGAGGATCAGGAAAAGCAAACTCCACACGAGATAGTTGATTTGTTATTTGAAAAACTTTTGAGTGTGGTTGCTCCATTACCACTGGATTACGAGGATGCCCACACGAAACAATTGCTCGAACGAATTGAGGCACAAAAGTTGAAGATTCCATTGAGTTACCATGTACTTTCCACAAACCTGGTACTTCTCAATTCTAGGTTGAGTGGTGTGTTCAACATGATTGATTCAATAGCCCTCTTCCTTCGATGGCATAATCCGTTTTTGACAATAGGAGGACTGTTGGGGGTAACGCTTTTGATATTAAAACCAATACTAATTTGCATTACGCCGTTGTTCTTACTCGTCATCTATGTCTTAGTACCCCTGTACCTTCACATATACCCTCCAGATAACAATTGCGTTCGCAATGGGCTATTGCAGTACAATCCCATCCCTGCATCAATGCCTTTGGAGAAGTACCATATACCTACTCCAGTCCCTCAGTTTAGTCGTGAGTTTCTCGTGAATATGACTGACTTACAGAATAACCAATTGTATTTCGTTACTCTATGGGATGCAATGGTATGGCTTACAAGGGACTATCTATATTTCAAAGATGAGAATGTCAGCACTCTTTTGTTTATTGGAGCCTTTTTTGTATCAATATTGAGCTTGTACGTGGTACCTTACTGCTTTTTTTGGATGGTGGCGCATCCTTCTTTTGTCAAGCTGTGGATCCTTCTCATGTATTGGACCATAATTACTGGTATACACCCACACTTTCGATCGCGGATACTTCAATGGCTATGCAGTGAGGAGACACGCTTGCGATTTCAAGCTCGCACGAACCGAGTGGAACAGGTATTGGAGAACGTGTTGATCGCTCCTAACGCGGAGTTAAACCATGATGTTCGTCAAGTTGAGGTGTTTGAGATACAAGAATTGAACCGAGAAACGCGAACTTGGTCACCTTTGGGCTATTCAAATGTGTTTTTCACACATAACAGTAACTTGCGCCGACTTCATAAAAACCTTGCACAAGAAGAAAATTCTCAAGATGTCAGGGTCGACTTGGGATGTCAAACCAATTTAGAGTCGGTCCTACCACCGATCCACTGGGTGTTCATGGACGACAAATGGGTGCTTGATCTTGATGCCCAAGCTTGGGTTAATGAATACTTTGTGAATGACATGGTCTCTATTGATGATGGAGAAAAATGGGCCTACGACATCGAGATGCCCAATACGATGGTGTACCGAAGGCGAAGGTGGATCAGAACTGTGCGGCGACAAACGTGGGAAGATCGTCGGAAGCATCCTTAGAAAAGAAAACTAAGGGCGTTCCCTACTTCATGAATTCCATAAGATCGAGGCCATGCTGTTGTGTCTCTTGTTTCTTTTGCTCTAACAAGGCCCCTAGACCTCCTTTTCGCCTCTTTGCCCGTTGCTTAGCTTTAGATGTAGTCGTAGACGTCGTAATATTGCTTACGCCGCCCTTATTTCCGGCACTCAGGGTGACGCTTTCCATAGTTAGGTTTCTCTGACATACGGACTCATCGATAATCATATGGCGACAATTGCGGCATCGGACTTGTAGAGTTCTTTTCTTCTTAAAACGGATTCTAATAGTCACATTAAGTCCTGGCACAAGGAGTACACCACACTGATCACAAGTTTTCAAATTTAATGACAGCGGGTAAATAACGTTGTTCGTGGAATTATGCTCGGCCCAAATTCGCAGGTACTGTTGACTCAATTCCGAAGCAGTGGCGGCATGAACTACCCCAAATAGATGTATTGACTCAGATTGGTAAGACTCGAGGTCCGAAGTTTGTGTGAGCAGCATCGCGTGAAAGTGATGCCTAGGGTCATGAAAAGTTTGTTATGGGAACTTGCGAATGAGAAACAAAACTCTATTACACAACTCTTACAGAGCATACCGAGGTATTTCAATACATCTCCTAGAAGTGAATGTTTCAAGTAATGACGACTTGTTGATCACACGACTACTTAACTCGATAGTGATACCAAGTTTAAGCCGATTCGGTGTCTACGATAGCCAATCATAAATTTTCGAAAGTTGCTTACGTTCGAACCTGGCACTATGTGCAGGCCTCATGCACGATATAACTTTCAAAACCATTTTGGAATCACCGTTGGATGAATGACATGGTCAAGCTCGATGAGGACATGGTCAAATTGATAATCCCCAAAAACGTCCATGGCTCGAAAGTGCTAAAGACATGTGTGCGGTGTCGACAGCATAAAACAAAATGTGACGCTTTGATGACGAATCCTTTACCTTGCACTCGTTGTCGAAAGAAAAACGCTACATGTATGTTGGATACAATATCCAAACACTCACAAAGAACCTCGAATGATGTCATTGAAAGACTTACGAGCGATGTCATCGTTCTCAATGATTTGGTCGATCGACTAATTGAGCGCAAAAACACTATGCTTCAAATATTGTCGGAACAAAGCGAGACACGCACAAAATCTGTGGATAGACATGGCCAGACATCGGAAAATACGCCACCAATATCTCAAATCCAACTGGTTTTAGCTCTGCCGATACTGCTGCCTGAGTATGAACTACCAGACCCCGTCTCTCCGAGCTTCTTTTGCACACTGGCCAATAAGTCCACGTCGCAGTTTCTGCTATCATTAGATGAGGTACAAATGCTATTGAAGAACTATGAGACCAACTTCAATCGGTATCTCCCGATTCTTCCCGAGCACTTTTTTAACACCAACTCTTTCACTTTCCACCAAGAGAATGAGTTATTGTTCTGGAGTATAATGCTAACATCATATCTCAATAACCCTATACCAAACCTGGTGGGGAAATATCAGCATCTATCTCAGCATATCCAGCTGTTAGTTGTTGAGACATGCTGGTTACTGACACCTAGACTGGTGTTCACTATAGCAGCCTTGCTAGTACTCACAACTTGGCCACTTCCTAACAACAAGATGAAAATTTCTGACAATCTATCGGTCAAGTACATCTCGGTTATGCGGTCATTGGCTCTTCAATTTGGACTCCACAAGCTTGAGTTCATTCTGGAATTCAGTCACAAGACGAATGTAACCATACTGAAGGAGGAAAGTACGAACGACATTATTCGCGGGCGGATTTACAAGTTCATCAACATCAACTCGAATTACTGGCTTATATTTTTGGGTTTAAGTAACAACAACTACAATGGATTTACCCAGGACTATATTGTCAACAAAGCTTCAACATTAGACTTGAAAAAACCGAATAAGTCGAACCTGGACGTTGACTTGTATATCAACAAACTTTTGAAGATATCCATGATACAACTGAAGTTGAATGCCAATATGAACGACTTGATATGCAATAACGAAAAAGAAGTGAATTTTCTCCACCCATACCAAATCAACGCCCTGAGAATGATCAACATAAAAGCTTTTGAAGTGATTCTTCTGGACTTGTACCGAGACAGTGATCTCCCAGATAGTTGGCAGAGAATGCTTAATGTTTCGCTTGAGTATAGTCGACTTCAAGTTTTCATATATCTGCTAGCTCCATCAGAGCACATTACCTTGAGCGATTACAAGAATTTCATGATAAAAGCCATTCAAGCATGCTTTGGTATATTAGATGGAGTTTTTGAGCTGGATCTTTCATTTCAACAGCTCCCTATACATTATCGTTTTCCAGTTGAGCTTGCGGTGGAGACTTTGTTGCGGGTTTACAAGTCACCACTTCTCGACTCCATCAATGACTACCAGACAATCAAACAGAAATTTCAATCAGCCATCAAGTATATTATGGGGGAAACGAAATGGCTGTTTAATAACCAGCGTTTATCGACAATTTTACGCAAGTTCGATATGGTGGACAACAGATTCATTATGGCTAAGTCATTGTCGTTTTTTCTCATTCATAAAATGAAGAACTACTTGACACTGAGTTTGACCTATGAGATGATTTGGTTCATTTATGAGTATGAAAAGAAGCAGGACTCATGTTCGTACGATTCCATTGACTGGTCTTCGTACGGAATTTTGAGAGATTCAACAATCTACAATTTCATGTCGCGTAATGAATCAATATTTAACTAAAATGATCATCTGAATAAACTGAAATCTACGGCTCCTTTTTAAGCTCGCTTATCGACCCAATTTTGGTTAAGCTTCTTGTTTGCAACAAAAGGCTTCACGCCAACATAAGCAATAAGAATTACGACTATCGTTGCCACTAGCTTTTGCTTGTCAAAACGATATCCAAGTAAATCGAAAGAAGCCAGTGGCTGAGTCAACCCACAAAATATATTCTGCTCGTTAGCATAACAAAATACCAGTGAGGACTCATAATTTGTAGGCTTAATAACAAGTGAGTGGTTAGTTGTAATCACGTTCAAAGGAATCTTGTGATTAAGTACCAGGTAAGAATTTTTCGCAATGACCGGTTCGTATGGAGTCATACCATAGTCACCTAAAATATCCTCTTGTTTCAATTGGCGATTGTCAATGCGTCGACTGTTCAAAATGTATTTCGGAAGTTCCACAAGCTGACCAGTTGCAGTCACAATAATGATCAGTCTGAGTGTAATGCCGTATTTCGTAGTGGTCACCTCGAGGTCAAGGATTCTTTCAGGATAAATGAACAGTTTCGTACTGAAATGTTGAGGGGAAACGTCGAAAGTAAACTCCAGAATTTGTTCATTCTCCGATCTCAGGGAGCCCTTTTCTGAGTCGAAAAGATCAACGACCACAAGCCGCTGTTCAACTTTTGGCGCGATTACAGCATATGAGTAGATGACAAAATTGTCTTTGACAACAACTTTGACGGAGTTGAAGTCAACTTTGTCTTTCGTGTTTGTTTGAGTAAACAACAACTGGCCATTAACTCCATCTAATAAGAACAAAGACATACCTTCCTCACAGCCAGTTATCACGGCAACAACATTTGGATTCAAATACTTGTATAGAAGTCCGCGATCATGAGTGGGTATCCCAACTGTGGCCAGGGCAGCTCCAGAAGCATGCCCACTGACTTTGAGAACTTTGTGCCCTTCAATACCAAATTTCCAAGTTTTCGAATCACGTTTCACGCCCCACACTTCGGATTCATCGTGATCAACGTAGTAATACTCTGCAGTTGAATTACCATAAATTTGATATTTGTCGCCACGCTTAAACACCACTTCGTCGTATACTTGACGTGCATTGTCAAACTTGAACTCATTGTGGTCAATGAGTTCTCCTTCTGAGGTGAACGTCCAGATTTGATTTCTGGATGTGACCATGACATTTCCCTTGCTCACGTAGATACCGTCAGGCATGCTGTCTATAGTATAATGCCAAGCGGGTTTGCCGTCCATCGTAGATATAGCAGTTACCAGATTTGAATGGGAATTTATGTAAACCAACAACTTATCCATCCCTGATTCAATTGGGGTAAAAGCACCTTGACCCCCTCTTTGAAGCTGAGAGATAACAAATTCCCCGAGTTCAGTAAGATGGCGCTTCACCCGATGCACCCATCTACTTAGTAACAACAGACCTGAGGCATCCTCTAGCAAATCATGTTCCTTCTCAAGTGCAGCTTTGCTGGCTGCTCTATCTATAATAATGAATGCCCTTGCAAGTGACGAATTCAATTGAAAGTGGAAGATCATTTTACCCGTTTGAAGTAGGTAAGTACAAATCCTTCCTTCTTCATATACAATCATAACCGGACCGTACGACGACAGAGACACTCCGTAATGCGCATTTTTGGTATCAACCTCGCTGGGAAAATTGATGATCGTCTCTTTGATGGATGAAGGTTCGCCATCCAAAATGAAATCAGTGAGATCATAAACTTTGGCATTATCGCCCCGAAAATCAACTAAATACTCACTTAATTGATGTTCAACAATCAGTACATCACCCTGCGTCGCAATCACATTAACAACCTTACCTTTTTGATCATAGAACTTAGTAACCAGTTTAGCGATACCCACAGCATAATCACCCGTCCCCAAAATGGAATCGATCGCAAGCTTATGCTTATTTCCAACATGGTACCATAATTTATTCGTCAATAGTGACACCCCACGTCCATCAATAATCTCACCCTGAACAGAGACGTCCATGTTTTGGGAAATGTTGCCATTGTCATCAATGACATAACGTTTGCGTGAATCAACATAAAGTTGACCCAGACCATTCATATGCCAGAATGCGAGAGATTTCGCAGTATCTACTGGCAATTTGATAGCATTTCCGTCCTTAAGCACCCACGTAATCCCGCTACTGTCAAGGATCAAAACCTGGTTGTGGAAAAATTGAAGCAATTGTTTTGGTGAACCATTCAAGCGAAATTTGGCCGTCAAGACTCCATTCAGGGATTTGTACATGTATACATAGTCGGAATCAGGAGAGTATACATATAAGTCATTGAAATTGGCCGACAAAAACGTATGGGTGTTCTTTGAATCTCTGAATGGAGACTCCACTTGCCAATCAATGTAATTGTCATTCAGAACGTTGAGTCGAACGACCAGTGTCGAACTAGCCCCAATCATCCCACAATTGTCGACAAATGACATGGAATTCAAATGCCCAATACTTTGGAGAAACAATTCATTCACGAAAGCATTCTCCACCAATACAGCTGCTGCTATTGGTATGAGACTAAGCAAACGTGTTATCAACATGAACCCTTAGATATGAAAAATGCGCGTTGAGTGTTCAACTCGAAATAATGCTCTTATTTCTCGTAAAAGTGATGTCGACCGACCTCATGACCAAAATCTAGGATTGCCGTGAATTTGATACCAAGTTCAAATTATAGATTGTATTTCCTAGTTAAATATTGCAGTTCGTTCTGAGAATTCGCGGTCATGTGTGGATAAATCCTTTCATTACACATCTACAACCTTCTTGCCCAACACCAAATCGGTGAGGAATCAATGAGTGCCGATGAAATATCAGATGACGTTCGGATAACGGAAATTCAATCATTGCAACTGATTTTTGAAGGCGCTACACTTGATGAAGAGTCCTTGACAGGATTAATTAGTATTGAAATTAAGGAGAACTGGACAGTGACAGACGGTACATCCTCCCATGAAGTGACTTATTTTCCTCCTATACAAATGTCATTCACTTTGCCAGATGGATATCCAGACTCGAAGCCACCTGAAATTCATCTCTCGTGTCCTATCTTCACCGAGAGCCAACTTGAGCAATTTCATCACACCCTTGTTTCGATCTGGCAAGACTACAGGGATCAGATTATGTACAGTTGCGTTGATTATCTTCAGCACCAAGTTCAATACAAATTGGGTGAAGTACTTGATCGCCCGTTAAAGCTTACTTCCGATGAGTTTTATCAAGTAGTGGCATTCAACGATGCTGCTGAAAGAAAACGTTTCGAATCATCAGTATTCGAATGTGGTATATGTCAAGACAACCGTATTGGATTAAAATGTACCAAATTTGATTGCAGCCATGTATTTTGCAACCATTGCCTTAACGAGTATTTTACGTCGACAATTGAGGCGGGAGAGGTTGAAAAAGTACGCTGTCCCGACATGGATTGCACCAAAAAATGGACTGACTTGACAACGAAGGAACGAAATTTTGATGAGTTATTGAATTCCAATCTCGACATTCATGCTTTTGTGAATGATATTATCAAACCAGCCATACCATTGACAATGCTTTCGTCTATTTTGAACTCACCTAACGTGGTACACAGATATCAAAGTTTGCGCCGTAAACATCTTTACGAGATGATATCTAGACTCTTACCCAATGCATTGATTGAGTGTCCCCGAGTGGGCTGTGAAGAACAAATTTTGCGTCAAGATCGTAATGATCTTCTTGTTCAATGTCCGAAATGCAATTACGCGTTTTGCTTCAATTGCAGAAAGCTGTGGCATGCCAAATACGTCACATGTAAACCGGTTGAGGGTGGAAAATACGGTGTTCCCATTTCTGACATTGAAACGTATTTAATTTCCGAGAAGGACTCTCATGAACGCAAGGTTTTCCACTCTCGCTATGGGCACACAGTTATGCGAAGAGCTGTGAAGGAATATGAAATGGATCAACTTTTTACAAAGCTAATAGAGAACTCCCCTGACTGCTCCCAATGCCCGAGCTGTGAAATTGTGATACAGAAATCTGACGGTTGCAATTTGATGACTTGTGCCCACTGTGACACGAAATTTTGCTTTTTATGTGGGTTTATTACAGGTGCAAGTCATGATCATTTCGCAGATCCCACCTCGACTTGTTACAGAAAATTATTTCATGGGATGCCAGGTGTTGCAGATTTGGATGACACGTTGGACATTCATTGAGCAATGAAACTAATCTAAAGGACGGGCATATCTAAAGCATTCACGTATCATCCGGCGACGTCGGTATTCAATTTCAATTTGACCACCTTTGAGAGAGCCAGGTGTGTCGTAAAGCCAAGAATCCTGCTCAACGAAGACGGAAACATCCATCTCTCTTTCCCACAATGTATTCTTAGGAGTAAGGTCAATTTCCCAACGATTGGCAAGGCCAAAATCAAACTTCCAGCCATGTGGGGGGTGTACCTTTGCCAAAGTATCAACACCTCTCGGACGTCTTCCTTTGAGTCTAGAAGGATCTTTTCGCTCGTACAAATTGCTGCTGAAGCAAGCAAACTTCCATTCAGTTTCAAGTTCGCTTTTGCTTTGGAGTTCCCAGATTTCGACATATCTTATTTCTGGGGAATCATCGACAATAAGAAGCTCCCGCGTGTAAGCCAAGCGGTCCTTCGGCTCGGTTGACTCATTGTGGTTTATAGTAACCAGACTTGTTTTACTACTTTTCGCGCGTGCCTTCGCTTTTTGAAGCAGCTGAACGTGTTTCTTCATACTTGGATGACACATAATAATCCCAATCCATCCCAGCAGAATAAAAATGGCACGCCAAGGAATAAACTGGCCGAAAAATAACACAACGAAGGTCGCCCCAAACACACCATAGAATACTAAGGTAGATAATTTTTCATCACGAAACTGGAATGCATCTTGCCAATCATCATTCACCTTATCGAGAATGTGTGCTACATCGCTCGTCAAATTTTGAAAATCACGCATATTCATCATAAGCCCGACACCTTTGGCAATCTTTGAACGGTCGGAAGATGATGCCAGCGGTAGTTGAGGCTCAGCGAACTCCTCCTTCCCCAGTGGTATACTTTCTCGAGCATTTTTCATATCGCTGTTATTGGAAGATGTCACTTCATCAAGGTTAAGACGAGTTTTAAACTCAGATTTCTTCTTTTGTATACCGTCCTTCAGTTCATTTTGTTCCTCTTGCTCCATCTCGTCCCATTTATCCTCAATTATGCTCGTTTCATTCTCTTTGGGGTCGAGAATGAAGTTGAAAAGATTCAGTCCTCTTTTCTTGACTTTAATAATCGAAGGACTGTCCATTGGATGACGATAATAGAATGCCGGTATGATGAAAGCCGTTAATAACGTCAACAATGGGAATACAAACACCAAGTGAGGCCACACACATAAAGCAGTATAGAATAACAAGAAGCATATCGTTTTCGCGGGACGTCTCCATGCCAAGATGTGAAGTATACCATACTGAACCTTGAACAATGGCCCAAGTCTCTTGGAGATCTGTCGGAAGTTCCGAGCTATGATTCTGACGGAAAGAGCGGGTTGCTTCTTGCGATCGGGGTCATGAAGGCGTTGTTCAATTTCTCTTCGTTCTGGTGACAGCTCTTCGACACTCAGCGCCACCAAACGCTCGATGACACGGTCAACGAAGTGGCTCAGCATCACGAATTTGTCGTTCGTGTATCTGAGTGACGGTGGATTTTTTGAGTTTGTAGAAGTGGGGATTTCCCCATGTGATTAGTGTAGCACGATTACATAATATGCGTACCGAGAGAGCCCGCATACATTACTTCAGTCTTAACGAACTAGAAAGGTAATACCTATAATGTTTAATTGATACGTGAAGTATGTACACCAACAAGTGTTTTCATGGACCACCCAAGACTCATGAATTTACAACGAGGGGAAATTGACGTCGTTGACTTCGGGCTTCAGGGTGTTAGACTTGGAGTTCTTCTTGCCACCAGTCGACTTCTTACCACCCTTGAAAGACTTCGAGTCATCTCTGGACGATTGGTCAGCGAACACAGCGTCAAAATCCAAGAACTTCTTTTCCTTCTTAGCCTTTTGCTTAGTGGACTTGACAGCAGTAGCGGAAACGAATTCTTCCTGTTGCTTTTCGATCTTTTCAGCGTCGGTCCACTTTTCGGAACCTTCGTTGGCTTCTCTGATAGCCTTCAGACCTTCCAAACCAGATTGCTTAACCTTCAACTCTTCGAAGTACTCAGCAAGCGACTTGCCTTGAGGCTTAGGAGGGGCAGCAGGAGCGGCAGCGTCCTTTTCAATTTCGATTTCAGCGTCCTTGGCGCCTTCGACTTCACCTTCGGCTTGAGCCTTAGTGGATTCACCCCAACCTTGTCTGACCTTCTTCTTCGAGTCGTCGTTCTTTCTAGAGTGCTTGTCGAAAGGCTTCTTTTGGTGCTTAGAGGGAGTCGACGAAGGACCGCCCTTGGTACGGTTAGTGTTCTTGGTACGGGCAGCAGCTTCGTTGCCGGTAGGCTTCTTCTTGTTGTTACGAGCCTTAGCGGGATCAGCAGAGGGAGGAGGCACATCGGCCTTCTTCGACGAGGTACCCTTCTTCACAATTTCCTTGGGGTAAGATCCATCAACGACAGAGGAGTCCTCTACGTCGTTACCCAAAAGGGCGTACAAGTTCTAGGATAAGTTAGTATTGGCGAATCAGCACGAAAAATACCACTGTCAAAGACTTAAGGGAAAACCCATCAGCCCAATGACATCAATTATCATTGTGGTATGACCGGGACATGACACCAGTGGTGTCGTGATCCCCAAAGGCAACATACGATGTTGTCAAACAGCATGAGTGGTGAAAAAAAAACCCTTGGTCGCTGAAAATTTTTGTAGTGAGCACACACCTTACCCTAAAAATGCCTGCAGGTCAACGAGAAAGATGTGTACCTTGAGGTTTGCGAGAGAAGCGCGTTTAAATCAAGTTTCCCTTGATGTTTCATATTATGACATCAACAGTGTGGCTTTGTTCAAAATGTTTACTCTCACATTCTTGATATCGGATAGAGTGCCTAAAACCCTCTACATACTAACAGCGCGCAACTTAAGTCTAAATCCGTAATTGAAAAAGATAAACCTAGAGATGTTGGAAACCTTGTCAGGATAGGCCGTTACTTTTCTCTTTTGGACGGAGAATGCGGTTAAATGTCTTGTGCTGGTATGACTGAGCTATCTCGATAATTCAGTTGGCAGAAGACGTGACTACAAGATTTGAAATGAATACTCTTAGTAACCGGGAGATGCGATCCATCAAATGGAATCTCGACTCGAAAGCAACGTTACCGTCTTCCCTTCACAGAATGTGTGAAGTTTTACTTTGCAAAATAATAGGGGTACCGGCAACGCGTAGATCATGATGAACACATTCAATAGTCACTCCAACGTGGGTCTGTCCACGTCGATGGTGCTGTGTAAAAGCTGTTTCTTGGTAATACCACTTGGGGTGTGAACCCTAAGCACGTGACCATATCTGTCTGAGCGCGACCGGTAGCACTCACAGTTACAAAATTTTTCAATGGCACACATCCTTCAGTTAACGCAATATGTCTGACCAAGAAGTTTTGGTTTTGAGAGGTACTTTGGAAGGCCACAACGGCTGGGTCACTTCGTTGGCCACCACCCCTGCCCACCCCGACTTGCTTCTTTCGGGTTCGAGAGACAAGACCTTGATCACCTGGCAATTGACTGGTGGTGAAGAAAACTACGGTGTTCCCAAGAAGTCGTTCAAGGGCCACGAACACATCGTCCAAGACGTCACCATCTCCGCTGACGGTGCTTACGCTTTGTCGGCCTCGTGGGACAAGACTCTCAGATTGTGGGACCTTGAATCCGGCGAATGCACCAAGAGATTCGTCGGCCACACCGGTGACGTGTTGTCGGTGTCGATCGCCAAGAACTTGAGACAAATCGTCTCGGCCTCGAGAGACAAGACCGTCAAGGTCTGGAACACCATTGGTGAATGTATGGCCACCTTGCCCGGCCACTCCGACTGGGTCTCGGCCGTCAGAATCTCGCCCGCTGACAACGCCTCCACCGTTATCTCGGCTGGTTGGGACAAGACCGTTAAGGTAAGTTTATTCAATTTTCTGCCATGTGATGTTATACATATTTGCTACTTCAGACGATGGCTCGCCAGCCATCGAATGAGACATACCAATATCACCAAGATCTCTGATGGCATTTCTTCATAACGTTTATTTACTAACATTCTAGTCGTGGGACTTGACCAACTACAAGTGCAACGCTGACTTCATCGGCCACACCGGTTACATCTCGTGCATCACTTTGTCGCCCGATGGGTCGTTGTGCGCTTCTGCCGGCAAGGACGGTGTCATCATCTTGTGGGACTTGAACAACAACATCACCTTGTACACCTTGAACGCTAACGCTGAAGTCAGCGCCTTGGCTTTCTCGCCCAACAGATACTGGTTGGCTGCTGCCACCGCCTCGGGCATCAAGATCTTCAAGTTGCAAGAAAGAACCTTGTTGGACGAACTCAAGCCTGAGATTCCCACCGGCCCCAAGGCCAAGGACCCCGAAGCCATCTCGTTGGCTTGGTCTGCTGACGGTCAAAACTTGTTCGCCGGTTACACTGACAACAAGATCAGAGTCTGGCAAGTTATGACCTCGTCTGCTTAAGCGTCGATATTTTTAATAACATGTGACTAATTATTACGAATAAATTCGATTTCAAGCTTGTCGTACTATCGTTACTTATTTTTAATCTTCCATTTCTTCGTCATCGTCGTCTTCTTCAGCGAGTTTCCGCACCTCGGCTAACTTTTCAGCAGGAACGAATTGGTGTCTTTTCGTCTTCGAATCAATGAATGAAATCTCTAATTCATAATCTTTGTCCTTGTTGTCCTCATGAGCTTGACTGATAATCTTAGCAGCAGCTTTAATCGCTTCCTCAACGGTAATCGTTTCATAATCTAACTTTTCGAGTTCAGACTTCGCTGTTTGTCTTCCTTTGCCAGTACCAACTCCCAGGTAACCCCAAAATGTTCCCGATGGCTCGATCATGTAAAGGTGAGGACCATTGTCATCAACACCACCGACAATCAGCACCACACCAAATGGACGCACCGAGTTGTAGCACGTGTAATTCTGAACGTAGATTCCTACACGATCCATGAGGTGAGGAACCAGCACGGGAACCTTATAGATTTGCTTGAAGGATTGGGCTTCGTCTCTCCCGCGATTGACGAAGTGGCGACCATCCGGCAAAAGCCCCGAGTAAACGACACCAATATGACGGTCAATCGTCTGAATTCTTTTGTTTCTTCCAGGAACTAAAAGCTTGGAATTGATGATCTTCTCGACGGCAAGAACAACACCATCCGAGCACTTGATCCCGATACTGGTACCACCGTTCTCCACCGCCTTCATAGCGTACTCCACTTGGAAGTTACGTCCATCCGGTGAAAACACACTGTTAGACAAGTCATACCCCGTACCAATTGAAGTCTAATGGTTAATATACTGAGGATGTCAAAGAGACAGTGTCATAATTGCCCATCGCTGTTACTTACCATAGTGTTGATGAAGAGTCGCCACCCGCGCCGCGAAAATTGGATTACAGCTCTGGGTTTTGGAGCAAAAGATGATGTGCAGAACGAAGGTGATTACTGGTATTAAGAGGATTTTCGACAGACACAGTATATGGCAATACTGTCTGTAATGTAGACTTTCAAATCTAATTCGTTGCGTTAAGGAGCCGCATTCCAACAATGAGTGTGACTTCTACATTTGAAGTTTTTCACCATCTCGAACGATTGGCCATGACTGCCCAGCTTCCTTGGCCCCTACTAGGTGTGGTAATACCGGTCATCATTATAGCGTTTCTTGGCTACGGGTCACATTACATTCTATGGTATAATGAACCAAAAGAAGTGCAATGGTTGCATGAGCTTTGTTTACACACGATTTGGTTGACTTATGCGCTTGCCATTTTCACAGATCCTGGAGAGCCACCAAAAGATTTTCATCCCCAAAGAGGAGAATGGAAACGTTATTGTCAAAGCTGTAAGAGATTCAAGCCGCCGCGTACGCATCATTGTAAAACATGCAAACGATGTGTGCTTGCAATGGACCATCATTGTCCATGGACGTACAATTGTGTGGGGCACAACAATCTTCCTCAATTCCTTCGATTCCTTGTCGCCGTAATCGTCGGTACTAGTAATTTGGCGTATTTGTTGTGGGGAAGACTCAAAACAATTTATGACATGCGCAACGAGCCGGCCTATTTGACCAGCAAGTGGAACATATTTTGGGTTCTAATATTTACCCTCGTAAACATCGCTGTGCTAGCGTCCATTACCCTCTTGTATATTCGATGTTTGTTGAATGTGCTTGCAGGCAAGACCCAAATTGAGGTTTGGGAATGGGATCGTGTTGAGTCTCAATTACTTTCTGAGAGATTTTGGATTCAAGTTCGAAAAAACTATCGGAAGTTATATGGTAAAGAATTGCCTAAGCTTGAATCGTGCCGGTTCCCTCCAAAGCCCGATGACAACGACATAGTCCCCATCAATTTTACCATAGACGATTTGATTTTCCCTTACGACTATGGATATATCAAAAACGTGTACTACTCTTGTGGTGGTATGTGGACGTGGCTTTGGCCGTGGGGAGGGTCCCCCTTAAACGGTTGCCAGTGGCCTCGATCGGATAACTGCGAAGATGATCAATTGAATTTGCCGTGGCCACCTGATGGTGGACATCAAGATCACGTTGCAACAAATGATAAACTGGTCGAGTCTGTGGATTTGTCCATCCCTCAAAACGTTGCTCTTGTGAAAAAGCGGCTCGATCCTCGATTTTCAGCGTCTAGAAGAGTTTGGATTAATGATCAAGGAGAATCACTTCGTGACTATGGTGTGGACATGGATATCGAAGTATCGGACGAGGAGATCACTATATAGGTTGAATCGTCATATAGATGATGGTATTAGTACAAGTTTTGGTGAATTGAATGTGATTTCGCGGTATTTCCTGTTTCTTCAAGCTTACACAGTTTCGACATTCCGAGATTGCGTCTTCTACAAGATGCTTAAGATATGAGGCTTAATCGACGCCACAACAAATATATGAGAATGATTACCTGTACAGCCTGCACAATGCCTCGGGTATAAACACGAATGAAATATTAGAGACCGAACTGGATTGATTTCACTTAGCAATTGAATAATCCTGTTACAACTCCTTTGATTTTCACGCAATATGGCATACTTTTAGCGGCAGATTTGCCACCAGCATGCAGACGTTAGATTCATCACACGTAATCACGTGACATGTAGCAATAGGCTATGTTGAATAATGGTTAAAAAGGGATCGACTAAGCGGTTGGAAACGACAATTGAACATGTCTACTGAAACCCCCACCCTCAGATTGGGATCTACTGCCCCTGACTTTGAAGCCGACACTTCGAACGGCCCCATCAAGTTTCACGATTACATTGGCGACTCGTGGGCCATCTTGTTCTCCCACCCCGATGACTTCACCCCCGTGTGTACCACAGAACTTGGTGCTTTCGCCAAGTTGGAACCCGAGTTTTCCAAGCGCAACACCAAGCTCATTGGCTTGTCGGCTTCGTCTGCTGAAAAACACAGAGCTTGGGCCGTGGACATCGAAGACGTTACTGGTGCCAAGGTGGGTTTCCCCATTATTGCCGACCCCGAAAGAAAGATTGCTCACTTGTATGACATGATTGACTACCAAGACGCCACCAATTTGGACGACAAGGGTGTTCAGCTTACCATTAGATCGGTGTTTATCATCGACCCCCTGAAGAAGATCAGATTGATCATGGCTTACCCTGCGTCCACTGGTAGAAACTCTGCCGAAGTGATCCGGGTGTTGGACTCATTGCAATTGGGAGACAAGAACCGGATTACCACCCCGATCAACTGGGTCAGAGGCGACGACGTCATTGTTCACCCTTCGGTTTCCAATGAAGAGGCCAAGACTCTTTTCCCCAAGTTCCGCATTATCAAGCCCTACTTGAGAATGACCCCCTTGGAAGTGTCTGACCCTTGAATCAAATATTAATGTGTCATGAGTGAAGATTTTTAAACAAATTAGCATTTCGTAGAGTTCACGTACCCTTTTGCGCTAAATACAGAAGGACATTGACTTTTATACTTTAAAGAGTATAGTCAATCTACCGTGTGGTAAGCAGTCAAGAAAAACCAAGCTGGTCTTAATGCAAAATCTCAATTCAAAACGAACCCTACCTCAAAGAGGTTCGATATCTAATAATACAAACAGAATTATAATACAACGAGCGGCGAACTCGCACCAAACGTACTGATGATACGACAAGATGGTCACATCGATGCTCACATCGTGACATCTCCTTCGTCCATCCCGAAGTAATGCTCGTGCTCCTGTTCGTACTGTTGAGGAGGTGTATTGAGCTGATAGCCATCAACAACGTAGCCTTCAACCTCGTTCGAGGGAGACAACTGGAACTGACCAAACTGCTTCGCTTGGGGTGGCGGCAGCGGATTATGAGGGGGGCAAAAGGATTGCGGAGTCAGTGGAAAATATGAAATTTCCTGCGGTTCCATCTTCAACTCTGAAAAGTCCTTATCCTCAAAGCTGGTGATGGCATTACCGTCACTGTCTGTATATTGTCGAAGGATGCCCCAAGGTGTAACCTTGACGATGCCACCCTCAGGATGGTTGTAGATGGGCCACTCCAGGTCCTCCACCTGGCGTTCAATGTACATCCGACTTCTTTTCAGTTCCTCTCCATCTTCTCGTCTTCTTTTGCCGTTATCGCTTTGAGAGAAGGCTTCCATCATACCCTGGGGTAAAAAAGAAAAATCCACTCGTCAAGGGGATCTTCTCAGCGCGTCTTAGAAGTTTTCAGTGCAGGTTTCTCAAGTCATAGACGAGCTTTAGGACAGGGTTTCAAACCACGACCAGCCTCCAATTAATCCCCAAAGGAAAAAAGTCGTGCGAAGCCCAAATAAGGATATCCTACGGCCGGACAATCCCACAGTGATGTCATACAATAAGGTGAACAGCGGGGTAGTGTATGAAACTCAACACCAGATTTAATGCTGGAACATGCTTACCTCTACCACTTATTTTGCGCTGGTAGATAGATTCTGATATGCCACGACGTCAAGAGATCTCAAAAGAGGTAAACAAATGTGAACCCCCATAAACAAATGTGAACCTCACAACACAGAAGAAGTAACCTTCATCAGTTTCCACAACTCAGGGGAAAATAGACACCCACAAACGTTCGGTAACAGCCTCACACATAATTATGATCTTTTAAATATCAGTTATTGGAAAATCATACACTTATAAGATGAGTGAGTGAGTGGGTGAGTAAAAGGAATTTTTGGACCTGCAGGAGCAGCATCCCCGAAATCAACGACTCTCGAAGGTGAAAGTAAAATGCAAAACAAGCCAGGAAAAGCACTGCAAACAATATACTTCGATGTCTTAACATCCCATTCAAATACCATTATTGTTGTTTTGTTTTTCATCTATAACAGGACCGCACGTAGAAGAGGGATTGCAGAATGCGTCCGAGACAAATTGACGACGTTGTGGCAGTGGCAATCATTTCTCATGGGATGTGTTTGACATTGGTTTACGATTCTCCCATGTCTTATTTACGTACCCCGTTCACGTACCCCATCAAGCACTTAGTAGCATCTATGTCCTGCGTAGAGCCACCCGCGAATTATCCAATAGAAATACTTTTCATTCAAAACGCTACACTGTTCAAACCCAAATGTTGAGAGCAAGATCCGTGTTGTCAGCCAGAAGCTTGCCTCGGGTTGCTTCGTTTGTCTCATCGACTAGACAATTTTCTTCAACCGTTGGTGTCAAGGCTGCATCTGAGTCCAATGAACGTCCTCAATTCCAGCTGGCTATGGGTCCCACTCAGCGTTACTCCAACTACGACGCGGGTACTTTTGGCAAGACTACTTTCTCCGAGGTCTTCGATGACGCTGACATGACATTGTAAGTATCTACCGTTCTCAAATTGTCCATCAACCCGTTTACTAACTAAATATAGCTCCAAGTACGACAATCCCAAGAATGTGGAAAAGCAAGGTACCAAAGTCAGACCTTTCACTATCAACTTCGGTCCCCAACATCCTGCTGCTCACGGTGTGTTGCGGTTGATCTTGGAACTTCATGGCGAAGAAATCATTCGTGCCGACCCTCATGTTGGTCTTTTGCACAGAGGTACTGAAAAGTTGATCGAAACTAAAACCTACATGCAAGCCCTTCCTTACTTTGACCGTTTAGACTACGTTTCTATGATGACCAACGAATTAGTCTTTGCCCTTGCAGTTGAAAAATTGTTGAACGTCGAAGTTCCTCTCAGAGCCAAGTACATTCGTACCTTGTTTGGTGAAATTACTCGTATCCTTAACCACTGCATGTCTGTTTTGTCGCACATTATGGACGTTGGTGGTTTAACGCCTTTCCTTTGGGGTTTCGAAGAGAGAGAAAAATTGATGGAATTTTACGAAAGAGTGTCGGGTGCTCGTTTGCACAGTGCTTATGTTAGACCAGGTGGGGTTTCTCAAGATATCCCTTCGGGTTTGCTTGACGACATTTACCAATGGGCTACTCAATTCGGTGACAGAATTGATGAAGTTGAAGAATTGGTCACCGATAACCGTATCTGGAAGGACAGAACTATCGGTGTTGGTGTCGTCACTGCCGAAGATGCATTGAACTATTCGTTGTCAGGGGTGATGTTGAGAGGGTCTGGCATTCCTTTTGATATCAGAAAGTCGCAACCTTACGACGCTTACGACTTGGTTGACTTTGATGTCGCTGTCGGTCAAAACGGTGATTGCTACGATCGTTATCTTATCAGAATGGTCGAATTCCGCCAATCCTTGAGAATTATCCACCAGTGCATCAACGACATGCCTGAAGGTGCTGTGAAGGTTGAGGATTACAAGATTTCACCTCCCCCCAGAGGCTTCATGAAGGAAGATATGGAAGCTCTCATCCACCACTTCTTGTTGTTCACTAAGGGTTATGCTGTTCCTCAAGGGGAAACTTACACTGCGATTGAAGCTCCCAAGGGTGAGATGGGTGTTTATGTGGTTTCTGACGGCTCTGAAAGACCTTATAGATGCAAGATCAGAGCCCCTGGTTTTGCTCACTTGGGTGCCTTTGACCATATCGCCAGAGGGAATTTGTTGGCTGACGCGGTAGCCATCATCGGTACTATGGACTTGGTGTTTGGGGAAGTTGACCGTTAATGCATTTATAATACAATATAGAAAATTCAGATTACGAATCGTGGATGAACCTTGTCGATATTTATCGAATTCATACATTGTGAAAATTAGATTATGCGAAAGTCATACAATACGAGAGTATAAGGCATTCCACAGAAGGTTCATTTGCTTAGACCCAATTCACGGGCGACTTCAACACTTGCACCAATTTGTCTTCTTCCAGACCTGGTTCGGGGTGGTGGTCATACACCCAACTAGCTGTAGCCGGCAAAGACATAAGAATCGATTCTACTCGCGAACCAGGTGTTTGCAAACCAAACTGCGTCCCGCGATCCAATACGAGATTGAATTCGACGTAACGACCACGTCTAATTTGTTGCCATTGCTTCTGCTCCTCGGTGAAGGGAGTGTTCATACGCTTCTCAACAAGGGGTATATACGCCGGTAAGAATGCGTCAAAACACAGCTCAATGATGTGTAGAATTTCATCAGCCGGCTTAGTGTCGAAATCGTCAAAGAAAATCCCTCCAATCCCTCTAGTTTCTCCGCGGTGCTTGATGAAGAAATACTCGTCACACCACTTTTTGTAGGCAGGGTAAAGAGTGGTGTCGTATTTGTCCAAGGCAAGCTTGTGTTGAAGATGGAAATTCTTTGCGTCTTCCTCATACAAGTATGAGGGTGTCAAGTCAGCTCCACCACCGAACCACCAAGCGGTGATTTCCTTAGTTTTTGGGTCAGACGTTTCAAAGTAGCGGTAGTTCAAATGAGTAGTTGGAGCATGCGGATTTGTGGGGTGTATGACAAGCGAAAGCCCACAAGCAAAAAAGTCTACCAGACCATCCTCTGAGCCTTTAAGATTGCGGTGATCAGCCTTCATTCTGTTAACAGCCTGAGGGGGCAATTTACCGTGCACCACAGAGATGTTGACCCCCCCCTTCTCAAACGTCTTACCGTCTTGCAATACCATCAGTTGGCCCCCACCTCCGTCATTGCCTCTCACCCAAGTATCAGTTCTAAATTCTGCAGTGTCGAGGGCAGCTATAGCTTCAGTGATTTGTTTTTGCTTCAACCGGACCAATGCTTCCATCCGATGACGGATGGGAATGCTGGTATCATGTATCAGTTCGGGGCCACAAGCAGTCTTCATGGTTGACATGTGTGATTTTTCAACCTGTTGCCAGCCTACGCAAATACCGCTCCCATCTGTGCGAGTTTATATGCAAAATTTTGATGCAGTTTTTCATTGTAGCGCGCGATTAATGGGGTGAGAATGAACGTGTCGTATGATTTGAACATGAGTGCTTTATGCTAATGGTACGTCGTAAAATCTTTTGCCAATCAAATTAGCCGCTATACCAACCATAATGGTATCGTGCTAAAGGATGTATCTATGACTATGCGGGTCGTCTTATGCTGATGAACGTGTTGGAGTTCCACGTTCCGGCTGCCATCCATTTCTTCCTCTAAGGAGGATGGTTCAACCCATAAGAGCATGCCAGAGGAAGTAGAAACCACCGGTAGCACCGCCAAACATGAGAAGTTTTGGCATTATTTTTGAGTCATTTTGAGGTGGCCGGTGAGATTGAAACATGTGGGGATTCGTTTGAAAGCTGCCGTTCTCACGTGGCTTCGGGATTACCGATTCTGTGCCATTAGCTTGCATCGTTCTCACATGATGTAGTAAGTACTTAATAGCCATCTCTTCATCAAGAGCTTTGCCATCCGTGGAGATCGTTTGCAATAGCCGTTTTTGCTCTTCCGCTGATAAAGCTTTATCGATAATGCGTTTTTCGAATTTGAGATTGTTCTTAAGATGGGTATCATAATCGAAATGTGGAACGTCATAACGATCGCTATAATCTGTCCGACTTCCATGAAATGTAGAATTGTTCACATCGCGTTGGGAGTTATGATATCGGATTTTATGACGTTTGGTGTTGAGTCCAGAGCTCGAATAGCTATATCCACTTTTGGAATAGTATTTAGCTTCGCCATAATATTTGTTATTCCATTCTCGTTTGGCGTGGTTTGCAATCTGAACACCTGCGACTCTTAATTGGGAGTCGTACAGTTTTTTCTTTTTGATATCTTTGAGAGTATCGTAGGCCGTCACCATCTCCAAGTATTTGGAAGCATTTTCTTCCTTCTCATCTTCACTTAAGTGCCCATTCAAATCAGGATGATGCTTTTTTGAAAGTTGTTTGAACTTGACTTTGATTTCCTTGATTGTGGCATTTGTAGGGAGGTCGAGAATTTGATAATAGTTAGGTTGTGAGGTAGAATATCTCCGAGCTATACTTCTCAAGCCGGGACAAAGCATTTCTCAAGGTAATCCACCCCTTATCAACGGAAGTGCGCCCCTTTTAGTAGATGTCTGTGCGTTCACTGGTGAAATGTAGTTACAGTGCGAAGTCAGCTGTCAGTGCCTACGATAATGACGCGCTTTTATGTAGATTAAAATGAACCACCAAAGAATTCAAAATTCTGTATTTAGCTTAAATTTTGAATGCATTTGGATAAAAAATAGCAGGTTGACACGAGCACATCTTGGCGACTTGCCTTGGGGTAATCTGGCATGATTGAATCGACTCATCAGCGAGAACCATGTATGCAGACTTCGGCGAGTACACTAGCCAGTGGTGATCACGGACTTGACCCAATACGATTGCTGGCTCACCGGTTGATATCACTTCAACACTCCTTGCTTGATCGACAGGAATAACATGGTGGGTTTTATTAAGATTGGCAGCAACTGTTGTTAAATCGACGTTGAAGTTGGGCAGTTTATAAATTTTCAATGATTCGATCGACTTGAAGTACTGCAAAAGTAGTTGAGATGTTTCTTCCAGCATTGTTCGATGAATCACCGGTAAATATATAGCAAAATTGCCGAACATACTCAAGTACTCCTGAAGCTTGGAATGTCGTTGAAATAAGGCGATACCTGTTTCCTGAACGTGAGTTGATTTTATCAATTTCAACACGTATTGAGAAAACCTCACTTCCAAGTTCAGTGATTGAGCCAGCTGCACAACGGAATATATTGACTCCTGCGCTACTGGTTGAAGATATGACTGGATCTGTTGGGTTCCTAGTGATAGACTCGTTTGTAGATATCGAAAAACTTCTTCCTGTGTGAAAGCCTCAACCCTATAGTACGGTCCATTTGAAGTTGCCCGTGATCGAGGTCGCAAGTAGAAATACCCTCCACCAACCTTTAAAAATATCCCCACTAAGTTGGCTTCAAACGAAAATGGCTCAGAATGTATTGCCATCGAAATACCTTCGAAAAAGCGTAGCAATTGTTCACGAACAATTGCCAACGCTAACTCAGGTGCAGCTGGCGCATGCCCTTCATAGACTTTCAGCAAACAATACCTGTCAACTTCTTCAAAAGTATCAGTTGAAGTATTACAAAAGACTTCTTTTACAACAACTTTAATTGCTCGAAGCACAATTTGTAGATATATGGTCTCCAGTGGAAAATGAAGAATGCCCTTTGACCCCATAACATATGGAAACATATGTTTGATGTATACGTTCTCATGAAGACTTTCAGACACTTTGGGCACGATCTTGGCTTTATAATAATTCTTGTTGAAGATCATGTCAAGACCATGCCATAGGCTGAGCGCCAGCCCTTCACGGAGCAATGCTACGCCCCTTTCCATGCTCAAAGCCTGAATCATCAGTTCTAAGTAACCATGCCTTATCACCGAGTCTGGGGGGCGTGACCATGGATCAGACAGATAAAACAAGTCCAATAGCAAGGGAAGGTCTTGTGGAGAGAGTTGGGATATGAGTGCCAATGATGGTGTGTCGAGCTGTTTCATTATCCAAAACTTCCGATGAGACAGCTCTAAGATTTGCTCAAGTCCAGTTGTCTGTGGATTCAAATGGAAGCGGGACCATGTTAATCCCCAACATCGACGGCAAACAGTATCCCAATGTGAAGCCAATATCCGCTCTAGTTGCTTGCAAACTGACCGTAGTCTCAAAAGGTCGCCATATTCGAGATATATGGCAAGGTGGAAGAAAATATCATCTGGGAGCTCAGTTATCATCCAGTCGCATCGAATGCGCACACTTACTTCATCATAGTACGATGGGTAAGAGATCGAGTGAAGCTGATCACGGCAACAAGAAAAAGTTCCGAGTTGCTCATGGGGTGATTGAGCCAGGGTATTCTGGAGTCTATGCTACCTGCCTCAAAAATAAGGAGGGTCAGTGTCGTAAAGAGTTGCTAGCACTTTTTCAAGAGAAAGCTGAAGAGTATTTCGACATGTCTCAAGTGGAAGGGGAAGGGGAGGACGATGACGACGAGAGTCTTTCAATCGAAGACAAAATCAAAAGGGAAGTCAATGAACTCAATCAGACAACTACTGTTACCAAGAAGGAACCGTTGAAACCGATTAACTTGGATTGCATGTGTCTTGTTTTCATCAAAACTAGAAAACCAATTGACCCCGAGCGATTAGTTTACGGCATTGTCAAAGAGCTTGCGGAGACCAAGGTCAAACGCACTCGAGTTACTAATAAGTTACTTCCAGTCACATACACCGTTTCGGCGTCAATTGACCAGTTAAAATTGCTTGCCGAGAAAGTTTTGAAACCTCACTTCCATTCAGGAGAAGACCAAAAGCCTGTCAAGTATGCCATCCAGGTTGACCGGCGAAATTTCAATACAATCGCCCGTGAAGATGTCATCAAGACTGTAGCTAGTTGTATTGACAAAGCAACATATGGACATGAAGTGGAATTGAAGAAATACGAAAAACTTATTTTGGTAAATTGCTACAAAAACAGCATAGGAATGTCTGTTGTTGACGATTGGTTGAAGTATGACAAGTATAACTTGCAACAAATCTACGAAAAAGGTTTGGATATGTCTCAAGATTCCAGTCGAGTTAGTTCAGAACCGGCGAAGCTGAAGTGATATGCAAATGAAGTCATGCTGTCAATGCTTCGTTTTGGCGCCGTCTTCGCAAAAATAGACAATATATAAGGAACACTATCTTTGAGAGTTGGGTAATTTCAAAGAACCACTCTCAAAAGAACAACAGTTCCACGATTCATTGCATTCCATAAAACTTTTCATAACACCTGTACTCGGTCTTCAAATTGAACAGGGTGCAACCAGGAGAGCCAATCGGCTTCCGAGTGAGGGATAAGCCCCATCTTGAACAACTTATATATACCGATCGTCATGCTGGCTAGTTGACAAATAATGAAAACAAACTTGAGCATTAGCAGCGTGCCTTGGTCTTGTGGTTCCAAACCCTTGAACACTCGATTGGTTTCCGTGAATATCGCTTTGAGTGGATTCAAAAGCATCATAAACGTCATCGAGATAGGAATGATTTGCAATGAGTTACCCGTCATATAACCCATAATCAAATTCATTGGTATCGATTTGGCAGGTCCCATGGCCACTTCCCAAGCCTTCTTTGCTTTGAGCGAATTAAGATCAGTCTCGCTTAGGGGCTTTTTCGGTGTCATCTTTTTGGAAGTTCCCAAAAATCCCAACGGCGAAACATCGCTTTTGAATTGCTTGCGTTCAACCGTGGACAATGTTAGACTGTCTACCATGGTGACTTGGTTGATAAATAATGGATGGTTAAGTTGAGCGCGGGTTATGGTTATGAACTGTGGCAATATGGGAAATTATCCTAAATGCGGGTGTCCACTACAACCACATCCACGACCACCCTCCGGTTCCCGTACAAGTGCTACAATGAATTTCGCTGAGTATCGAGGGAATCCATTGAACAGAATCATTCTACTTCTGGTGGTTCTCTCAATGGGATTCTTGCTTGTGATTCTCGCTGGTATTAATGGCAATTGGATGCCGATCGTCAATGGCATTCTTTTCGGATTAAGCCCGTTACCCAGCTTGATATTACGAGACAGAGTGGGTGATCATGACTTCAGTTTTGATCCCACAACACTGTCTAATTTCAGTGCTATCAAAGAGTTCGCCGAGTTCACACTGGGTGTTTTAATCACTTCTTCTTTAGCCATGCCATTGGTCCTTTACCACTCCGGGTTGCTAACAAAAACGCTGATGTGGTTGACGGAGATTGGAGGTGGCCTAATCTATCTTACGGTGTACACATTTGGTTACTACTTTGATGAGCCGGAAGGCGCGGACGACGTCATTTGAAGTATAGCCACGATAAAGTTTATATAAATGACATGCATATTGTTAAATTCGTGTGCAAATTAACATAGGTAAACTTCAATGTATAACACGACTCTCGGACAATAAACAATGTCTCCTCTTTTAGTTGAATCGTTTAAGGCGTTATCCGACATCCTAATTACACACTTTCTCTCAGCATGTGTCGTTATCACCCCTGGACAATGGATGCCTGACGTTCCGCGAAGTTAAGCACCAATGACACTGGTCTTATATAGCAAGTAATCAACGACCAAGTGAGTCTTGAAAAGATTGGGGACAACGACATATAGGAGTACCTCGAGACTGTGCAAACCCTGACTACTGTTTTGTGGTCTCGGATCTAAAAACAACCAAAAGGACTTAGGATCAGTCGTGAGTGAATTGTTTGTTACTCGGGTCCGACACCTCCGTGCTCAGGAAAAAACTCCGCAACCGAAAGAGTATATAAACTAGTCTGCGCTGCGCGTTTCAGTTGATACATAATCGAATATAGATGTTTCGTGCTGGAGCTTCAAGAGGGATTCGTTCCTCAATTCTAGCGGGGAATGTGCGGTTTGCTTCAACCACTGCGACTGTTACCAAGCCTAGCGTGTTGCTGCGTGTTTGGAGTTTCACAAAAAAGGCCACTTTGATTGGTTTAGTTGGTGGCACTGCTTACATTGGATACAAGATTTACGATGAATCTCACCCAGGGCCCCAACTTCCTCAAACTACCACCTTTCCCAATGGTGAACCCAAGAAGACTTTGGTTATCTTGGGTACTGGGTGGGGTTCAGTTTCCTTACTTAAAAATTTGGACACCTCGAAGTACAACGTGGTCGTTGTCTCCCCAAGAAACTACTTCTTGTTCACTCCTTTGTTACCGTCTATCCCCACTGGCACACTCGACACTAAGCTGATTATTGAACCCGTTAGATCTATCACTCGGAAACTCAAAGGTGAGGTGATTTACCTTGAAGCTGAGGCAACTGATGTTGATGTCAAATCTAAAACTATTACCTTGAAGCAGTCTACCACGGTTCACTCTGGTCATTCTGGTGAGGATTCCGGTGCTTTCAAGTCTGTGATTTCGGAGAAGACTGGGGTTGAGGAAATCATTACTAAGCTTCAATACGACTATCTTGTTGTTGGTGTTGGTGCCCAACCTTCGACTTTCGGTATTCCCGGTGTGGCCGAGAATTCCACCTTCCTCAAGGAAGTTTCTGATTCGACCACCATTCGTCGCCGCATCATGGATCAAATCGAAGCTGCCAACATGTTGCCTGTTAATGACCCTGAGCGCAAGCGGTTATTGTCGGTAGTTGTTTGTGGTGGTGGGCCTACTGGCGTCGAAACCGCTGGCGAAATCCAAGATTATATCGATCAGGACATCAAGAAATGGATGCCTACTATTGCCCTGGAAATGTCTGTTACCTTGATTGAGGCTCAACCTCATGTGTTGTCTTCGTTTAACCCCAAGCTTGTTGAGTATACTTCCGAAGTTTTTGAGCAAACTAACATCAACTTGAAATGTAGCAGCATGGTTAAAGCTGTTGATCAAACCACGGTTACTGCGCAACACAAGAATAAGGATGGCACGACGTCAGTACTCAAGGTCCCTTACGGTATTTTGATTTGGGCCACTGGCAATGCTCCCCGACCTATCGTACGCAATCTTTGGGCTCAAATTAATGAGCAAAAAACCGCCAAGCGTGGTTTGCTCGTTGACGACTCCTTGTTGGTCGATGGTACAACTGATATCTATGCCTTGGGTGACTGTACTTTCACGAAGTACGCTCCAACTGCTCAAGTAGCTTTCCAAGAGGGTCAATTTTTGGCCAAGCATTTCGATCGCCTCCAAAAGATTGACAGTTTGCGTTGGCGTATTGCTCATCCCAGCGTCAACGACAATGTGGACCGCTTGAAGGCGAAGCTCGAAAAGATTGAGAGTAAGCCTTCCAAATTTGAATACCACAACCATGGTGCTCTTGCTTACATCGGTTCCGAAAAGGCTGTGGCCGACATTATGGTCGCCGACTTTAGCAATATTCAAACTGGTGGTTCATTCACGTTCTACTTGTGGAGATCTGCGTATATCTACATGTGTTTGAGCATTGAGAACCAAGTCTCCATCATCCTTGACTGGGCGAAAGTTTGGTTGTTCGGAAGATCTGTGTCTTCTGAATAAATTATGAGGTGTACATCCACTTAAGTTATATCAATTTAATAAATGAAAGTCAATAAGAGATTAAAAATTCGCTTTCCAACTCTTTTCAGTATGGGGACAAAAACAGAAGATCATTAGGCATAAGTAGTTATATCGGAAATACCAATACGTTTCTATATTGGGATTGTCCTGGTTTGTGACGTCTTTTCGTCACTTGTGTATGGCTCCGCCCCACAATGGTTTGATACCAAGCTCATCCTCCATAAACTTGCTTGGGTTTTCGTTCCGCTTAACAAAATCCAAGAGCGTTGCTGCAATGTGTCTCGGAAGATCCTCATGCACAAAGTGACCAGTTTCATTGGAATTATTAAAAGCAACCATCTGAAATTTACCTTGCATCTGGCCAATCATTAATTGCTTGTCGAGGGTTTCATGTGTTGAGAGTACTAGCAATTTGGGGCCTTGGAAATTGACAAAATTCGAAGATAGATTTTCGAACCATGTCGACCAATACGGTTGCGTATGAGCGAGGTCAGTTTTCCAAGTAAGCTTGTCAGGAATCAATAAGTCAGGTACCGAGAGGCGCGCCAGCTCAATGTTGTGTAAGAGGTTCTCCATATGCCAGTGGATCGCCTGAGTGATAGAGGAGAAATGTTTCGGCCGATTGTGCACGAATTGTGGCATACTGGTTAAGGACTTGATCGCAACCTCCTCAACTATGTCTAATAAAACCAAACCCTTTAATTGCCGATCAGTCGTAGTCGCTCCATATCTAGCAGCCACAGCACCCCCAAGCAGGTGACCCACAAGATATAGTGAGTTATTAGTATTAGCTTTCACAAAACTAATGACATCCAGAAAGTCGGCTACCAAAGTGTTTAATGAATAATCTCCACTTGGGTTAGGCGACATTCCATGCCCTCGCATGTCATAGACGACCACACCAACGTCGGGACATTTGGTGATAAGCTCCTCTGTCGCCTTTGCAAACGTCATTGAAGAAGAGCCTGCTCCATGATTCATGACGTATACAGGGGATGTTGATTTACTAGGCCAGCGACAATACACTTGGATGTCGTTGACTTTAATCAGCGTAAATTGAGACTCTTTGAACAGATGGTATTGCTTCCATATCTCATCAGCGTTGTCGAAAACCGCAGGTGCCGGTTCTGGAACTGACGTTAGATTTCCATTTTCAAGTTTGAGGTTTTCGTCAGCGACCAATTCCGACAACGACGGTAGTTGATTATTGTCAACAATATCCTTTCGCTTTTGCTTCATTAGTCCACGAGCTAACAGCGACATTAGGGCTTAGTGCACAGATGTTGTCAGCACAGCTTTAAATTTATCGTGACGTTTCTTTGTTTCAATCAAATTGACGTATATTGCCTCACTGGAAAATTAGGCTGCGAGCGCATTGCAGAGATGGACTTGACGAAAGAGTTCAAACATATGGCTGCGGCTCTATTCGTTGCCTATAAAGCCTTATTATTCGGAGAGACACCCGTGGCTTGTTTGGTTGTTGACAATTGCAACGATGCGATCTTACTGATTGGATACAATTATACCAATGTGTCTCTCAACGGCACCCGCCACGCCGAGTTTCTTGCTTTGGAAAGACTAGTTGATGATGGATATGACTTATCAAAGTGTACCTTATATGTAACGGTTGAGCCGTGTATCATGTGTGCTTCTTACCTTCGCCAAATTGGGATAGGTCGAGTAGTGTATGGTGCTGGCAATGACAGATTTGGTGGTAATGGAACGGTGGTTCTGGTCAATTCAAATGGACATCTACCCAAGCAGGCTTACCCCAGTTATGGCGGAATTTGTCGAACGGAAGGGATTCAGTTACTCCGAAATTTTTACATTCAAGAAAATGACCTGGCACCAACGCCTCAAGTCAAGAAAAACAAAGATATCGACTCCAAAGATCTTCCCGATAGTAATGTGGTTTACGACGAAGCGGCCTTTAATGACTTCTATGGAGTTGAGCGTCAATTTCTTTTGGAGGATCGTACCTGTGAGATAACCCCACTTATTGGCCAGGGCTATCGTCTTATTGACCTATTCCTGTTGAGCGATGCCTTGAACATACCTTTTTTGCAGAAAGAGCTAGGTAGGATCTCGCAAGATCAATTAGATAATTTTTACGAGCTCTTTAGGAGCGTTGATGGCGAGGGTAGAGTGATTATGGAGACTTCAGTTAAGGTTTATCACTCCAAGAAGCGACCTCACGAGGATTGAGTTGTTGCTCATAGATTATGCAATTCATTAACAACGTGGTTTGATGCATGTTTCAACACACTTCAATGTGTGTGTGGAGGAGTGAAAAAGGGGGAAGAAGGTGGGAGGAGGGGCGGTCGAGTATATTTAAACTATCGTCTTAGTCCAAAAACTAAAAATCGAATTCTACCATGGGTTTCGATGTTGCTGCCACCAATGAAATCTCAGATTGTTATGCTAGTGCAATCTCGCTAGTTTACCCTTATTGTGATTCGATCACTAATTTACCACCATTGGTACGCAAGCTTGCAACTGTGCAGCTTGTTATTTGTGAATTGAATGAAAGCACAGTTACTACCCCCCCATCATGTGTTGGTGTTACCGAAGCAACCTTATCTTCTTGTATTCAAGCTCTCGAAAGAAGTCCTCAGTGGTGGACTACATACACCAGTTACTTCAAACACATCAACGAAGTTTGTTATCAGTATCTGCTCCCAATTGAGCTGAAGCTTTTATTTGACCAATATCGTGACAGCTTCTCGAATTTAACAACGTTGGTTCAGGACATTGGGCACAACTTGAATCTTGTTGTCAGATCGCATCGTTTAAAGTCAAAAGAGATTGTGGATTGGACAGTCAATGAACTTTCTGATCAATACCATAGTGTATTGACAACGTTTCCCCAGATTTTGACCGATACTATGAGTCATTGGTTAAACAAGAATTTGCCGGATTTGATTGACAATCAAATCAACAATCAGTTAAATACATTGATGATGCAAGTGCAAAGTCATATGGAAGCGACAATTTCTAACACAATGGTGCTGGTGTTCGTCCATGAAATTGATATGGTGGCTGAACATCTTAATAAATCAATTGAAGCGTACTCTTCTCAATTGCATGGTCATGTCATCGAATTGGAGAGCCGTCTTGGGCATGTCAATTCTGCAAATATATGCTTCGAGGCTATCCACATATTTTTTCGAATTGCTAACAACGTTTTGAGCAATTGGTACCTTTATTTACCGATATTCCTGTTCGTCTTGTTCAACAGAATTCCAAAGATGAAAGGCAGGTAGTACTGTGATTCATGACATTTATACGTCGCATTTCATTTGACTTCAGTAATATCGTGAGACACTCATCATTCTTACCACCAGACAACGGTCTCCTTAGATATATAATCCTTTTCAGCCATGTGGCAGACGCAGTTTTTACAATAAAGTTATAAATAGTTTTTCTCGAACCCCTAGAGGCTTTATCTCAGGTCAAATACTGAAATGTACGCGCACACTTTTTCGCACCAACAACAATATAGTAGCGAGCTGCCCAGATTGGCGATGGAGGAGCTGTTTCATTTCAGTCTCTTACGCGTGTCGATAGCGCAGATTCTTAAGTCCTGCGGTTTTGACAAATGCAAACCAAGTACGCTAAACATTGTGACAGACCTTTACATCCATTATTTTACCAAACTTGTTCGTGAAGCCATTACGTGCAGTCAGCTTCGAACTAAGCTGAATCAAGTTTCTCTTGAAGATGTTTCACAGCTGCTTATCCTAATAGGTGGAATCAAGCCAAAAAACTTTCTAGGAAACGATCCTGTTCCTCAAACTCGAGAAAACTACGATTACAACACTAAACTGGTGGAGCTGTTTCTCAATTGGCTACGAAGTAGTGACCAATACCGGATACTGAAGCAACTTGATGAAGTTCCCATACCTCTACTTTCGAATTTGATAGAGAAGCGCAAATTGGATCTCAGCGATATTGATGCTGATGTGGATCGGAAGAAGCAAAAGTACAAGGAGCGACAAGAATTCTACAACCAGCTCAAGTTGAACAATGATGATGTTATTGATGACGAGGAGGTCACGGAAAATGACAGAATGCCTTGGGTGAATTATTTAGTGGAGAAGGATTTGAAATTGGGGCATGATCTCAAATTCTTAAATACACCGTTATTTTCCGAGTACACCAAGTATCAATCCAACACAAAGTTCCACCCATCACAGAAGCACAATAAGCATCTTCAGTCGCTTATCGCCAATCATGACAAAAATGACTATCTCATTCCCAAGTTTGAAGCGAATCCTGAAGGCGATGATCAGATTTTGCCTCTGGAGGAACTTCAACTGTTATTGCCGTGTAACCTAACTTATCCTGAGGATATATCTGGGGACCTTTCACCCGAAGCAATTAAAAACCTTACAGCGGCCTCGAATTCTTCAAGTGAGTTGAGGGATGGTTCAAGTCAACGAGTTGAATCTCAGCATACTGAATCGCGTGATATGAAAATATCAGAAGTTGATCCGTTACAAGTTACAGGCGATGAAGACGAGGAGATATCGGAGATGTCTGAGCTCACCCCTGTTCCTCCTGCCTCGCCCTCACCTGACTCACATGAGGTTGATATGGTAACGAACTGAATTGCTACATGACTCGAAGATATCTGAGTTGCAAATTTTTAAGCAACCACTCGAGATGTTTGGTTTTCATTGTCATTGAGTATCTCAGTAGTTTATTTCAGCGCCTGCGCATTCTTTATGTCAAGAATGTAGAATTGGGGTACAGCCTTATTTAGACTGAACTGAGCAACCTAATTCCACTATTTATGCGTAGTTTTATTGTGAAAAATTCTATACAGACCATAACCCCTCTTTCAACACTCTGGGACAAAGTACAACACCATATTAGCGTAAAGGCAACACTACCACTAGAAAAGTAACGGAGTCATTCGTCACAATGTAAGTTGCAAATTAGGCTTCGGCCATATATCACATTACTTGCATATATCCTGATAGACAACTGCATCAATTTTACCCAATCGGGACTGGCTGTCATAAAACGCGTGCGAGAGATGTATTTTGAATTTCACAACGCGCTCCTGCAGGACCTCCTTACTCCTTTTTATTTAACATGAGGTAGCGCCCATCGACGCTTACCGGATATAATTCAACGCGTTCGTGCGGAGTCTATCGGAAATGATAAACTCACAGCTCAAACTCTCATTGAAGTTCAACAAGCTGTTGACGAACGTCCAGGCCAACGATGCTCCATTCACACCCGTTGCTCAGACAATTTCAACACCCGTTGAGCAGCTCGCTGGACAACAAGGAGGGTACTTTGGTTATCAAAACCCGCAATATAACGAAAGTGATGACATACTTCCAGGACACGATCTGGACACAAAAGTGTACACTCTTTCCTTTACTAACGATTTTGATCAAATGGTCCTCAGTGTCTACTCGGATATCGTGTCACGTCCTACAACAACCCCATTCTCGGGCGTAGTACCGCCTCTGGGAATTGCGCTGATAGTATCAAACGAAACGTTGAACATCATTCGTGACAAAGATAATGACCTTTTTCCATGTGACACGCAATCCATTATGACGCCTGATGTATTACGCGATGATCAGTTGGCTCCTGTTTTTCTTCAATTGATTCGAAAGCGACTTATTGAGTTGTGCATCTCCCATTCGCGAAGTCAGAATCCTCCAAACATTACGACTGTGACTGTTTCGGGGCAAAGCAAATCGTTCTCAAATACTTCGAAGATGTACAACATTTCAAACTTATCACTCAACGAATTGAACATATCTAATTACAATTCGACTGCTTCGGTTCCGCCCCAACTCAATCGACTGCGGCTGAGATTACTGAAATTGAGTCGTCACAATTCAAACACCTGGCTTCATGTTGGCAACATTTCGTCCATCAAAAATGCTAACATGTCAACCGACTCTTTTACAGACTACGTTCCCCAACTGTATATCAATCGTCTGGCAAATTCGTGTGGCTTGAATAGTGTGGGCAACCTTGATTGCACTCCACCTCAAGCCCTTAAACCCCCTCAAAGCACTCCTCCTCAACTGCTTCAATCCCTTCAACAGCAATTGGGTGATCTTGATGAATTCACGTTTTTCAATCAGCATCACCCTCCGGCTCGTCTGCCTTTCATGCATGATCAATCTCCGCGACTGGACCCCGAAAGCCTGGTGCTGAGAACGTCACTGATCGGGGGTCAGTCGTCAATGATGGCTGTGGACACTTTAGATCTGCCTTTTATGCTGACAATTGGCGCTGGAGAGACAGGATATTTCAGCAACGGCTTTCAGCCGCCCCCTTTATTATCCTTGAATAACGTCTCTCTGAGCCCTCTCAAAGAAGAAAATGACAAGGTCGGTCTCCCTTATAGCTACTCGTTGAGCGAGAAGAAGCGAGATTCATTGAAGATGAAGCGAGGAATTCATTGAAGTACAAGGATAAGTTTTTCGTTATGATATATAAGTGTAAGGTCTCCATTATAGATTAATACAAAGCCTGGTTGGTTTTTAAGTATCAATTGCCTCATAATCCCCATGAACAAGTGCACTGAATGTGACAACCTCATATGAGGGAACAAAAAAAGGTATATGTCATTATGAAGGTATTAATTGATGTACCATCGATGACGTTCCGTTATGATGTGGGAGTAAAGACATTTGCATTCTTAAGTTCACTGAAGTGCAGTCAAATAAATTGCAGTCATCGAGTATTAAATGCTAATAGAGCGAGTCCGTTAGCCAATAAATTTCCTAGACCCTCTCGTTACATTACCAACAGATCTATGTATCCAAAAAATTCAAAAAAAAAACAGATGTGATATCCGTGGGGTTCGAACCCACGCCCCCGAAGAGACCAGGATTGGTTGGTAAAGTTGTTAACCTTACCCTGGCGCCTTAGACCACTCGGCCAGGATACCTTTTAGTCTTCCTTTTTTATATTTTTATCTGTGACATATATCAACTTGGAGTACCTCCTTGTGTCAATTTGGACGGAACTCCATGAAATCTTTACAATTCAAATCCAATGCAAGCAATTAGGCAAAAACAAAACATGAATCCTTCATTCATTACACGAAAACTCACTTTTAGTTGAGATAGTTCATTTTCTTTTTGAACAAAAAAATACAATGTGCAAAATCATCAATTAAACTTACATGTTCCGCGCATCTCAAGGTGAGTGACATTGGGTTTAGGAAGTTGTTCAACTATAGCCAGCTGCTATCGCCCACTTCCCCAGGAATCGAACCCTCAACTCTTTTGCAAATGCAGTCTGACCTTTACACATCAATGTCGTGACCGTGAGCACCGGTTTAGTTAACAAAGTACTATTGCAACATACATGATCGTCATTTGTAGTCGATTTTAATACATTCTAGTCTTTTTATCGTGTAAGTTGAAGACGTGCAGTGATTATGTTGTAATTTTATTGTAATTATGTCAAAACATTTCATAAAGCTAATGGAGTCCAAGAGAATGTTTGCCTAGAGATGGAGTCAGTTAGGACGTAACAAAAATAGCAAGTAATGGACTCCAAAGCGTTAACGTTTTGGCTGGAACACTGATGTTCAATTAACACTGAGTTTATAGGGTATAATCCCACCGCGAAAGTATTTCAAACACGAAATATAGAACAGAAAATGTGTTATACAAGTTATAATTATCGCTCTAGTATATGAACATCTTGAGCCAATAAATGCATCATTTGTCTTAATTCCTATACCACTGTCAGATATATAAGTGATGCTTTATACAGACCGCAGAAATTTGGTGTATCCAATGATTACACAGTTGATGCACTGCGTTAGACAAAAAAAATCATGCGCTTCGTGAACTCGCTGTACCCTTACAACTTACATGTAGACTCTTGAAACAATGTTGAAATAACTGTATATTATATCTTCACAACACGATGTATAGATGTGGCTTACCTTAGCTTTGAAATGTTTATTTATAGGCACTTGAGCTTAAACTATGAAATAAATATCGAGTAGCCATTCACTAAAAGCTGCTTATCACAGGTTTGACAGCGATTTTCTTTTGGTTTATGACTCTTCACCTGCAACGGCCATTCATCTCACTGATTCGAGATGAATTCATCACCAACCCGATTGAGAAATTGTTTCACTGCTTGCAGGAGCTCGGCGTCAATAGTCCGATTGAATAATTCAAGCGTTTTCTTGAACATCTTCGGTGAATGTTTCAAAAAATCATCATCATCTAGTTCAATGTAGCCTTGATAAATTTCAACTATGACAGGTTGCCAAATTGAAATGTAACGCTGATGGGAATTTGCGTCATACTCCACGAACCTTAGGGTTATATCTTGACATAATGGAATCAAGTCTTTTAAGATTTCCTCCTTATGTTCTAGCAAACATTTTTCATCATCGCAATACATTCGAAACATGATGTTAATGAAAACAGCCAGAGAGCTCAGCTCTTGCTTTAATAAGTTAGGCAACCTCTCGATAACACCACCGTTCCACAATCTAACTCTCAAATCGTAGTCATCATTGAATGTATGAGCAAACTCGTACAGCTTCTTGAGTAAGCTCGCTAACTTCACAAGGAATGTGTAGGGAATCGCTTCGTAAAAGGCATCATTTTCAAATAATTCCGAAAGACTTTGAAGCATATATAACTGCAACACAGACTTGACAACTATCAACAGTTTTTCTTTGGGAGCCACAGGTTTCAGGGAAAGCTCCACTTGGGAGTGAAAAGCCTCACCAACATCTTCGTCAGCAGTGGCTGCTTTTCTTTTAAGAGGGTCCAAAGTGAACAACTCAGTTGCGGTAGTGTACTCAAAGAGTTGCTGAGTCACATCCATAACTTCTTCCCACTCAGACTCGTTAAAGTCGTGGGCATTATTAATTAATAACAGATGAAAACATTCTCTTCCGATCTTCGCAATAGTGTCATTTTCCTGACATACACACAGGACAAGTAATCGCAATATCTTTCTCAAATGAGGTCTCATTGCATCGAAGTATAGAGTCACCAACGCTATCAACAGATTTAACGCCTGAATGAAGGTTGTCAGCAACCATACGGATACTTTGTCATCAGTTGAGTCATCGTCTATACCAAGGCTCCAAAGATTACCGTTAACAATGGAGAAAATTGGTAACAACACTTTTTCCATTATCTGGTCCCAAAATTCGCTGTCGAAGTTTGTACCATATTCCTTTAACGTATCAAACAAATTTGCAAGAGCTCGCAGCCTTACCTCTAGCTCGTCACCACCCATTATTATACTATGAAGCCCCGAAAAAACAGGAAGCCAAAGTCTATTAAGCAACTCCTTGCGGGTAGAAGGGTCATGCTTCTCAAAACCAGATGACAAATCCTGAATCAATTTGATTAGCACATCCAAAGCTAACAAGGATATTCTTTGGAAGCGCTCGTTTCTTGCAAGCTCAGTAAAGCAACCGACAAGATCAACGAACGAGTCTCTTTGTACTTCCTCAGCAAAGTCATGATTGATTGCCAATGCCATCTTGTAAGCGCGCATCACTATATGTTCATGCTTCTCCTTAGCTGCAGCAGTCAACACTCCGAAAATCGTTTTCCAACCAGATTTGATGCGGGAGGCTTTAGCAAGCACCATGACATTGATACATTCTAAAACCATATCTTTGACATCAACCGAGCGATTATGAGAAATCACATACTCAAAAGGCTTCAAAAACTCTCTCTGAAACTTGAAATTCGCTAATTCTTCAATGTCAAAAAATCGCACCGAAAGCTGTCGAAGGGAATCCAATGCAAAAAACGATATTGCTGGGTTGGAGTGACAGCCGCATACGTTGAAGATTTCACCCATTACATGCCACAACTGCGACCACTCTAAACGGATACGCAGCATGTTATAGTAGCATACATCCACAATCTTTTGTAGAGAAAAGGTACGAGGGTTGTTCAGTTGACCACTCAGTTCTATCTCCTCAGCCGACACCTCCGACAAGGCTCTTACGAATTCCACAATACCTTCACCCGAAAGCTCTGACGAATTGGTGAAGACTCTATCAATGGCAGTCAGGATAGTAGTTTTCGAAAGTAACTCAGCAACATCAGGCCTCAATTGCTGATTATGAAACTTGTTTGCAGCTTGTTGACTCGGCGTATAACTTGAGAAAAACCCCAGGGACGCCACTGAATCCAACAGTGAACGTGAAATTCGCAGCGCCAGGACATCGGGAATCAATTGTTGATCAACACCTTGAGCAATAAGTTGCAAACGCTCAATTTGAGAGATTGCAGTTAAAACTGTTTTCCACAGCGAATGAAATCCACTGCCATCACTACCTGCAACTTCAAGCATGACAAGGATTGCTTCGACAGATTTGCTTCTCATCTCATCGTAGTTGTACAACTTTTGCACTGAAATCAACGCATTCAAAAAGGCATCACGAGCAGTATCAATGTCAAACATGCAAGCTATTTTTATCGAAAGCTTTATGCCTTCGAGACACGTCCGACATATATCATAGTCATCGTAAGTATTGAGTGGCAGCGTGAGTACAGGCAAAATTATCATCCAAACGGTATCAAAAATCAGTTTAACATGGTATACATGAGTGGCAGTATGAAACTCGCCCTCACTTTTGATATTTTTGAACATTTGTTCTGTTTTGTTGGCCATTTCTCGATAAGCATGGAAGTAAGCTTCTTTGTTGACGTCCCTTGAGCCAAAAAATAGTCCCAGCGACAGTGACAGTGGCAATTTGAGTTCTCCTGCCAATAAAGCTGCATGTTGTTCCAGTTGAAGCTTGATTTCGTTGGTTCGGATAATCTCATAGATATTAGACAAAAACTCGGGATCCAAGTTTTGACCATCATCAATACCAACATTGTTCGCAATGAACAGCTCGACAGTCATCCGCAGTTTGATTTGAGGTGAGTGCAAGTCTGTGTTGAGCATAATCACGGAGTAAGCTAAGACGTATGCGGTATCTGCATTAGCAAATATTTCAGGATTTCCAACAACATACCGTTCCGCAAATTTTAACATGAACCGGTCAATCTTTTGTGCCTCACCTGGCAAGCGGAACAGCTGAAGAAATTGTCGCAATGCATCAACAAATTGCATATTCGTGAAATCCATCTCATCCACAAACGCATGCATGATTGCTATATTTTCTTCGTCCCCTTCACCGAGATACTCACCAATTTCCGCCTTATCGAGTTCTTCTGTACTTAATAAAAACCTGGCAATAGTTTTTGGTTGTGAATCATCGATGAAGCCATGCTGAATGAAAAATTTGATACCTTTCTTACCTTTTGCGTTGAACTGACGAATCCCTTCATTAAATAACTTTTTGTGCTGTTTCAACAGCTCGAAGTGGGAAGGGTCATCGGGGTCGGAGAGTGCCATCACAGAATTGTTTCGCGTCGTACCCAGAGACAGTGCTGACAGATCAATTGTGGCCAGTCGATCACGACGTATAGAGACCTTGTTTATGCCTTTGTGGGCCCATGTGTGAATGGATCGCAAAAACCCAACCACACAAGCAATTCCATTCATTTTGAGGGCATATTCTAAGGGGAAAAGATCATAAACTTCACGTTGAGGAGGCTTGGACAGCATCGCTGACAGTGTCAAATTGCGACTCATGTCGTACAGAACAATTCCATTACGCTTAGATTCGGAGAAGGCTTGACGCTGGAGTGGCGTAACATCAACAATAGTATTAGCTAACTTGGACAAATAGGCGACGATCTTTTCACAGATATTCGGCATTCCCTTTTCGCAATCATAGTTAAGGTAAAATTCAATAATGCATCGCAGGTCATTGCAAATACGTTCAATCACCAGAAGGAGGTACTGCTTCTGATGAGGCGTACTGGTCTTCATTTCCGCTACTGGAAAATAGATCTCCTCCCAGAAAACCGGGATTTCCTGTTTAAAGTAAGACCTCATATTCGACATGATGAGCCAAAATATCTCAAGCGACAGCTCGTAAACTGGTGCTAATGGCAGTCCTGCATTCTTGGAAAGCAGCAAACAGATATACGGCTTGACAAGAGTTGTGAGACGAGTCAGCGTCTCATTGATGACAACCTTCGGTGAAAGAAAAACGTCAATGTGTTCTTTGATGATGGTGTGAATAATGTGCAACAGTAATAGCTTAGATCTTACTGAGTGCAGCCTCATATCAATGGAATCACCTTCAATCAGCTTGACCGAAATCTTACACATGGCTCGGAAAATTAAGTAAGCGTCCTTGATTGCAACGTCACCCGTACCATCAACATCATCATCATCGCGCAGTAAATTTAATTGCTCCATTTTCTCGAGCGTAACTTGGCCACTGTCGGTATACTCAAGATCAAGGCGAGACTCCAGCACCAGCGAGTTTAAAGAATTCAAGTCGATGCGCTGATAAATTGCATTGATTATCTGGGTCAACAGCCCTTGCGCTACCGCTTGGTTGGCGGGGGACAATGAAAACACAAAGACGTTATAAATTTGGCGAACAGCCTTTAGTAGAGTGGCACCATGGCATGGCGTGCCTAGTATACAGTTCATCAACGCCCGTATGACTTGAAGTTCCACCTTTGAATCTGTTGCCTCGCCCTCAAAGCATGCGGATATCACATCAACAGCCCGCTCACTAAGCAGCGTCATGGCAGATTCGGATAATTCCTGAATCTCAAAAAGCTTAACAAAGCCATCGATAGCCTTTGATTTTGTGGACGCATGAGTAGTCAATTTACATGTCTCTTTTAAGGCTGCAAAGATAGCTTCGATATCGGAAGGATTGTCAAGTGCATGTTGAATTGTATTTTTCCAAACCTCATTCTTTTTCACCTCCTTCAGCAGTAAAATCAGCTCGAAAAATGCACTCGTTTCCAGTGAAACGTGAGAATGACGCAAACGAGTTGACGTTCCATGAGATTGCGCTGAACTTTCTTGCTGCGATCTGGAAGGCGACGAAGAATTCGCAAATTGGTGATGTTCCAGATGGTCTGCGTTGTTGTATCCATTAGCAGTGGGAGTTGGAGGCTCTGAAGAGGCTTGATCGTAGCTATTATTCGGAGAATCTCCAATCTTGGTCACTATTGGATTGTCATGTTTGGCGTTACCCTCAGTATCAATGTCGCTAGCGTTGTCTTTTTGCAGATCAGCTTCAAGCTCAACACTGCTGTTCTTCGACAAATTCGAAGACGACTTGGCAATGCTGGGCTTTTCTTCAGCATTATCATCAATTTTGACTTTATCAGACTCAATGTTGACTGTTTTGTCAGAAGCTTCAACTTCCTCCTCAAGACATGTCTCGACGTTCGTGTCCTCTTCCCGGGTATTCAGGTGGTCGAACGTATCGGCAGTGGAGGTTTGGGAACCGTTCATAGAAGCCGAGGAACTGGCTTCAACAACAGTCTCCAGAAGATCAGGTGTGGGAGCCTCACCTAATTGAGACATTAGAAGTAACTTTGTTTTCACCCACGAAGGTGTCAATAGATTTTGGTGCGACCAAGAAGAGAGTGTTAACCAGGGCAACCAACCATCAATGTAAAGAGCATAAAAACTTAACCGAAATGTATATAAGAGTTATAGTTGAATGAATGCGCTTATGAAATGTGTTGAGATACAAGATTTCTGGTATTTGGGGAAGCTGTGAAGCTTGACGCGGAATTGTAGTTCCTTTGGAGCCTGGATGGTTAACCTCCATGGCTCGTCGTAGATTAATGACCACCATTACTTTACAGATTGTTTGTTTCTTGACTAGTGGTAGGTGTCAATGTCAGCCGACGCGACAAACATTCAGTATGAGAGAACGGTCTGGTGTATTGGTTATGTGATCATTCATGCTTGCAATTTGAGCGGAGACAATAATCTCATATCAATGACATCATTGCGTATATCTTGATAGGGGCGATGTGGTCCTCAAATAGGAGGACAGCTGCCAACAACGCGAATATCCAAGATGATTGATTTTAACAAAGATTCACTTTAGGGACTTATGAAGAACCCAAGCATGGCAGCGTGGGAAGGTGAAGAACCAGCCTTATGTCAGGACGTCTCAATTGGAGGTCAAGGAGGCAATTCTCATTTATTTGTATACTAACCGATCATCTTTGTGACAGTCACGTATGTGGTAAGCGTTATTATTTGAAACGATAAACTGACTATATATTTGCGGCTGATGAATCAGAATTGAAAGAAAGATGTCTACACCCGTATCCAGTGGTGAAGGATCAAACTTCCTCGCTTTGAATACCGAACCTTCTCAACCATTCGTGATCCCTGATGTTTCCCCAACCACTCCCAGTATGCCGGCTCAATTGAAAGCTCTGAAATGAATTTACTCGGCCTGAGTGATCGTGAAAGCAACATCTCAGGTGATTTACCTTCGTTCCACAGCTCCGATTAAAACTTCTCAAACACTTGCGAATTTATTAAGTCCAGCAAGAATCCATCTATATACACATACATATGTCAATCTAAAACGAAATTCACGACCAAAGAGGGTAAAATTCATTGTACTTCTTGGCGTAGTACGCGGTCGATAAACCGCCTAAAGCTACCAAAACGATTGGCAAAGGCTTTTGGAAATGCGTAGGAATAGCACGGCCAAGACCCGCCAAAAACAAGGCTGCTGATGATCCAAGAGCAAGTTCCAAACCCCAGTCAGCGTTGTTTTTCAACAAATAACCCAGTGCAGCGTATAAGCCTGAGACTGTCAAACCTGCCACGAGAGAAGGCATCAGCTTCTTACGGGCAAAACCCATAATACCGCCGACGAGGCATAAACCAGACATAGTAAAAGCGGGGTGTTCCATTTTGGGCCAAAAGTGACTGAAAGTAACGGGGTCGTTCTCTACTCTTTATAGTGCGCGTCAACAATTTCTTGCCCCCTACCCCATGCTGTGAAGTATTCGGGGTTTACTCAAAAAGATGCATTCCCGAATAAAATCCGTTACGCGCTGTTCTCGAAGCATGCAGTTTTTATAGGGTCAGGTGAACGATGTAAACATCGGACGCCTTACAAAAGTTTTACCATCACACAAAACAATTTAATTTGAATACTGCCACAGTCATGTAAGGTTTTTCATTGCAAGGTTCCCGAGTAAGCTATGGTGATCTTGTGTACAAATGCCCACTTGTAAATATTCATTCTTAACTAATTTTACTGATTTCACTTCGAAATGAATGAACACTCCCGTTAGATTATTCAGGCTTTGTAGTCTTATCCCGAATACTTGGTGTTTCAATCGTAAAGTGAACGAATCGCACTAGGCGATTTTTGGACATGAACATTATGGCAAAGGTAACGAAGTAGTAGACAATGAACTATAGGGTACAAGAGTTCGAAATCGATTTTATATGGCGAAGTAAGTTATCTGGCATTGATTCGGCTTGCTAATAAAGCTTTGCTGCAAAACGCTTTCGATGTTTCGTAGATTCGTCATTGCTCGCTGAGCACTTTTTGAGGTTGACCACGCGAACTTTTCACATCATGAACGTTACGTCTATGCTCAGTGGAAGACAGAATGGAGGTTCAAATGGCTCTGCGATGGGTACTGATTCGAGCAAACACAAATCCTCATCAATTGTGCTGTCTCTTACAGTTCCGTCTATAGACGTGGCGAATACGCAGAGAGCCCAGATCGATCCTCATTATAAACACCACTTTGAAACGAAGATATCAGCCATCACCGCTTTGGATAACTATCAAATGGATGACCATCGCTTACGTATAATGAAATTTGATGAAGTGAAACTACTGAACATCATTTTGAGGCAAGCTGACATTACCAATAACTATGTTGAGCGAGTGGTTGCAGAGGACATCAGTCTGCGTAACAACAAAATTTCTGACACGAACAAGAATAAGGAATTGCATTATCTTGATGCTACCAGACCTCTTCATCATAATACCATTAGAGGCAAAGAGTATAGATGGGGTACCACAAGAGAACTAAACCGAGTGGAACTGAAATCTCGCAAGAGACGACCTAATATAGCCGCTCTGGCAACTTGTACCGGTGGTACGGGAGCAGCAGCAGCTGCTGCTGCTGCAGTAGCTGCTGGTTTCGCCACACTGCCTACCAGACAAAACAAGAGAAATCGTACACGTGAGGTATCGTCTTTTCAGGTCAGTCCCAATTCCAGAGAAAAGCGACGGAAAATGCTGCCCGAATACGGAATCGAAGATACAGAAGAATTGGAAAATGATGAAATCGATGTTGATGATGCGACGAAAGAGCAAAAAAAGGTCACAAAACACTACGACTCTGTGTACATCAGCATATGGAAGGATATGCTGCGAAAGTATGCTCCTAAGGTACTGAGACTAATGTCACAATCAACGCAAGCTCGTATGATAAACTTAAAGAAAACTGCGATTTTAGCCGCCAGAGAAGCTAAAAGATGGCAATTACGAAATAACAAGAATCAGAAAGATTTGACTACTAAGGCCCGTAGGGCCATGCGTGAAATGTTTAACTTTTGGAAACGAAATGAGCGAGTTGAGCGAGATCTCAAAAAGAAGCACGAGAAAGACTTGTTAGACAAAGCCAAGAGAGAAGAAGAGGAACGGGAAGCCAAAAGACAGCTGAGAAAGCTCAATTTCCTTATAACGCAAACGGAGTTGTATTCGCATTTCATTGGCAAAAAGATCAAGACCGCCGAACTTGAAGGAGCTGATGCAGATCCATCAATAATACAATCTTCGAATGACAGTGTGGCAGACCTCGACGCTCTTAAGGGGTCAAAACGTACCGACGTTTCACAATTGAATTTTGAGACCGCTGATGACGAAGACCTCCGCAATTTAGCAATGGCAAATGCCGCACAAGCTTTCGAACTGAATCAAAATCGGGCGAAAGAATTCGAAGATGGCTTTACCAATCCCGATACTAATGGAGAGGAAATGAATTTCCAGAACCCTCAATTGATGGGCGATTTATCAATTAAGCAACCCGAAATGCTCAAGTGCACACTCAAAGAATATCAGATTAAGGGTCTCAACTGGTTGGCCAATTTATATGAACAAGGTATAAATGGTATTCTTGCTGATGAAATGGGCTTAGGTAAGACGGTACAACTGATCTCCGTTCTTGCTTATCTTGCTGAGACACATAATATTTGGGGCCCGTTTCTTGTTGTGACACCAGCATCAACATTACATAACTGGCAACAGGAAATTACGAAATTTGTTCCTCAGTTCAAAGTATTGCCTTATTGGGGTTCAGCGAAAGATCGCAAAGTCTTGCGGAAATTTTGGGATCGCAAACTGTTACGATACGATAAATCTGCTCCTTTTCACGTTTTGGTGACATCCTATCAGTTGGTGGTAGCTGATGCAGCATACTTTCAAAAGATGAAGTGGCAATATATGATACTTGATGAAGCTCAGGCCATCAAATCGTCTCAGCTGTCCCGATGGAAGACTTTGTTACTGTTTCAGTGTCGCAACAGGCTTTTGTTGACAGGAACCCCAATCCAAAATTCAATGCAAGAGTTATGGGCACTCTTGCACTTCATTATGCCGCTGATTTTTGATTCACACGACGAGTTTAGTGATTGGTTCTCTAAGGACATTGAAAGCCATGCTCAAAGCAATACTACGTTGGATGAGCAACAGTTACGGCGACTTCACGTTATTTTAAAGCCGTTCATGTTGCGTCGTATCAAAAAGAATGTTCAACTGGAGCTTGGTGACAAAAAGGAAATTGATGTTTATTGTGATTTGACGAATCGACAAAAAAAGTATTATCAGATGTTGCGTTCTCAAATTTCGGTAATGGACTTATTGGATTCGCTGAGCTCACAGCTGGGTGATGATCTGAACCTGTTGATCAACTTAGTCATGCAGTTTCGAAAGGTTTGCAATCATCCTGACTTATTCGAGAGAGCTGATGTTGATCTGCCGTTTCTGATGATAAGCTTCGCAGAGACGGGTTCCTTCCTTCGAGAAACTGAACTTGAATTGTCTTATTCTACTGAAAACGCAATCAATTATAATGTTCCTCGCTTAATTTATGATGAGTTGTTGACTCCTGGATGGAACAGTCAAACCGTGGACAAAAGTCTTATCATCAACAAGAAATTTAACGTCTGGCTGCCTGAGAATCGACCAGCTTTACTGTACCTCAACTTGGTCGATAGTTCGAATGAAGAACTTCGCAAAGCTTTCGATACGTCGATTTTACTCCAAGCAATCGAAAGGAAACAGTATACCGACATCAATTGGACAAAGGGATTACGATTCAAGTACCTTTACGATGATGACTTCTTCCCACAACTGCAACTACTTTTGATAGTCAATGCTAACTCCAAAAGAAGTGTTATTGCGAACCTGACTGGTCCGTTGAGTGAGCTCTATTCCGTGCATCAATGCGTTTATGATGAACACTACCTAAATGTCATGAGGCCGGCTGCAAAGCCCGCGGCTCTGGCTCCCCCAATTAGAGCCAGATGCTCCTCCCGTAATTTTGAAATTCAGTGGCAGCATGAACTCTTCAACGAGGATATTCGCGCTGCGTTATTACCAATATCATTGGAAAAGGAGTACGCACTTCAGCAGGCTGGTGTTCCGTTGACGCTTTATCCTAAGTCTGACATGCTTCCAATGCAACTTAATAAGTTCAACGATTACTCGGATATTCGCATGCCTTCCATGAATCGATTCATCACGGAACTGGGCAAGCTTGCTACCTTGGATAGACTTTTAGTGGAACTCAAAAAGGGCGGTCACCGCGTTTTGCTCTACTTTCAAATGACTCGAATGATGGATTTGATGGAAGAATATTTGACTTATCGTCAACACAAATTCATTCGACTTGACGGGAGTTCCAAACTTGACGATCGTCGTGATCTTGTTCATGATTGGCAAACAAAACCAGAATTATTTGTGTTCCTATTATCCACAAGAGCTGGCGGATTAGGTATAAATTTGACTGCGGCTGACACTGTGATATTTTATGACTCAGATTGGAACCCGACTATAGATTCACAGGCTATGGATCGTGCACATCGTTTGGGTCAAACAAAGCAAGTGACCGTTTACAGATTACTCATGCGTAATACCATTGAAGAGAGAATGAGAGACAGGGCAAAGCAAAAGGAGCAAGTGCAGCAAGTCGTCATGGAAGGTAAAGCTACTCTCAAGCTGGCAAAGCGCGACGAGGAGAAAGCCAAAAAGAAGGACGTTGCGTTTTTATTGTTGGGTGAAGACGCTCCACTGGATGATGCAACGCTGTCTGGTACTGCTACACCTGTTGCAAGCAGAAGATTGGAGGAGTTGTATCATGAAGGTGAAGGTCGCTTTCTGAACACGGGTACACCTGCACCATGAGGTGTGTATTGTTATCAGGGCTAAGTAAATAAACAAAAATGATATACATTAATTACAAAGATGATGAGATGACATTGGCTGTATAATGTGTGTATTCATCGAATCTGAGCTAGAGCTCCATGCGTGACTCGGAATTGAGAGCGCCAGTCTCAGGACTAGCAGCATTGATGCCATTCCCTGCATTATTATCGTTCGATTCAACCGTGGATTGATTAGCTTTGCTTGGTTTCGATTGATGGGTGCTACGATTGCGAGCTCGACGACCGGATCGACCACGTTTTCTAGGACGCTCGCTCAAACGCTCGGGGGATACCTCTCTCAAGCGATCTGCAAAAAGATCCTCATCTTCATCACGATCACGGCCTCTGCGATTCGTCAGTTCGTTTCTCGAGCGATGAGAGCCACGGACTCGATCTGCGAATAAATCCTTCTCATCATCATTTTGGATGGTCAGGTTTTGTACTTGTTCATCGGAATCCCGATCAGGTTTTCTACGAGGTCGATACCAAGTATTATGACGTTCGGGGTCACCGTTGAACAAATAGTATCTGGAATACTTTGAGGCTCCGGAAACTTTCTGGTCTGAGCGCAACAGTTGCCTTATTTTGAGCATCGGCTTCAGGGTCTCTTCTTTGATAGCGTCATCATTCACTTGGGGTTTGTCAATTCGTGCGAAAAGAGATTGAGTCTTTTTGAATGCTTCAATTGGTTCATACAGATATGTCAGACGTTCCTTCAATATGTCTTGGACGTAAGCACCATTTGATACAAATTCAGGCTCTATCACAAGTTCCTCAGGGGACAACTTTTCGAACGCCATTCGCACGTCGTCGTGTGAGTCAAAAACAATATTAGCCAGTGAGTCATTGATCCATTGCACATTGAATGGAACCTGACTGATTTCCCTGTAATTCATCACATCGTCCTCAGACTTTTCAACCGTGAAGTTCACGTAATAATTGATGAAAGCCTTGATGTCATCTGTGGATAGTTCATCGACGCCTCGCAAAAAGATGGCTTCAGGACGTATAAAGTCCGTGCTTCCATTTTCCAATGTAACTTCAACCGCTTGCTGACGTAGAATTTCCTCCTGATTTTTTTGGTTTATGACATCCTGGACAATAAATCCCAGATAAGGTGCAGCCTCCATAACGTATGGCCGAAGTGATTTCACTTGTTTTTCTCTGAGATCTCACGTGATTTAATATCAAAACTATAACCTAACAACTTGGTCGCAACCGCGATATCTGCTCGTCACAGTTTCGATACCATACTTTTTGGCAATTTCGGGACTGATAAATCGGCCACCCAACCAATGATAACCATGATACCTGAGACTGCAGGGTTTGGGTGCACTCAAACTGACTAACATCTGTGGGTCAAAGTTGATTTCCTCATCTATTGGACCATTATCAACATCCCATCCCAGAGGAACGTCAATTGAACATATAATAGCTTTTTCACGGGCTGCTTTCAAAGCTGTGAGTACTTCACCAAATGGCTCACGAAGTGGGGGCTTGAAGGAGAACCCGAACAAAGCATCTACAATCAAATCCACTTGATGCATGTACCTCTTGGTATCCTCTAACGCTTTCAACTCAGTCACCTTCAAATCTTCCAACTCTTTAACTAGTTTTGCATAGTGGGGTTCCCTCTCCAGTTTCTTTGGATAATAATAAGCTAGATCGTAACCAAATAATTTCAAATGACGAGCGGCAACCAATCCATCACCGCCGTTATTACCAGGGCCTACAAGCACTAGGACTTTTCCTGGCGGCGGTGTTTGATGAAAGATTGCCTGAGCCACGGACAAACCCGCTAATTCCATCAATTGCTCAAGAGTAAATCCTCCTGTTGACATGAGTTCCGAGTCGAGTAAAGCAGCGGATTTTGAAGCTATAGTTTTGAATGTCATAGCAGTTGCTCTCACGGTGCACTTTGATCGTACCATTCATGAGTACATATAGATAAGGGTACTGCATACGGTGAAACGTGTTTCAACATGTATTCTTGGGATAAGCTTGATTCTGAAACAACCCACAGAACAAGTTGTAGTAATTTCTCCCTACATCCTCAGCAACGTGAGTATATAGTTTGAAGGTGGGACTACCAACAATTCGTTTTCATTCGCTTACCCCAACATCCTCAATTTCGAATTTCCGCGACGCATAATCCTCAAGAATCAAACGCAGAAATGTCAAACTTGAATCTTAACCTAAATCTTGTTCTCCGTGGTAAACTTGAGGTTTTTCATCCGACGAAAGCGGTTTATCGTGAAAGGAACATACATATCTGGGATCGCACTCATGGCCGTGACGACACCTGCATGCAAAAATCTTTAACAGGTACGTGTCCTACGTTCGCGCGTTGTGACACGATTGGCGAAAAAACAACACACAACCAATTCACTCCCTGCCTTTGGCTGTTGACGCTAAGCTTTACCTTAACGGCGCAAGATGGCTGATTACTTGAACGAATCGCCTTCAATGGTGGCGCTGAGTCCATTGATAAACTACAGAAAGGACGCAAAGAAGGGAACCAAGCTTACATTCATGATTGTGGGGGAACTGGGAACCGGGAAAACAACCTTTGTGAATTGTTTGTTGAACAAAAAGGCCTTGAGCCACAAATACGAAGGTGTGTCATTTTCAGATACCAAGACTTTGCTGTTCACTCTGTCTAAATTCGTGGCATTACCCAATACTCTGACACTCACGCGTCATGAATTCAACCCCCAAACTGCTGGGGAAGAGCCTGGGATTGCACTCACCGAAACAAACGTTGAAATTTTAGATGATGATGGCCAGAAATTGCTACTCAACATTATTGACACGCCCGGCTTTGGAGAAAATTTGAATAACGAGATTTGTTTTATTGAAATTGAAAACTATTTGAAGCAGCAGTTCGATTTGGTTCTCGCGGAAGAGACAAGAATAAAGCGGAACCCACGTTTTGTTGACACCCGCGTCCATGTCTTACTTTATTTTATCACTCCAACTGGACATGGTTTGCGTGAAATTGACATCACGTGTATGAAGAGATTGTCGAGATACGTGAACGTCATTCCTATAATTGCTAAGGCCGATTCATTTACAGAAAGTGAACTTCGTGAGTTCAAGAAGCAGATCCGTATAGACATTGACAAGTTCAATGTTCCTATTTTCAAGTTTGATCTGTACATTGATGATTATGACGTAAACGATGATAAAGACTTGATTGCGGAATGCCAATATCTAGCAAACACGGTCCCTTTTGCAATCATCTCTTCGGAAGATGAATATGAGATTCGGAACCCTCACACAAATGATGTTAAGACTGTTCGCGCAAGGCAATATCCTTGGGGTTTAGTAGACATTGACAATCCCAAGTTTCTGGATTTTAGTCTTCTTCGCCTGGTTATCTTGTCAACCCACTTGAGTGACCTCAAAGAGCTAACGCATGATTTCTTGTACGAGACTTATAGAACTGAAAGATTGTCGAAAGTTGCTGGTGTTCAGAGCTCCGACGGTGGGGAAGACGATTATAATGGTGGTCAGTTTAACGCAACCGTCCCGAGTTTGCTGAATCTAGCTCAAATACAACGCGGCTTAGATCTGACATCGGTTCACTCTAACGATTACAACAAGACCACCACGTTAGACGAAGACATGCCTCTGCCTAAGCTCAAAGACACTAGTCTGTTTACGCTGCTGACCCTGACTGTGCTGATGGACAACCCTTTAGCGCCATCTGCTCAAATACCTAAACTGGCATCACAACAAGGATTCAAACGCTTATCAATCGGGCCTCAGCGCAATCAATTGAGACAAATTTCGGAAACAGTTCCTTATGTCATTCGACATGAACGTATTTTAGAGCGACAGCAGAAACTTGAGGAGATGGAAATGGCACTGGCGAAGGAATTGGCAGCGCGTGCTGCTGCATTGGAACAAAAAGCGGCAATGTTAAAAGCGAAGGAGAAGCTTTTACTAAAACAGTTGGAAAAAGAACGCCATCGTGAAAAACCCTTACCCGAGCCGGTCCATGAATCACATTTTGAGGATGCTTCAGAAGACTTTGATCAAACACACGTGTCACATCAAAATCTGACGCATGAGTATTAGAACAGACCAACGTAAATTCAATATCCGACTTGGTTCGATCAACTCATTAATTATGTAAGATTTTTTTTCGACAGACCACTCTTATAAGCTTTCCTGGAATGTCATCCTGCATTGTGGGGGGTTGCCAACAATTTAAGTATATTGTTGCTACCAAAGGTTGATCAGGTGTCAATTGACTCTTGTTTAGCTTAGATAGAGAAAATTTGTCATGTTTTTTATTCTTGAGTTTCAATATTTGAGATAACACCGCCACTCTCGATATAATATTAGCCTTCGTATGCAGCAATAATCCGAGTTTTGATAAAGCAAAGAGATTAGTGAATGATTATTATTTATTATGTTTATAACGCGTCAATTACTAACTTGTAGCCATTCTTCCTGACGAGAAGAGAATCTAGATTTTCATCATACACTTGTGCCAATGATTTGTATATTTTGGCTACGTTTCTCACTCCCCGGCTCACTCGCGCAAAAGAGTTTGTGCAAAAAAAGTAATCTTCATCGCAACGCTCGCCACTTATCCATAGCCATGGACATTGTTACTGTGTTGGAGAACGGGATTTCCCCGGACGTCAACGTACGAACGGCGGCTGAGCTTCAACTCAGAGAGGCAGCACTGTCACACTTTGACCAATATCTTGCTTATCTTACCGAGGCACTTACCAATACCAATGCTAAACCCGAGGTTCGTCAACTTGCAGCTTTGAATTTGAAAAATCAGCTTACGCTGAAGGACCAACGAGTTAAAGCAGGACAACATCAGCGGTGGATTCAGCTCGGGACTGACTTGAAGCAAAAGATCAAGGCTGACGCTCTCGCCACACTTCAAACGCCCGAAGAGCGCGTAGGGGCGGCGGCGTCCCAACTTGTGGCTGCAATTGCTGAGATTGAGCTTCCTCGTAACGAGTGGCCCACTTTAATTCCTGCCTTGTATGAAAACACCTCATCCACACAAGCCGAAAATGTGCGAAAGGTTTCCCAAGCGTGTATCGGGTACATTTGTGAGGTTTCAGACCCCAACAATCCTGCAATTCTTGCTCAATCGAATGGAATTCTTATTGCTATTTTGCAAGGGGTGCTGCAAGCTAGCGAAACGTCGACGAAGGTGCGCCTTACCGCTCTAGGAGCTCTTTTTAATTCATTGGATTTCATCCGTCAAAATTTTGAAAAGGAAGGTGAACGTAACTATATCATGCAAGTTGTGTGTGAGGCTACCCAGGCTGACTCATCTGAGCTTCAAGCGGCTGCTTTCGGATGTCTTGCTCGTATCATGCTGAAGTATTACCAGTTCATGAATATCTACATGGAGAAGGCTCTTTATGGGTTGACAGTTCTGGGAATGCAGCTGGCCGATGAACGCGTGGCATGCATGGCGATTGAGTTCTGGCTGACAGTTTGCGAAGAGGAATTGGACATTGCTGCAAGAGCTGAAGAAGGTCAAACCACTGAGCGCCTGTTTAATTTTGCGCTTATTGCTCTTCTGGAAGTCTTGCCTACTATTCTTACCTTATTAACTCGTCAAAACGAAGATTTCGATGATGATGATTGGTCCGTGGCCATGGCCGCAGGTGCTTGTTTGCAGCTTTTCGCACAGGACGTGGGTGATTATCTTATTGAGCCTACCCTCAATTTTGTTGGTGCCAATATCACCCTGCAGAGCTGGCGTGATCGGGAGGCTGCTGTAATGGCGTTTGGTTCAATTCTTGATGGCCCACTGAAGGAAAAGTTATCGCAAATGATTCAACATATTTTAGCGCCCATTTTGAATCTCATGAGTGACGATTCTTTGCAGGTGAAGGAAACTGTGGCGTGGTGCTTGGGGCGTATCGCTGATCTTTGCTTTTCCGCTATTGATGTTCCCACTCATTTGGGTCCCATTTTGCAAGCTTTGTTAAAGGGACTTGGGGACCACCCCAAGGTAGCTACCAATTGCTGCTGGACGTTGATCAACATTTTGGCTGAAGTTGCACCTGAAGGTGAGCTTATGGAGACTTCACCTATGTCTAGCAGCTACATGACGATCATTCCGGTTCTTATGGAATTACTGGCTCAACAAGAAAATCATTATTCTCTGAGACTGGCAGCTTATGAGGCGTTGTCGGCCTTCGTCATTCATCTGGCTGCTGACACTTTGGGATTGGTTGAGCAATTAGCCACGGAAGTTTTGGAACGACTCAAATCGACAACTGAACTTAAGCAGCAAACCATGCCTGAACTGGAGGCTCGAGCAAACTGCGAAGAATTGCAGATGAATATTTTGGCATTGCTCACGAATATCATTCGTCGTTTGCAAAATCAAGTTTTGGGTGCTGCGGACCAATTGATGGAGTTATTCCTTCAATTACTTCTGAACCCAGACAATGCGTTGATTGAAGAAGACGTATTGATGGCGATTTCCGCCGTTGCTGCTGGTGTTGGTGAAAGATTTGTCAAGTATATGCCGGCATTCTTGCCATTTTTGACACAGGCCTTACAAAATAATGAACTGCAACTGTCGGTGGTTGCGGTTGGGTTGGTTGCCGACTTAGCGCAATCTCTTGGACCCAATATTGGTCAGTATTTGGAGGGATTTATGAATTTGCTTGCGACTGATCTTAGTTCGGAGTCTTCGCGAAGAAACTTACGTCCCGCCATCATCCTGTGCTTTGGTGACGTCGCGACCTCGGTTGGAACAAGCTACCAACCCTATCTCAAATTTACTATGGGTTTCTGTCAGGAAGCTCAACGGACTGAGGCGCCTGACTCTCTGTTGGAATCGACGGAGTATATCGCCAATTTGCGCGAGGCAGTTCTTGATTGCTATGCCGGTATTGTTACTGCCTTTTCGACTTCACCGGGGGAAATTTCTGAATTTATCAGTGCTATATTTGAAGCCATCCACCAATTGCTGGCCTACGACGAATCTGCTGTTCGAACTGCTGTTGGGTTACTTGGTGATATTGCCGCAATGTACCCTCAAGGGCATCTCCTTCAACTTTACCTGCAACCATGGGTTACTGACTTCATTCGTCAAACGCGCCTGTGCCCTTATTTCGATGAAAAGACTAAGGAAGCAGCAAGATGGGCCCGTGACCAACAGAAGCGTCAAATCGAAAACCACTAGTGTGGCATAAGTGCATTCTTCATTTCTATTCATTCTTACCTCTAATCACATCTCTATTGTCTCTATTGTCTCTATTCATCGAATCTCATCGCTTGTGTTGAACCGTGAGTACATGTGGTGCTCCATATGCAATATAATCTTTATATGTCTAATAAAGGTAGTTACGAAAATTATACTAGGCGCGCGCTCTGAAACGAACAACAAAAGTACGCAATGAAGATATATCTGATTTACATCCTAAATAAAGCAGGAGGTTTGATTTATCAAGAGGATGTGAACCCTGGACTTGCAAAGCTCAGTGCGAATGACTATTTGGTTCTTGCGGGGACTCTTCATGGTATGCATGCCATTGCGCTGAAGTTGAATTCATCGATTGATCCGAATTACCAATCCTCCTCCAATTCACTGGCAAGTTCGTTTAACAACCAGCAACTATTGCAAACGGGCAAGTTCCAAACGCTGAATTCCAACAAACTGGGTCTCAAACTGATCGAGACAGAACTTTTCAACTTGTACGTTTTTCAACTGTTGACTGGAATCAAATTTATCGTGGTGACGACAAGTAATCCTGCAGTTCATATGGACGAAGTCTCTAGCAAAGGCGAACTTTCGAAGCAATTCCAGCTGGTCTCTGAAGTGTATCGCAAGATTTATGCAGCCTATAGCGACTATGTCATGAAAGATCCTTTCTATTCACTTGACATGCCTATAAAGTCGCCCATGTTTGATCGTAGGGTCAAAGCAATTGTTCAATGAACGCTCGAAGGGATAACTGCTTGGATTTTTGACTAGATTCACTCACCACTAGCAACGAAGTGTAAGTGCATTTTCTTTGCTGACTCTACCGTTTCGAAGCCATCAAAGCGGACATTGCAACATTTTCGACTGCGTTACATCCAATTTGATCACGACTGCATTCTTCTTTTCAACATTTGTGGCGTCAATACCTGCTTCCATTCTACTACAGATTTGTCGATCAAATTTGACGCCCTCATCGAGATGAGCTCGAGTACTTTCACAAACATATTCACGATTGAGACACATTCAAAACTGCTGTCATAACGTGTACTACATGAAATTACTTGCTTAAGATTGGTTTATAGTGCCTGATATGAGCATTAATGCGGACCCGGTCCAGAAACTCATTTCGTAGAACGGTAACGTCTAGATATTCGGATCATCAAATCAGTTACCGTCATTGAAGTAAACTACCATTTAATTCAATTGAATCTGACATATGGTAACAAGTTTCCTGGAATTGTCTCAGATTACCAGTTGACTTTGCTTATTCAAAATGAGATCTGAACATGTATGATGGTGTTCGAAATGAGTTCAAAATAAGTACGAGTTTCACATGAATCTCAGTAGGACTGATTACTGACTTGATGAACACGCGAGCTCTACTCAGTTCCACCACATGATGAGAGATAGTTGCGGCATTGGCGGATGGAAGCATTTTTGACCGAGCAAGTTGACCTTCGAAACTCAAATTGTTGTACAATTAGCGAAGTTTTCGTTGTACCCATGACTTATTTCGTTCTCACAAATTTCTAATATTTTGCCAATGTTAGAGAACGCTTTCAATATGAGGTTAGATCGGACTCTTTGCAAATCAAAGAGTTACCCGGATTTAGTCTCCAATTCAAGGAAAGTTGACATAGTTTGCATGCGATATACTGTGTTATAGCTTACGAATGATGCGCCTTTACCTCACTCAGGCGAGCAAAAATGTAACGTCACATTATCGATTCCACGATATCGAGGGCGCATTTCATCTTCCCTATGTTCATGTAGACACTCGAGGGATAATAATGTTCTGCGTGACTAATTCGATTTGAAGCCTAGCTCTCCTTTCTTGCAGGCATGAAATTCTGATCACTATGTTGATCTAGTAGTTTTGTCATGATCATCAATCCTACTATGCATAGAGAAAGAATTGCCCCGAAAAATACAACGTTGTACTTTTTTTTTCTGAGCTCGTCAATTTTTTGACTATACTTGCGACAAATTCAATTGTATAAATTAGACGTCACAATGCTGATGAACCATCTTTTGAATCCTATAGAGCAGACACCCACATACAAACGAATGACGCAAGAGTTTGATTTCACCAACCACTCCCACCACCGCTTCAACCCTTTGACGAACCTGTACATCTTGTGCTCGCCTCATCGGGCAAAGCGACCCTGGCAAGGGGCTCGTGAGGAGATTAAAAAGGATAAAATGCCTGAATATGATCCAAAATGCTACCTTTGTCCGGGAAACATTCGAGCCACCGGAGATTCCAATCCAAAGTATACTGAGACATACATTTTCGATAATGACTATCCAGCAGTGAAATTGGATCAACCGAAATATACCGAAAAGTGGGAAGAAGGGTCACTTGAGCAGCGTCTCTTGAAAACTGAAGGCGTCAAAGGCAAATGCTTTGTCATTTGTTTTTCTCCCAAACATAATTTGTCATTACCACAAATGTCAAAGGACCAATTAGTGAAAGTTGTTGACACTTGGCAAGAGTTATACCGTAAGTGTGATGAGGATAGAGCTGCTGGCCGTGCACCTTACAAATACTTGCAAATTTTCGAGAATAAAGGTTTCGCTATGGGTTGCTCTAATCCTCATCCCCATGGTCAAGCTTGGTGTTTGGATATCATCCCACTGGAAGTGAAGGAAGAATTGCTGAATATGAATGCATACCACAAGACCCATGGTTCGCATTTGTTGGGAGATTACGTTCAATTGGAATTGAAGCATCGTCAACGGGTGGTTTGTGAAAATGAATCCTTTTTAGTTGTTGTCCCCTATTGGGCATTGTGGCCATTTGAAACCCTCTTGGTCTCAAAGGAACATCTTCGCTCCACGGAAGACTTTACTGAGAGTCACAAAGCCGACTTGGCTTCAATCTTGAAAACTTTGACTACAAAGTACGACAATCTTTTCAACACGTCATTCCCATACTCTATGGGCATTCACCAGGCACCATATGACGATGAGCAAGCCGATTGTGCTTGGTTCCACATTCATTTCTACCCACCTCTTCTTCGTTCTGCCACGGTGAAGAAGTTCTGCGTGGGTTTTGAGATGTTGGGTGAGCCACAAAGAGACTTAACGTCAGAACAAGCCGCTGCTAGATTACAGGAATTGGACGGTAACGTTCATTATATGGAAAAGTGATGGCATTATATACTGCATATGTATTATAGACAAAGGAAGCTAGACCTGGCGTAGTTTCTTTAATTGAACAAATCTTGTACGATTCGAAAAAGACCAAATCAGGCAAAACCCTGCCACTCATCATCGCTATTTGAGTCTTCATGCTTAGCCTCCCTCAAGCCCCATTCCACTAAGCGCTCATCTTGAACAACTTCTAAAGATCTCTCCCTAAGCGTTTTCATTTTCGCATCAGTGGATAATCTCTTGAAGGGTGATATAAGAGTATCCACGGGCACCTTGGCGACAATTGCTTGCTTCTCCTCATTCGAGAGTTCAACTTCATCGTTGACCTCTTCCTCTTCGCCGTTAATGTCAAACATGACACGCTCCAATTCATCTAGATATAAATCAATGACGTGGTATGGTAATGCCGAGGGTACTTTGTCCAGACCCAGCAAAACGGTGTCCTGAATGGTTTCCAAGTACGAATCTATTAATGACAGATCCCAGTTTTGCAGAGACAAGAATTTGAACATATGCCGAACCACTCTCCGAATTAACAATAAAAACTTATCAACTCTCCACTTATCGACTTGAGGCCACTCCTTGATCATGATATCCCAAAATGCATGATAGAATGGCACCACTGAAGATTTGAATACGACTTTCGAAAACAACTGACCCAAGTCTTCAGCCAAATTTTGTTGGGGAATAGGTTTATCGCAGTACCACATTGCAAAAAAAAGTCCCCTCCACAACTTATCGTGATCAAGTAACAGCAACTTTGTCAGGTTTTTGGCTCCAAGAAATCTTCTCAAAGATTCCAAAGCCTGATCTCTGACTTTGTCATCATTTGATGCTAGTCTTTTGACAAAAGCCGTGGACGACATGTGTAAATGGATCTGCACGCGCGATGAGATGCCTTGATGAAAATCGAATCCGCGAAATCGAGACGCCAGAAATATCCGGAGTCTGTAAAACGACTAAGATATAGATGATTTTCTCCTGTTCCTCATTACTTAAACATACCTAATAAATACTTGATGGTAATATGTCTTAGAGGGATCAATGCATTCACTTTGTGGTCAACAACTAACCAACAATTTTGGGTGCCTTTGTCTTCAACTGCAATCCATGCCATTGGGAGATTTCATCCTTTAATAACTCATTCACCAATCGGTGTTGCTTGATCATGGGTATACCTTTGAATTTATCGCTTTCAACCTCAATGGCGAACATGGAACCACAGCCTCCACTCACATCTTTTACTGAAAGCTGCTTTGGTTGGAAATGCGATTGGAGCATGTCGTAAATTTTCTTCTCGTATGTATCCATCGGCGGAGTATGGAGACAACGACGTGCTCTGATGGATGGCACAATCCTGCGGTACATGATAACTTGTAGTCAGATCACAATCTCGACAATTTTGGTTGGTGCGACTGACGACTAAGTTAGTCTAGTGAAACGTGGGGGTTTGATAAAGTTCCTTGAATCCCAAAGCAGCCCTGGTAATTGGGCGAAGTAGCTCCATGTTGCATTCATTATACATGTATGCTGTTGATTTCAACAGATAGATTTGTAATCATTTTGAAATTCAATCTTCCTCAGATATTCAAGCGCATTATGCCTCCACTTCCGCATCCTAGTGGTTACACATGCAAACATCTCCGCCACCATCGATTCGAATAGTTGTCTGTGGTGATGACTTTGTGGGCAAAACGCTGATGATTCTGACGTTTGTTAGTGAGTCAAAGCCGGTACACACGCTCATGGCACCTGTTACAATATCAAGACATGACTTTCCAGACATGGCTGACGACATCGAAAATATTCCTGAGAGTATCACAATCATAGATACAAACTCAGCTCTGGGTGTTTTACATAAAGAGTTAAAACGTGCTGACGTGGTTTGTCTTGTATATTCAGATCACTATTCTTATGAAAGAATTCTGTTGCAATGGATGCCTATGCTTCGGTCCATGGGAATCAATATACCCGTTGTTGTATGTGCTAATAAGCAAGATCTTTTATCTCAGCAACAATCCAGACGACAAGATCTGGAGGAGTTTATCCCCCTAATTAACGAATTCAAAGAGATCGAAGCATGCATACGTTGTAGCGCAAACAATGATTACAACATTGTTGAGGCATTCTACATTTGCTTGCGAGCAATCACACATCCAATACTGCCATTATTCGATTCCAAGGAAGGAACTCTCAAATCAGCAGCTCTTAAAGCTCTCAAAAGGGTTTTTTTTCTTTGTGATAAAGATCAAGACGGCTTTCTTAACTATGAAGAATTTGCTGAACTTCATCAAAAATGTTTTGGCAAGTCTTTGGATGAGGATGAGTTTGAACAGATCATGGGCACACTCAATAAAGTTGTCATTCCAATAGACACCGAGCATTCCCGAAAGATGTCAAAAGACGCATTCGCCGTGCTCAATAAGCTATATGCTGAGCGGGGACGTCACGAAACTATATGGGGTATTCTTCGAGCGTTCCATTACACGAATTCGCTTTCTCTTAGCGATCGATTCTTATACCCACATCTCGATGTTCATCCTCACCTGAGTGTGGAACTTAGTCCCACCGGGTATCGCTTCCTTGTCGACTTGTTCTTAAAATTTGACAAGGATAATGATGGGGGTCTCAGTCAAGTTGAGCTCGACAATTTGTTCACACCTACTCCATGCATTCCTAAACTTTGGATTGACCTGAATTTTCCTGCTCTGATTGTATGCAATGACGAAGGACATTGTACGCTTCAGGGCTGGCTTGCTCAATGGAATTTGACAACTTTTTTGGACTATCGAACGACTCTCGAATACTTTGCTTATTTGGGCTATGAGGGATGCATACCAGCTGTGAAGGTCACCAAACAGCGTAAGCGTCGTCAAAGGAAGGGACGGTATTATAGACAAGCGGTGAGTGATCGAAACATCTTTCACTGTTTCTTGGTTGGTGCCCCAAAACTGGGCAAATCCTCATTAATTGAGCTGTTTTTGAGAGATACTTATTCGGAGACGTATTCACCAACTTTGAAACCCAAAATATGTGTAAAAGACATTGAGCTTAGAGGGGGAAAACAGTGTTATTTGATTCTAGAAGAGTTAGGAGATTTGGAACCGGCTATTTTGGAAAATCGTGAACGCTTAGAATCTTGTGATGTGATTTGTTACTGTTATGATTCTAGTGATCCGGACCTGTTCCAGTATCTTGTTGATCTTCGGGAGAAATTGAGTGATCGTGTTGACGAAATCCCCTCAGTATTCGTCGCGCTTAAAGCAGATTTGGACAAGCAACAACAGCGTCTGGATATACAACCGGAAAACTATACTCGTGATCTTCACTTGGCTCTGCCTTTGCATATATCTTCCGCTTGGCCAACATCTTTACATGAGCTATTTATACAATTAGTGGATGCTGCAAAGAATCCAATCCTGGCTACGCCTGGTATCGAGCATGATCGGGACGAGAGGATGGAAGAGAATTTCAAACACGTTGTGATTGCGGGGAGTGCTTTAACAATTGTGGCTTTCGTTTCCATTTGGATTTGGAGAGGCACTCGACAAAGCAGGTCATAGCTCAAATAACTTCATTGGTTTTGGGGGTAGGAATCATTGGTCAAGAGCGGTGTAGCACTATTAACGTGTATTGTAAGTCATACCCTGCTACAGTATTAGCATGTGACATTAATCCGTACTTTGGAAGTAATGATATCGTAGTGGTTTTCTTCCATGATTTGTATGTACGGGTGTAATCAAAATTTCATTACCGTACTCGCGCATCTTTTATCCATTCCAGTCGCAAACTAAAATAATTGCACTCCGATGCTATATTGATTTTACGTGCCTTTTGCAGTTACTTATGGATGATGAAAACACTCCCGGACAACTCAACGCACTTGAGCTTCTACCAACGAAACTAACATCGATCGATGTTACAAAAATCGCTATCCGCGAGGAGAATTTGTTTGTTATCAACTGTCCTACTTCAAGCCTCGAACCCTACACACATGTCAAATATAACGGCAATGAAGCAATCATGTTTCCTATTCGAAAAGATCATTGCGGAATATACCTATTGTCGAGTGAATCTATCAATGATATCTCACAGACCAAATCACCACATATATTGGCGACTTCGTTAAATGATTGCCACAAGGAGTGGACATCGGAGTTAGAAAACCAGTTGTATGGGATTCATGTTGAAAAATTTTCGATGTCAGACTCTCTGTTAATGAAGTCGCCGAAAACATCAATAGTGCAAAATGCCCCCGATTTCGAAGACGCACAAGAGTTCTTAGACGATCGCTATTACTCCGTGCTTTATTCTTTCAATATTCCATTAACGTATTTTCCCAAAACAACACTACCACGTGTGCGTGTTTTGAGTCAGCAGCATGGTGTCGATTTGAAATCTGTCTTGGGAAGGCGTCTTTTGAAAGCTATAGATTTGGAGCAGCGACATTCTCATAAATTCGGTTGCTTACAGCACGCAAGTGCCGGGTTTGATCTTGAATACAGTAATAAGTTTCGTCATTTGGTCTCGGAGGCTGAAGCCAAAGCAGGGGTCGCTCTGGATGAAGTTAGACATTTGGAAGAAAATCTTAAAAAGATCGTGGCAGATTTAAAGTTTCGTGAAACGTGTCTTCAGTTGTTATTATTATTGGAGATTCTTGTGGCCGCCGAAGTTGACGAAGGTGATTTTCTTGCATCGAATGCTAAAATACTTGATAGAGAACAACGACGGCAGGAGCGTATGAATAGAAAACGATTGATTCGCTCAGGTACCAAACGGAAGATTGTACCGACTTTCTTGGGAATGGGTGGAGAGTCGTCGTTGATCTCATCAACTTTAAAATTCGAAAATAATAGCACCTTTGAATGGTTTCTGTCGATGAATGCCCATCTTGATCGTCTACTTCTTTGGGATGCGTTGGATATGGCGGGCGGGGTAACAGAGTCCAGAGTTTTTCAATATTTGGCGTACGTTGTTGTACCATATTTCAAGAGATCGCTTCCAGAAATTGTCAATTTCATGGTTCACAAGTTTAAGGCTGGCACTGTCAAATACCCAAAGCATCGATCAAAACCAAAATTAGATCGATCGGGCCAACCAAAGCATACTCTGAAGCAATCTGTTTCGAAAGCGACAAACAAATACAGTTCGCGTGTGATGCAGGATCGACCCACGTTAGCCAAATCTTTGCACACTGATCCATTTCCAACTGTCCCGCTCAAGAGAACTTCTTCGAGTTTCGCTTCATCAATGAGCACGCAGCAATTGCAAAAGCGACAAATCGACTTTAGCGTGAAGAGACTGAAGAGTACACTTGACACTAGTCTGGCCAAACTGCCATCGACAGATAGATGTTCGCTTCGATCAATCACATCCTTTACGCGATCGTCACAAGGTTTGTTTGGTGAACGACGTAAACGGACACATGATCAACCCCTGACACAACAAATCAAAGCAACTCCTATCAAGACCATTTCGACGAAAACGGCGAGTCAGGTTACACAATCTAGTTCAAGTCTTCTTGAGCGGCTTATGGATGCAAGTGAGGAACAGGTCAATTCATCGCCTATAAAAGTGACATCAGCGAATCTGCTGCCTTTCAAGACTCCTCAAAAACTGGAAACTCGCCAGTGGGGAAAGTATTCTCCGACTGATAGTCCTGTTGTTATCGCGTCAAGTCCTGTCGCAATCATGACGCCTTTACCACGAACCGATTCTGCCATAATCACAGAAACTCCGAATTCTAAGAATGGCATGTCGTATGAAGCGGCTGCCGCTGAATCGCCATGCAAAAAGGGAACAGCAAAGCTCAACATTCATTCCGATGCGTTCGTGGGAATAGCGTCGCCGTTTTATCCTATTAATGATGACGATGTCACTTACGACGATGATGATTGAAAATATATCCGTTATATTCATTAAAATATAGTGTAAACACTTCTTCTAATCCCTGAACCCGTAAAACAAGTGTAACACTCAAACAATCAAGTATCTGATGGGAATGTGCAACAACTTGACGGCGTAACCAACAACTCCCATCATGACAAAACCAACGCCAACGGCTTTTATGATCTTTGTATATTCTTTTTGGTCGGGCTTCTGGCACTTCTTGATGAAAGCCAGACCATCTCTGAAAAATTCGACGGGTACTTCAGTGAGTTTCTCAATGCCTTCGGACGCCATAGTGAGTTGGGGATCAGAGCCGTCGAAAGCGTGGAAATTTTCGTTCTACGTGTTTCTTAACTTACATGCAGGTGCGCGTTTCCATAGTTGCAAGGCTTTACAGACTGTTACGCAGAGAGTTGGCCGAGTAGAGTAAAAGTAGCATAAGTATAAATTCAATTGTAACACAGACCAACAATGTCAACATGGGTTTCTTTGGTTTGTGGCGAAGGAGGCATATCGATGCCACTCTCGATACTGCTGAAAATCTTTCTGAGAAATCCAGCAATGGGGCAAACATGGATGATCACTCTTTGCATAGAAAGCCAGGACGAAGTCTGCTGATAAAGTCGTTTCACGAACTCGTCCATGAGCAAGAGGAACCACAATCGTTACACAATATGCGATCGAGGAAACTTGTGGTTTTCAACGAAAAGGTTGGCACGTTGCAGAATCGACTTTGGCGCCAACGCCGAGACCAACCAAACAAGTCAATCTTGAAAAACTCCAACAGAAATCTCGACGAGGAAATAATAAATACGGAGAAGTACATGAAATTGCGAGACCACTATTTTGATCAAGTGATTGTCAGATCGTCATACTATGGACAGATCAATGGCTACCAACATGGCGGTTCCGAGACTGATCTTCTTCGTATGAAACAACTCATCAGCCGAACTGAAATTGCGGAAGGAGATGGCTTCGCTTCAACAATTTTACATATGAGTGCAAATGATTAATAAACACATACATCATATCGCGAAGGAAATTTCAGACGCGTCATGTCACAGAAGAGAGGAGCCACCATCTACGACTTTTTCAAAACGACAAAGAAAGCAAAAAATGTTCAAACACCAGAATTACCGATAAGCCATGTCAGGAAGACTGACTCCACGTCATCTGAACTCAGAGTACCGAACGAAGCAAATACCCCCTCGCCTCATTCAAAAGAGCCAAAGGAGGCAAACGGTCGTTCGTTACAACTGGAAAATTCAGCAGTCGACGTCAATGAATCCAGTCCAGTTTCCCCCCAAATGACAATTCCACAAAAAATGACCCAATTAGATTATGATGCGTATTGTGCTCGATATGACTTTGACAAGCAAAGCTGGATTCGCGGCTTGAACCAAGAGGAGCGTGATTTATTGAGAACTGAAATCAATTATTTGCACATTAGTTGGTTGGTGTTTTTACACAAAGAGTTAACGAAGCCGTACTTTTTGAATTTGAAGAGATTCTTAAAGCAACAAGGCGATCTTCAGAAGACAGTGTTCCCCCCCGAGAATCAGATCTATAGCTGGTCTCATTTGACTCCCCTTCCATCCGTGAAATGTTTGATTTTGGGCCAGGATCCATACCATAACCATAACCAGGCACATGGTCTTGCTTTCTCTGTCCTAGAACCAACCAAGCCGCCCCCTTCTCTCAAAAACATTTACAAGACAATAGCGATTGACTATCCTAATTTTGAGGATCCCACGAAGTCCGGGAGCAAGTCTACAGGTGGGGGTAATTTGAGCAAATGGGCCGAGCGAGGGGTTCTCATGCTAAATGCATGTCTCACCGTGGAGGCTCATAAAGCTAATTCTCATGCCAAACATGGGTGGGAACAATTTACAGAACAGGTTATCAAATCAGCTGTCGACTATCACAAAAACGATGGTTTCGTTATAATGGCTTGGGGTCTGCCAGCTCAGCAGAGAGTCTCTAAACTTAATCAAGACTTGCTGAAGTTCTTTGTATTGAAGACAGTGCATCCCTCGCCTTTATCGGCTTCTCGTGGATTTTTCAGCTCTCAAGTCTTCCTTCGGTGTAATCGGTGGCTCGAGGAACACGGCAAACCAAAAATAGATTGGGGAATTGTTGAAAACAATATTGTAATGTAGCATACATTGGTATAGACTTCACTCCGATTTATGCTCATCTGATAGGATTTACGAAAATATTCAATGCACCACGGACTTCTTCGAAAATTCCTGGTTCAAATGTGCCCAAATTTGCTATTTTAAAATTTATTCCTTGATTTCCATCAAATTTCCGCAGCCAGATTCGGAGGTATGTGAATCGCGCGACTGGACTGAAAACAGGCTCGAGATGTTGTCGACGCGGGTTCCCCCATTTCAGATGGCATGCGATGTCAGAATACCCTATACAAATTCATGTTTAACGCGATATTTGTAATATATAGCAAAACTAAATACTTCAAAACGCGATGATGTACCCGACAACCTCCGATCACTTCTGTGGCAAATCAAACATTGATAAACACGTTCTGCATATAATGAAATGACGTGCATGCTCATGAAGATTCCCCACTTACCGTGTATATAAATTTAGCGAGCCACAATACAATCCAAAGGGTGAAGTACAACGGTAGATGCAGAGATAATCAACTCGAAAGAGCTTTGCGATTCTGGTTTATAAATGGCAGTCAATTGAAAATAAAGTTGGGGCAATCGGCTGTCAAATCTACACATTTTGCAACCATTTTGATTCCGAAAGACTTCATAAAGTATTCAAGGTCTAGCTCATTATCTTCTGACTGACACCCAATAAGTATAGATCATCAAGTTATCTGAGTCTTTCACAATCTCAAATTTGGATGAGCTGCACTCATCGCCCTTCGTCATGACACAGATGTTTCATCGGCTCTCACTCACGAGGTTTATTTTTTTGGCCCTGCACCTTGGCAGGGTTAGACGCACACCACAGAACGGTCTGCGCAGGCCGCTTCACCCATTGCCCTACTCATAGTTTTTTTTTCTGGTCACCCCTAAATTGACCACTTGCCAGCTCGATGAATCCTGATCAGCGCAAGCGATATCTTTTGGATGGTGACCCTAAGGAAGCTAAAAAACTCGACGCAAACGGGGATGATGTCGTACGGCGGTATTCGTATCTCGTCGGCCTTACTCCACTTTTCCGCCACTTCATTGATATGCTGAAAGTTAAGGACGCCGGACTTCGACGCCAAATCGCCGAACTCAACAAAAAACCTTCTAAGACGCGTAATCGAAGTGGCGGTGGTGGCCGTACGCGGAAGACTGAGAAGCAAGAGGATGCCGAGTTGTTATATGAGGAGGATCATGAGCCAAATGCTACGGTGCTCACCGAATCGCCCAGTTACATCGAAGGTGGAACTCTTAGAGAATACCAAATTCAAGGTCTCAACTGGTTGATATCACTTTATGAGAATCGTTTACTGGGCATCTTGGCTGACGAAATGGGGTTAGGTAAGACGCTCCAAACCATTTCATTTCTCGGATTCTTACGCCACCACAAAGGCATAAATGGGCCTTTCATTGTCATTGTACCGAAACTGACTTTGGATAATTGGCGGCGAGAGTTTGCGAAGTGGACACCGGATGTGGATATTTGTGTGCTTCAAGGGAATAAAGAGGAGCGCGCAGAGATAATATCAAAACGATTAATGAAAGCTAAATTCGATGTTTTGATCACCTCTTTCGAGATGGTCATTCGAGAGAAGGCATGTCTCAAGAAGTTTCGTTGGCAATATATTGTTGTTGATGAAGCACACAGAATCAAGAATGAAGATCTGAGTTTGTCTCAGATCATCCGTCTATTTTACCTGAAAAACAGGTTACTCATTACTGGGACACCTTTACAAAACAATTTGCACGAACTCTGGGCATTGCTCAACTTTTTATTGCCTGATGTTTTCGGTGACTCAGAACAATTCGACGCTTGGTTTCAAGAGAACGAGGGTGATCAGGACAATGTGGTAAATCAACTCCACCAATTATTGCTGCCATTTCTATTGCGCCGTGTGAAGCTGGACGTCGAAAAACTGTTACTTCCTAAAAAAGAATCCAACGTTTACATCGACATGGTACCGATGCAACTTGATTGGTACTCTAAACTTCTTGAAAAGGATATCGATGCAGTAAATGGTGCTGTTGGCAAGCGTGAAGCCAAGACGCGATTACTTAACATTGTGATGCAATTGCGAAAATGTTGCAATCATCCATACTTATTTGATGGAGCAGAGCCAGGGCCACCTTATACCACTGACGAGCATTTGGTGTATAATCTGGGTAAAATGATAATTCTTGACAAAATGCTTAAGAAATTTCAAAAAGAAGGTCTGCGAGTTCTTATCTTTTCGCAAATGTCGCGGCTTCTTGATATTCTTGAGGACTATTGCATGTTTCGTGAATACGAGTATTGTCGTATTGATGGGCTGACATCTCATGAAGATCGTATTGCCGCAATTGACGAATACAATGCTCCAAATTCAAAAAAGTTCGTGTTTTTGTTAACCACTCGGGCTGGCGGTTTGGGGATCAACTTAACGACGGCTGACATTGTGATTCTTTACGACTCAGATTGGAACCCCCAAGCAGATTTGCAGGCTATGGATAGAGCTCACCGAATTGGTCAACAAAAACAGGTCTATGTGTATCGATTTGTAACGAACAAGAGTGCTGAGGAGAAGGTACTTGAAAAGGCCGCTCAAAAGCTTCGTCTTGATCAGTTGGTCATTCAACAAGGACGGACACTAAACAAGGTTGCCAAAAATAGTGCCAGCCAAAATGCTGTAAATCTGAAGGATGCATTGATTGGAATGATCCAACATGGCGCTAAAGAAGTTTTCGAAAATAAGAATAGGAAGAAAGGAGAAAAGAGTGAGATGTTTGACGATGATATCGACGCCATTCTTGCTCGTGGTGCTGAGCGCACGAAGGAGCTCAACCAAAAGTTTAATACTCTTGGCTTGGACGATCTCAAAAATATATCTTTCGATGGTGGATCAAATTACGAGTGGGATGGCAAAAATTTTAAGAAGAAAGATGCCCAATCTTTCACCCTTCAAGGCGGATGGATCAACCCCCTGCGACGTGAGCGAAAAGAGCAACAGTATCTGGTTGACAATTATTACAAAGATGTCCTTAATTCCAATGGAGGTGATAAGCTGACTACCATTAAGCTCAAGCAACCCAAACAGATAAATTTGCAAGATCACCAATTTGCACCTCCTGAACTTCAGGCGCTTTTGGACCGTGAACAATTGGCCTATAAAAAAGAAATAGGGTACAAATATCTGGCTTTCGACTTTGACAGTGACGATGAAGTGGAATTTGAGGATGATCAGCAACAAGATGATGACGATGATGAAAATCTTCTGACAGCAGGGCTCACGAAGGAAGAAAAAATGGCCTACTGGCAACGCAAGGTTGACGAAGTGGTACCTCTATCCGAGGAGGAACTCATGCTTAAACAAAAGCTATTAGACGAGCTGTTCACCACTTGGAGTCGTCGAGACTTCACCAATTTCATTCACGCGCTGGCGAAATTTGGGCGCGCTAACTTAAATGAGATTGTAAGAGCTCTCTCCGCGAAGCCTGAAGACGAAGTTCGCCGTTATGCTGCCACTTTTTGGGACCGCTATAAAGAAATCGAGGGCCATGAGAAATACATCCTGCAAATTGAGGCTCAAGAAAAGAAAGCTGCTAAGCTAGAAAATCAGCTGAAGTTGTTGAAGGCTAAGTTGGAGGCGTGTAATGATCCACTTGAAAATCTTACAGTGCAATCTGTTCCTAGTAGCTCCAAAAGAGTTTACACTAAAGCTGAGGATCGCTTCTTATTGGTGAAAGTTCATGAGTATGGTTTATTCCTGGAAAGTCTCAACGAAAAAATTAAAGAGGATATCATGCGCCTGGATTTGTTCAAGTTTGATTGGTACTTTCTCCTGCGTACTCCCCAAGAGATCGGTCGGCGTATCACTACCCTCTTACTTGCATTACTGAGAGAAGCCGAGGGCCCCTCTAAAAAAAGAATCAAGAAAGAAGCTACCTCCCTGCGAACAGGATCCACCGAACCAAATGGGAAGCGCGTGACTCCAGAAACGCCTGGAGATAGGGTTCCAAAGAAGATAAAAAGAAACGAGTAACTACATCGTCGAAAGCAGTTTGTCGGTGAAAATGTAGTTTACAATATAATGAGTAACGAGATATATATACAAGATCATTTCAACCACAAGAAGTACCACTTCTTTTGATTCTTTTTTTCCTGTTCTTCCTTCATCTTCTGCATTAAGCGCTGCTTGAGCTCTTCTTCTTCTTGATTTCTCCGATTTCTCTCTATCTCATAGGGATCCTCGATAACGATCTCACGAGGCATTCCATCTTCGCCAACCTTTTTGTCTCTGATCAATGCAGCTACCGTTATAAACAAAGTCAAGTAGAGGAATACTTTGGTGACTGGATCCATGCGTTTGAAGTCAAACTGCGGTTTGCGTACCTCAGTTTCAGCAAGCACTACCGGAGGAAGTTTTTTTATTACGGTAGTTGCAGTTGGGTTCGAATCTTTGACTTTTGAGGGAACGGTAAATGGGAGATCATAAGGAGCAGTTGTAGTACTCCAATTATCAAATTTGTCTCGCACCCCCCAATTCCCGTAAGCAATATAGTACCCAAGCCTTTTATCGGCAAGAGTAAGTTTACACCAACTCTTGTCGTACTTATCTTGCAACTCCTTAAGCACTTGGCCTTGATGCAAAAGGGATAAGCTGGCAAACTCTGCTGGATTATTCCAGATTGGTGTTGTGTCGATGGGTTGAGTGGCTTCATCAGATCCAGACCCGAAAATCAGACCCATATCTTTGATCGACTGAATCGCAAGCTGTGCAGCCTGCTTCTTGGACTCCTCGGGAGAAAGCTTATTAGCACTGCTTTGGCATCGTACAACTTGTCTCGTTAGGTGAATTGACCGAAGCATGCTATCGAACCAAGACCTGAGCGGGTGCGAAAACTTAACTGATGAGCTCATAATTATTGTAAAATTTAAACAGCCTCCTTAATTACTTATTTTGATCAGCTCCATCTTGTGATCGTTGTATTCTATTAGTATGAACTGAATAGAAATCAGCAAGTTGCACTTCCGTCATTGTCGCTGTGCAAGGTTGAAAATTTTTTGACACAATTTCCCACTTAACATACTTCCTAATAGAACAAATCTGGTAGCGGCATAATTGGTCTACATGAATCATGTCTCCCCTTTGTGTCTTCAAAGTGAGAAGAAGCGTTGTAAATTATCAATAAATGCGTTGTTATAACGTAACAAACCTTCTTATTTCATTATAGATAAGCTGGGGCCCTTACGTAAACATCTTCGAAGTCCTTTACTATCGCAGTTTAGGAGGACGCTAAGACTATTTCGTAAGGTTGACTAATTTTTAAGTTACAATCATTCCACTCATAAATGCTACCAACCATACTTAGTAAGATCTGCCGAACATGCAGTAAGTCGTCGCCACTTTGTCACACTTGACACACTTTTGACCCTCATTCAACTTCGGTTGGTCGTAGGGAATACACAACGACTTGGCGCCCATCGAAGGAGCCTTCTCATCGACTTCTTCTTCCTCACCATTGTCCTTTCTTGCCGAACAATCTTTAATATCATCTTCACAAGAAGCGTCGCCACACCAGGGAGCAACAATCACATTCTTGGCGTTCAAAGTGGGGACAAAATCTTTCCATTCCGTGACAACCACTCTGTGTTCGTCGAAAGACTTACGAGCACGTTCCAACAATTCCTTTTGCATGGTGTCCAAAATTTGTTTGATTTCGTCCTCCAAATTGGCCAAAGAAACAGTAGTCTTGGCACCAGTGTCTCTTCTAACAACGGTACAAACTTGCTTCTCTGCATCCTTAGGCCCGAATTCGACACGCAAGGGAATACCCTTGAGTTCAGCATCAGCAAATTTCCAACCAGAAGTGTAGTTCTCTCTGTAATCACCGGTCACACGAACGCCAGCACCGTCCAAACGAGATTCAATATTCTTTGCTGCCTCATTGATGGACGCCTTCTGTTCAGGAGTCGACTTGGCTGTAATACCTACCGGAATCACAACAACTTGATATTGAGCAACTCTGGGAGGCAACACCAAACCCTTGTTGTCCGAATGAGTCATAATCATGACACCGATAACTCTAGTAGACAACCCCCATGAGTTTTGGTATGCATACATCCGGGGCTTGTTACCACCTTCCGGGCTTTCAACCAGAAGCTCGAACATTTTCGAGAAGTTTTGTCCCAAGTGGTGCGAAGTGGCACCCTGGATACCTCTACCAGTGGCAGCAATAAAGCCTTCGACAGTGGTGGTGTAATCACCACCAGCGAATTTTTCATTTTCAGTCTTGCGACCAGGAATCACAGGCACGGCCAACAACTCTTCATAGATACGCTTGTACAATTCGAGGATTTGCTCAACTTCTTCAGCAGCCTCGGGTTGAGTCAAATGAGCAGTGTGGCCTTCCTGCCAAAGGAACTCTCTTGTTCTGAGGAACGGTTGAGGGTGCTTGAACTCCCATCTTACCACCGAGTTCCATTGGTTCAATTTAAGGGGCAAATCACGATGCGATTGGACCCACTTAGCATAATAGGGGTACATGACGGTTTCAGAAGTAGGACGGATAGCAATGTGTTCTTCCAAATCAGAAGAACCAGCCTTGGTGACCCATGCCACTTCTGGAGCGAAACCTTCGATGTGATCTTTTTCTTTCTCCAAAACTTTCTGGGATACGAACATGGGGAAGTAAGCGTTTTTGACACCCATCTTACGGATATGTTGGTTGAACCAGTCTTGGATGGTTTCCCAGACATAGTAAGAGTTAGGACGTAAAATGTAACACCCAGATACGTCATAGTAATCCAACATTTCACCCTTGACACAAACCTGTGAATACCAGTTGGAAAAATCTTTGAGTTTGTCAACGGTAATGCCAATCAATTTGGCATCTTCCAACTTGGCAGATTCTTTTTCCGCTTTTACGGACTTCTTGGGGGCAGGGGCTGCGGTAGCTGAAAAATCAACCACCTCATACTCAAATTTGGATGCTTCAATCCATTCCTTAAGAGTTTTGAAAGGCACAGCTACTTTGGAGGAAGCAGTAGCCAATTCAACAATATCGGTGTCCTTGAAGTTGGCGTCGATTAACAAAACGATCTTTTTCTCATCAACGTTCTTCAGGGAAAGAGACGCGAGAGAGAATTCTTCCTTAGTGGTACCGAAGAAATCCGCAATCAAATCATCTGAAGCAGTTCTAGGTTCCTTGGCCTTGGCAGCCGCCGCGATCGCTCCAGTGGGAGCAGTGGTAGTCTCGAGTCTAAAGACGACAATGGGGATAGGGGTGGCAGTCTTGGCAGTCTTCGGCTTGAATACTACAGTCTTCGTAGGAAGACCGTTCTCGTTCACAGTGCTCAAGGAAAGAGCCGCTAAGGATTGTTCAAGCAGCATCAACGAAAGATGTGGAGGATGCAAATTTTGACGATGCTGCTGTAAGAAGTGGAGTGCGGCGAGTGACGCGCGACGACACGAGACGAGTTGTGCAAAAATTTCGCGATGGCATGCATGAACAAGTTTAATTTCAAAGTAATGGCGGGTAGATGGTGGGTGAGTCACAATCAATCATCACATCATGAAGGTTGAAGCGAAATGAGAATATATAGAAGGTCATGGACTTGAAAGAGATCAATGGGTGTGTCCATTGTATGCATCAACTTCCTTGAAGACTCATGCCGTGGATGCAACGTTGAAATCTATGATGCCCAACTCTTGCGAAAGCTACGAAAGAAAGTCCACACTGTGCTACAATTGATTAAGGATGTTCTAACTCAATTTGGCTTTGACTCCCCGATTACGCTGCGTTTGTTGGTATTCATCCTCAAACAGTTGATAGGCGTGGTAGTAGCTATCCTTCACTGAGAAATAACGAATTAGGGGCCACAGAAGAATCCAATCAATTACACCGAGATCACGAGCCACCAGGGTTGCTATGTAGTATGCCAATCCCACAACTACACCTAGGAGAACCCCAACGGCAACTTGGGGAATCGTATGGTACCACAAGTATACACGTGAGAATGGCACAAGAATCATAATCACAAGCAACAACGTAGACACTATGATCTTATTTAACCTCGACAGTGGCACTCTTTTAAATAAGATACAAAGGAAATACGCTGCGAAGAACCCTGCAAATTGTGAGTGTGCCAGCGGCATTCCAAACGACGAGCCGTAGGAGCCTTTACCAAAGTCTTTGTGGAAGTCTGGCCTTGGTTCCTTCAATATGTGCTTAACAATCTTATTCAAAACTTCACTTGCAAGGTGGCCTCCAACGACAATCACTGGTTCAATCTCACGGGTTATAAGGAACCAACTGGTGTAGAAAACCATGATATAGATGGGAAGAAGCGATAAATGAACGCTCACTATCGAGATGACATCCTTCGGGTCATACAATATATACGTGTGATCAAACGGAATCGGATCGTAAACCATCGAGAGTGCCGCGCGCGTTGGACGATAGAAGAATAGTGGAAGTGACAACAGGCACGTCGTGCCTAACCATACCCGCGGTCACAGCTACCGGGATCGCTTTCATATATCATCAGAAACATAAAAAAAAAAAAAAAAAGCACACGGTACGACGTTTTGAGGACTACGATGAAACGGTATCCACCTCGCTTTCACGATTATTTGGCTATAGTCCTACAGACAATTTCTTAAAGCTGAATACTCGATACTTGCATTCTCTATGTCGCAACTCGCTATTTTCGTCCTTTGCTCTCGCGAACGCGATTATGAGCCCTTAATAATCATCTCATCTCATTGCGAACAAACTCACTTTAATCGCCTACATGTCTGACGAAGTTATTTGGCAGGTGATTAATCACCAGTTCTGTGCTTTCAAGATCAAGACAGACAAGAAGCAAAACTTCTGTCGAAATGAATACAACGTGTCCGGGTTGTGCAATCGGCAGTCCTGCCCACTTGCTAATGCCCGATATGCTACTGTGAAAAACGTGGGAGGCAGACTTTATCTCTACATGAAGACAGCTGAGCGTGCACACATGCCACTGAAGCTATGGGAACGAGTGAAGCTTTCCAAAAACTATAACAAAGCCCTTGAGCAGATCGACGAAAACTTGCAATATTGGCAAAAGTTTTTGATTCATAAATGCAAGCAAAGATTGACCCGGTTGACCCAGGTCGCCATTACCGAACGACGTATGGCGTTAGAAGAGCATGAAAGAACTCTTGTGCACACTGCTCCCAAGGTTAGACGGCGTGAAGAGAACCGTGAACGGAAAGCTCTTGCGGCGGCTAAAATCGAGAAAGCCATTGAAAAGGAATTATTGGAGAGATTGAAGCTGGGCGCATATGGGGACAAACCTCTCAACGTTGATGAAAACATTTGGAAGAAGGTGATGGGCAAGATGGAGGAAGTGGACGAGGAAGAAGAATTCGACCATGACGATGATGCCGAACTTGTCAGTGACGACGAACTGGACGTGGGCGAAGTAGAGTATGTTGAGGACTCTGACGAAGATGATATGATTGACGTGGAAGATCTCGAGAAGTGGCTCGACAACGAGGCGTCTTCTGAATCTGAGGCAGAAGACTCTGATGGTGAGAAGGAAGAGAAACCTAAGAAGAAGCGTGCCAGAGTGGAAATAGAATACGAACAGGAACAAGAACCTGATACCATGTTGACAAACATCGCTAATTAGACATTATTCACTTCCCGATGATTGTAACTCTAGCATAACTGAACGATAAACGACGACATCGAAATTGATAAACTAAATAGATACGCAAACGTAAGGCACATCAACGTCCTCACCGTTCTTGTCATCACAGCAAATTTCAAATACAAGAGTTTTGACATGTTCTGGAACAGGCTTTTTTGAAACTTCCTTGATAAGTTCGGTCAACTTAAGGTTAACTCTATCCTTCAATTTTTTGGGAGGGAAGAACAGGGCGTATAACAATGAGTTCCCGTAAGACAACATGGAAATTTCCAAGCCTTCCTCGTTTTCAAAGTGGTCCAATAACTCTTGCAAAGTCATATCTCCATGTAACTCAAATCTGTCCCAAATTTTGTCAAATTCTTTGTCGTTGTACTTGCCCTTGCCTGATGCGATTGGTTCGGAAAACCCAACAAAAGGAAGAGCCAAGTTGATAAAACCGTTCTTGTACTGTTCGATATCCTTCTTATTAGCGACCAACTTGTATAACTCAAGACATACCAACCCAGTAACCAAGGCGGTAGTGGTTGCGATAGCTGGAATAATCTTACCAGCAATGAACTTCGTTTTGTGGGCATCAGCAGTTTCAATGCCATAGTTCAAGGCACGGCAGTTAGAAGCAGCAGTAATGAACTCAATGTGATGGTTTGTGTCATCATCTTTCTCGAATTCAATGGGCAGCAAGCGGAAACCTGCAAGAGTGGTTGGTTCAGGAAGCGACAGGGCAATCTTTTGAATCTCCGAATCGTCCAAGCCCCCTAAGGCCCTTGCTTGCTCTTCAGCTTCTGCATCAGTAGCAGCAATCTTGACACCCTCCCTTGGAGTAAAAGGAGTGGGAGTGTAATCTGCAAGGACCTTTTCGTAGTGCTCAGGGCTGGGGTCGGTTTCCTTCAAACCGTAAACATAGGCCAAAAGATTGGCGCCTGCGACAACAAAGTGAAAGTGATCAGGATTTGAAACATCAAATTCAAGAGCATCAGGGGCCCTCTTCGGTCCCGACCAGAAGGGTGCCCCTTGGGAAGTCTTAGCATCTTTGGGAAAGTTGTGCAACAATTGCTTGATGTCATGATTAAACTTGGTTTCGAATTCTTCGCGTGCCCAGCGAATACAATCGTCAAAAGAGTACGGCCGACGGTCACTATTCAAATAGCTTGCGATATTTTCCAAGGTGCCCTTAATATCAGCGTCTTGCTTCAAGGTTTGCTCAACATAGTTCGGCTGAGATAAGTACAAATTGCAAGATTCGGGGGAATCGGCAAAATAGCCCTGGAATAACGACTTCGCCCATGCGATAGTGTGGTCAATCTTGTTGGGGAACGAACGAAGCGTACATAATGGAATCAGTTTTTCGGGGGGGTCTTGCGACAGAGAGTAAGACTCAGTGATGTTCGGGATGACAACCTGAGTGTTTCCCTTGGTGCCCAAGGTACCAGATTCCAATAAGGGCTTCTTGTAGAATACGCACCGACGATCAACGTAGGTACGTGCCTCAACATTATCCAATGCGTTGGTCACAATATCAATATTCTTCCAAAAGGCATCGGTGTAAATGTCCTCAGTATCGGCCCCCACCTTGTCAAGCTTCGCTTCAATTTTTCCCTCAAAGTCGGAATTCATAACCGCTACTGCAGCAGCAGCCACCTCGGACTTATTCTTACCAACATCCTTGGGACGGAATAAGAATTGACGGTTCAAATTAGATTTTTCAATAGAGTCCATGTCTGTAACTATGATTTTCCCATTCGACCCCAGTCCGAGACCCATCATGGCCCAATTTTTGAGCATTTCGCAGCCAATCGCACCAGACCCGACAAGGAACACCTTGAGATTGGCGATCTTGTTTTGAAAATCCTTGCCGAACACGGCGATCTGCCCGTCATAACGAGATTGTTGGGGCGAAGTGGTTTCCTCGGTACGGGGGAAGTCCTTTGAGTCGGGGAGCGATTCAAGCGAATCAAAATATAACCATTGGATCACTGGACCAAACTTGGATGACACATTTTTGAGAACTTCCTGGGCAATGAGACCACCATAGAAGGCGCACATGCCAGGAATTTCACCTGTAGATTGATAAGCGAGTTCTGCGATAAGTTTAGCATCAACTTCTTCAACGTGACCTTGTTGCTTGACTACTTGACGAGCAAATTCGACAACTTCGTTAGCGTCTTCAGCGTTGTACAGCTTGGGAAGCTGGTTGTGCTTGTTGTAAAACATCTGAAGGGCTTGGAACCCACAGTGCAACTGTCCAGGACGGTCAAATTTGGCGAAGTCTGAAATCACGAAGTCCGGCTTTTGCAATTGTTCCTCTAACAGCTGGAAAGTGATGTCCTTAGGCATTTTCACTTGTGTCCATATACCACCCTTGACATACTTGGCAGCTTCAGCATTCTTGAGCTGGATTTTGAAAGCGTAGGGCCCGAGAACCTCCACTTTGTATGGTTCCCCCAGGTTCAATTCCTCGATACCATCAACCTCGGTGAATTTGACGTAGTCACCATCTTCTAACCCGTGTCTTGCATCATCACCTAAGGTAGACACAGTGCCCAGAGCCTCGATGTCTGACACTAATCCAGTGAGTGGCTCCTCGCCCGTTTGGTCGATGATGGTAAACTTTTCGCCGAAATCAACAAACAATTGACCGAAGAGGCCTCTGGTGGTGGCATAGATGAAACCAATGTTATGTGAGTGAGTGAAACGGTTAATTTTCACCGCTTGTTCCAAGTCAACGCCCTCAGTTATCACGATACACTTGTAATTGGCAAGCACCGATTCATCCAAGCTGTCGACGACTGAGATTGGCACGTACGAGTTGAGCTCGGCAAGCTTCGGTCTGGTGGCTTCAGCTCTAGTTTTGCCGGCAGCAACGTCTTCAGGGGAGAGGAAGAACTGAGCGGAAAGATCAAACGTGGTGGCTTTCACCGGGTCGTAGAGATCTAACAGCTTGACGCCGGCAAGGGCAACGTTTTTTGCGATCTCGACCCCCAAACCTCGCAACCCGACAATAAGAACATTGGCGGATTGCATCTTGAGCATAGCCTCCTTGCCAAGCACGTATAATTGACGCAGGTAAAGCCCTTCATCGATTTCAGGACCATCTACTTGCATGGCGTTTGACATATTGATTCGAGTGGTGGGAGCAAGTTGGAGAATGGTGAATATTTCGGTGGCGCGCGCCCGGCCACGCACCCACACCCAAAGGTGAGTCTCACCAGTATACTTTGGAAAGTATGGAAACCCTTAACCCTACCTCATGTGAGCTCACTAATACTTCAATCTTCTTAGTTCACATCCTTGGTGTAGGCTGATTGTACTACAGTTCCGTGGAGAACTATGGATTTCGTGATGTGCTCCTTTGGGTATGCTTGCATTGGCTTTGTCATAAGTTGTTAATCCGATAAATACCTCTGGCTAACGATTGCTGGACAATACGTAATTGTGAATTTTCTTGAGGACTGTGCGAATTTTGATATATCTACATCGCTGCTTTCATACAGTACGTCTTCAACTCCTCCTCTCTTCAAAAATGATCTTAGTGATCGTTTGCCGTTATACTCACTGACTATTTGGTGTGACGAATGTGGGGTGCTACCTATTCATGTATGTAGCTGCTGCGTGGCGGGATTACACTGGCATGTCGAGATGTGTTTTCTACAGGTGCAAACGTATTTTTCATTGTGATCAATCATATTTTCTGCGACTTAACTGACGCAAGCTGGCGTTCCTAATAATATACTAGGCTTTTACCGAGTAACGGTGGTCTTCATTCTAACTGTTATGACTCAATATCGAGCACACGCAAGCTCTTGTCGACTCGTCTTCTCGAGTGCATAGAATTTATTTGAATTTCAACGACGTCTGACACAATTTGTTCATTGCGACCAGGTGCATAGTGTCCTACTACCGACCTTCGGCAAAAACCTTATTTTGACCAGTATTATGGTGGCTATTTTTTATAGTATACATCATTGATAATCGAAGCCATGCTTTTTCAACAATGCCTGCACATCTACCAGCTTATCAGTAGGATCTAACGTTTTGACTACTCTCCCCGGAACACCCACCACCACCGAATTCTCAGGGACATTTTTCGTGACCACGGCACCAGCTCCAATCACGCAACCATCGCCGATTGTCACACCCGGCAATACCGTCGAATTCGCCCCTAACCAGACATTGTTGCCGATAATAATGGGATTTCCGCTTTCCATCAACGATGCTCGAAGCGTCGGGTCCAACGGATGGGTAGCCGTAAGAATCAGCACGTTGGTGCCACACATGACATTATCACCAATCTTTACGAGCCCTACGTCCAAAATGGTAAGCCCATAGTTGGCATAGAAGTTATCTCCGACCAGCGTATTGAAGCCATAATCGAAGTATATGGGGTACTCGATGAAGACGTTATCCCCAACTTTACCGAGAAGTTCCTCCTTTAACCAAGTCGCTTTAGCTTTAATATATTCCTGATGGTTAGCGTAATTCCGGCACCTGAAATCACCATAATCACGAAGTTTGTCTCTCACAATCATACGTTGGTGCTCAAGCTCGGGCTGGTACGCGTTGTAGGGTAAGCCGCAGATCATTCTGTCGTAGTTTTCATCAGGTTTAAACGGAATTTTGAGATTATCGTGGACCCACTTGACCAACACATGGTCCATCTCCTCGGGAACTCCGGCGAGTTGGCTGAACTCAGCCTTGGTGAGCTTGTCATAATCAATCGCCATCAATACGTGTCCACGCTCTCGAGATCCACCGCACTTTTATAGTGCAGGATTCCGGACATAATTTTGTTTTACAATTGCTCAATTATGGTGTGTACGTTACCTTGTTTGGCTGATGTGTGTGTGATTCCCATCGGTACCGGACTGGCTCTGGTATCTGACGAAGTGACGTTGGTGACGCGGTTGGCACAGCAGTCGCCGCTCCACACCGTCCTCCACTCTGCGGGGACGACCATCGAGGGTCCCTGGAATGAAGTGATGGAACTTATTGGTCAATTCCACGAGGCGCTTCATAAGCTGGGAGTGGTGAGAATTCAGTCCGACATACGCGTTGGAACTCGGACCGATAAGAGCCAACTGCCTGAAGACAAGGTCAACATTGTCAAGAAAAAGTTGGCTCAAGCCCAGAACGAATAGTCAATATTACCAGTTTATTGTTACATAGTTATACAAAATCGGTACGAGACATACCACTTGATGCTAATTTTCCACGCCCCTCTCGTCAGATTGAGGTTGGGCTAAAGGGAGAAGCCACTCACCAGTATCATGGGCCAGCCACTAGTAGTAGGGCTTATTGTAGTACGGCATTTGGGGCATACGCTGTTGATAATGCAATGCCTGTTGCTGTTGATGTTGCTGTTGATGATGGTGCGGCTGCTGCTGTGGCTGTTGTTGTTGCTGCTGCTGCTGTTGTTGCTGCTGCTGTTGTTGTTGTTGTTGTTGTTGTTGTTGTTGGAGATGGTGCAGGGATTGTTGCACTGGTTGGTGCAATTGTTGTTGGTAATAAGATTGGTGCTGTTGCAGAGGTTGAGCTGTAGTAGGAGCCTGCTGGTGCTGGACGTGATGAGAAGGCAATTGATGAGGTGCAAGCAGGGGAGACTGATGGAGTATTTGCGGAACTTGCTGGGCGATGGGGGGTTGCAGAACTTGCAGTTGCGAAGACTGTGTTTGATTAGACTCTGCAGGCTCCAGTTTGACAGGGTTAGAGTTGTCATTGCTCGAAATGGATGACGACCCCACTTGTTTCTTTTTCTGACCCATATGTTCGACTGCCTTCTCCGTCACCTTCTTCTCTTTAATACACTCGTTTATCGTCTCCTCAGTGACGTTAAACAGACCAGGTTGCAGCCAAAACATCATCCGTATAAGCTCCCGGCATTCGACATCTGTAAAATTTTTCGAAGTAGCTTTGTTAAGCTCCATAGAAATGAACCTCCATTTCTCCAACTCTCCGGCGTCTAGCAAGTTCTGCAAGTTCAACTTGTCTTGGACCGTCCAACTCAGCAGATTGTTGTTACCTTGTTGTCCAACGATAACCTGATAACGATTACGTGCGGCGAGATACAGACCCACTCCTGAAATTTCCGCAATTTCGACCCACAGCTTCCCTTTCTTTTTAAGCGACACAATTAACTCGTCTTGTCGTTTGGAGAATTTCGATTTACGCTTGGCACGCTTTTGTGCCATACCCGCGTTGACATCAGGGCGCTGGGGCGCTCTTGCTAACGGAGGATGTGGCAAAATTGCTTGAAGACGTTCTGGAAAATTGGCAAAGAGCTGGGATGATCCAACGGTTGTCGAAGGCGCTGGCGGACTTGCCGCCGCAGCAGTCGCCGGTGTAGCATGTGTCTGCGCCAGAGTAGTTGCCGGCACGTTTTGAGCCGCCACAGGCGGCTGCGAAGCAGTCGACGGAGGTGTCTGTTGAGTGGAAGCAGGTTGAAGCGCAGCTTGTTGTTGGGGAGACGATGCCTTTTGATGCGGCTGAGCTTGCGGTGGGGGCGGCGGTTGTTGTTGTTGTTGCTGTGGTTGTTGTGCTTGCAGTTGTGCGGTTGTCGATTGAGACGCTGGTGGCTGTTGTTGCAGTGGAGTTTGCAGTTGGTGATGGGCAGCCTGGTGCAAATGAGGCTGGGTGGATTGTGGGGTTCCTTGTTGCGTTGCTTGAGGTTGTTGAGATTGCTGCTGGCTTGGTTGAGGCAATTGCAGATTTTGCTGTACTAAGTGAGGAGGATACTGCTGAGACAAGTGCTGAAGATGGGGCGCCATGTGAGGAGGATGGTTGTAGTACATCGCTGCCTGAGCAGCTTGGGCAGCTTGAGCAGCTTGCGCCGCCTGCGCTTGATGATACAGCTGATACAGACTATGCTGATAACCCGAGCTTGGCGACGTGACTGCGGGTTGTTGAGGATGAGTCTGTGGTTGTTGTGCTTGGGTTTGAGCTGTTTGTGCTTGCGTCGCTTGCGCTTGAGCCTGCGCTTGAGCCTGAGCCTGAGCCTGGGCTTGCGCCTGGGCTTGCGCTTGAGCTTGCGCTTGCGCCTGGGCTTGCGCCTGAGCCTGAGCTTGTGCTTGCGCTTGAGCTTGAGCCTGAGCTTGGGCCTGAGCCTGGGCTTGCGCTTGAGCCTGAGCTTGAGCCTGCGCCTGAGCCTGAGCCTGCGCTTGTGCTTGCGCCTGAGCATGAGCTTGAGCTTGAGCCATTTGTGTTTGTTGCGCCTGTTGAGCCTGATGATTTTGCTGGTACAAATACTGCTGTTGTTGTTGATCGTAGTAGTTCCCGTTCAATTGCGAGTATTGCTGAGGCGTCGTCTGAACCAGCAGCTGAGGTTGTTGAGATTGCTGGCCTCTGAACATATGAGGCGGATACATTTGTTGTTGACTGGGCGCCTGAGCCTGCTGGACACCATAGTATTGTTGGCCGCCCTGTTGGTAAGATGGCTGCTGGAGCACGAGCGGCAGGCTGTAGTAGCGAGCCTGCGCCTGTTGTTGTTGGTCCATATCCTTATGGTACCCTTCGTAGCTCATGAACGGCGGCAGAGCAAGGTCAATCAATAGTAGCGCTGGGTAATCGCGGTGGTGTTGGTGATACCCTGAATGCTTATTTATTTTTTGTCCACCTGGACGGTAGTTCGAAAATTTTGGTTTATTTTTTTTGGCTTTTATGGCCGCGCGCTCGGCAAGGATACCCGGCGGCGACGGAGGCGGCAGCGGAGTGACCCTATACCCATCGCGCCTAACCAAAGCGGCGAATGCTATTGAGGTCTGAGATTTCTGTAAATCAGCGACGGGAAATATTCTCTACTCCTCTAGCAATTCGGCCGCCATTGGTTGCTGCCATCAACATTTGAAGCTTTGTGTTTCTTCCAAGCTTTGGCTGAGCGTACACCCGCGGACCATTGGCGAATTTCGATTAGCCCATTCGTAACTAGACGCGTCGTGGGGGAGGGATGATACTTCGGTTGTGGTGGTCTCATTGCTCCCCCCCCTGACACTGAGTAACGTTTCTCCTACATGAAAATGACAAACGCTGGCATTGATGGCCGGTTTAGCGGCGGCTAGGGAATGTTTCGCTGCAGCCACCGTCTTTGTCAGCTTCGATTTAGTGACAAGCCTCGCTGTCGAAACGCTAGCATCGTCGGTATCGACGAGCCTTACGCCATGCAGGTAGTTGGAAGTGGGGGTGGGGGCGACCCGTGCGCTTCCTAGTACAGGCAAGAGCAAAAATAACCCCGCATGGTTACGCTTCCAAACAGCCGTATAGTGGCATAGACAGATATAGTGAAGCTGCTGCCATACCAGGCGACATATATCAATTTTCGAATCTAAGATGCCCGGCCTGATTTATGCCTCGACTCCTATTGTCGTGGTCGCGTCACGATGTAGCTGGGCTCGTGTAACTGAGATTGATGTAACTGATCCTGCATTTGATGTTACGTTGTTGGGCAAAATTTTGTACTCCAGTGTGGTGTAGCGTACCTCAATTTTTCATTAACAAACGTTTCCATTCGAACTTGGTTAAGGTTGCAATCAGTGTGTATCTTCTGCGGCTTTCATTATCTATGCTAGTTTTAGATAATATTACCAAAAATTTCTAAATCTGGATACATTGTGGATTTGCGTTAGGTTGGTGTAATATGATGCCTCCTGGATTTTTAAGTTTAGTTGTAAATCTCAGGACAACTGCTTTGGCTTGAACACTTTCGGATAGTTGAGGTTTGCTGGAGCCAGACGAAGTGGCGTATTCTTGATGCATGTTGAGTATGGCAGCACATTTAGCCGCTGCGAAGGAATAATTTGCTTAAATTGAATAGTTCTGCATTTGATCTGAAATCGACCTTAAACTATATAGAAAATCACAGTCACAATACCACAATGAGCATGCGGCGACGAGGTTAATCACATCCCTCCGCAGTGAACACCCACGTCCCCGTCACGGGGTCGTAACTTTCGAATTTTTGACCCTGTTCGCCCAATTTCTTAAGCGCTTCAATATGCTTAGTCACAAGTGGCGAGTGAGGGTCAAGTACGGGTAGGTTATCCTCACTATTGATCGGGTAACAATTTTCAAGCGTGACTCTAATAGGAACATTGAGTCCTTCACCCCTCATAGGGACCTTTTCATCATCGGGATAAATAAATACCAGAGCTTGGTCTATTTTCACCAATTTGTCGACAAGGTCATCCACGGTTGGCGATACCAGAGTCAAATCCACCGGTTGCAAAAATTCTACTGAACCAAAGTCCTTTCGACCAACTGTCAAGTTGGATACCTTGGTAAGATCTCCCATGGATTTCTTTTTGAGTGCATCAATCAGCGGCAGCGTCCAATAATCTTTATCATCAACATTCTCAACACTGGCTTCGTCGGTCTTTGGCGGACCAACTTCTTGAGGAGTGGTGCGAGCGGTGTCGCTTTCCTGCGCCGAATCCATGATCTCGGCTCTGTCATCAGGTGTTGACGATTCCTTAAACAGAACTTGTTTGGGGCTCGGACGTGACGTCGAATTCAACAAATCCGACTGTTTCAGCTTATCCAAAACCAATTTGCGGAAGCGATTGTGATTGAAAAGATCCAGCGAAAGAATTGCCGCGTCAGTTTCAGCGGAGAAAGGCGTTTGCAGCTCTGTTGAAGGCAGCAACACTTGATGAGTGGCCGAGGCCAGAGCTTGAGGGTCAGCAAGGCGCAGTCTCAAAGATGTGGCCTTATGCAAGGGTGCGATAGCTCTAGATCCGCTTGAAAGAGTGACCGGTTTCTTGGAACCCATGACCGAAGCATGGGGACCTTGCTTCACAAACTTTTCAGCAGCAGAATCGGACAATTGCACGAAGAGAGGATTAGTCCCGTATGGGTTGACAGCATTGATGTTTGCCAACAGTTGCTGACCTTGCTGATTAAGTGTGCTCATATTGCCGGTTCCAAATAACAGCGACGATTGGTTGTTATTGACTTGGTTGTTGTTGCTGTTATTACCGAAAAGACCACCCGCAGTATTATTAGACTGAGAGTTGTTATTGCCAAAAAGACCACCTGACTGAGTATTGGTGGTTGTGTTGTTGTTTCCAAACAAGCCCCCAGTAGCTGGCTTGTTGCCGAAAAGGCCACCCGACGTTGCGTTGTTGTTGTTGGCGTTGTTTCCAAAAAGGCCTCCGCCAGTAGAGTTGTTGTTGTTATTGTTGCCAAACAAACCACCACCAGAGGCATTGCTTGAGTTGTTATTATTATTGCCAAATAAACCTCCCGATTGGTTGTTGGCGGTATTGTTGTTATTACCAAACAAGCCGCCACCAGTGGACGAACCAAAGCCGGTGCCTGCGGGCTTGCTTCCGAACAAACCACCCGCATTGTTTTGATTTTGGTTCTGGTTGTTCCCAAAAATACCACCGGCTTGGTTAGTTGTATTATTGGCGTTATTGTTGCCAAATAACCCCCCCGATTGGTTATTATTCATGTTGTTATTACCGAACAAACCACCAGATTGGTTGTTTTGGTTGTTCTGGTTATTACCGAACATACCGCCGCTTTGGTTTGTCGTGTTGTTGCCAAACAAGCCCGTGTTGGGTTTGTTCGCCCCAAAAAGGCCTCCTGATTGGTTTTGATTATTGCCAAACAACCCACCATTTTGGTTTTGAGTTTGATTGTTGTTTCCAAATAAACCACCAGTTTGGTTATTTTGGTTGCTACCAAAAAGACCGCCACTTGGTTTGTTTTGCCCAAACACCCCCCCAGCTTGATTGTTGTTGTTCAGCCCAAAGCCACCCAGGGAAGCACCAAAACCAGTCGAGCTGGAACCAAAGCCGGAGTTGGTGTTGTTGTTCCCAAACATGCCACCTGAATTTTGGTTTTGATTATTACCAAAAACGTTTCCGGAGTTGTTCTGGCCAAAGATACCACCAGGCTTCGATTGATTGTTGCCAAACCCAGAGCCAAATCCCCCAGTGTTGGAGGTTTGCCCAAAGGTGGACGAAGCAGTGGTGTTGTTATTGCCAAAACCACTGCTTCCACCAAAACCAGTACTATTATTGGCATTATTCAGACCAAAAACGCCACTTCCAGTGGCACCGAACGCAGGTCTGTTTTGACCGAATGCACCACCAGAACCGAAGCCTGTGTTAGACTGACCAAAACCGCCAGTGGAGTTACTTTGACCAAACCCGCTGCTGGTGTTATTTTGACCAAATCCGCCAGAACCAAAACCCGAGGTGGTGTTTGATTGACCAAAGCCAGATTGGGTATTAGCACCACCAAACGGGGTTGAGTTGGTTTGACCAAATTTGTTGCCAAAAGTGTTTGTGGTGTTGTTCTGACCAAATGACGAGCCAAACCCGCCCAGGGAATTTTGTTGACCAAAGCTGTTGGTATTGCCAACATTACCGTCACCATAACGGCGACCAAGTTCGTAATCCTTCAAGCGCAATTCTTCAAACGACCAATTCTTATATTCGGGCATGGCACATATGTTTTCAAATGCAACATGGCCAGTCGAGTTGTTCTCCTTCTCAACTAATGGTTGGAATGGCTTCACCGCCGTGCCTTGATTGGTGGTATTGGCGTTTTGGTTGAAAGCGCCCCCTCCAAAGGGGGAGGAGTTCGTGTTACTGCCAAACAACCCTCCCAGGGCATTGCCGGTAGTATTGTTGTTGGCACCAAACGGCGACGTGGTGGTGTTGCTCCCAAAGGCACCTCCCAGTTGGCCGAAGGCGCCTCCCAGCTGAGTGTTTGTGTTGGCACCCCCAAACAACCCAGTGCCTCCAGAATTGTTGGCTCCGAACGGAGAGGTATTGGCAGTGCCACTACCTCCAAACGGACTGTTGGTGGTCCCCAGGTTTTGGCCGAAACCACCGAATCCTGACAGAGTCAGCGATCGGAACATGCTATCAAAGATGAGGGATCGTGGTAACTCGCGCGAAATTTTATCCCTCACATAACATCGCGAACGTGAGGCTGACAACACAGATTACGGAACCTATTGGTAATTTAGGAATGATATATGCGGGTCTATAATAATAACATTGTCGAAATCCTACGAGTCCTCAACAGCAGCGCCGGGATCGGTTTTTATCTTCTTGCGTCTAGTGGCCGAAGCAGCTTTCGGCGGGGCCCGCTTCTTCAGTTCCTTGGCCTTCTTATCGTCGTATTTTGCCTGGTGGTCCTTGCGTTCCTTAGCCCCTTCCGCAGCAAGATCACGTTGTCTTTCTTGGAAGTCGGTGTCGGTCGCGGTTTTGCCCATAAGCCATTCTAATAGTTTGATTTCTTCACCATAGCGAGTATCGTCATCCTTAACCGGAGTTTCAAGTATTATAGGCATGTTTTTCAAGCGATCATCATTAGCTACAAGTCGGAAACATTCCAACCCCAAAAACCCTTGGCCTAGAAACTGATGAAGATCGCGATTGGCACCTAGAGGAGCCTTTGAATCGTTAAGGTGAATTGCGCAAAGATAATCGAAGCCGATGATTTCATCGTACTGCTCCCAAAATTGACTCCAATTCTCCCCAATATCGTACCCAGCAGCGAAGGCATGACAAGTATCAATGCATACCCCCACTCTTTTCTTATCATCGACCATGTCGATCACGTCACGTATATCCTGGAGGTTGGAGCCAATGATATCACCATGACCGGCCATATTTTCAATGACAATTTTCACCGTCAGTGTTTCCTTAATCGCACGATTGATGTTACTTGCGAGCTTTTCAATGGCTTTGCGATGGTCACCTCCTTTGAGTGCTGAACCCGGATGGAAATTATACAAGCCAATACCTAACTGTTCACATCGTTTCAAGTCATCAACGAAGCAACCGAAGCTTTTTTCCAGTTTTTCATCGTCGGGATTAGCCAAATTGATGAGATAAGATCCATGAGGCAAGATATCCGTGGCAGGATTATAACTGTACTCTTGACAAAACTGCTTGAACTTGTCAATCTCTTTGGAGTCCAAAGGCTTCAGTGTCCACTGTCGGGGCAGTTTGAGAAATACGGCAAAGGAATTGGCGCCAATATTTCTCGCATTGATCACGGCATTGGAGATGCCACCCAGCAGTCCAACATGAGCGCCAAACTTAAAACCAAGGTCTTTGATCCTGTCGAATTTGAATGTCTCGGGTATTTTTCTAAAGGGTTAGTCTCAAATCAACCTCATTGAAATTTGGTAAGTTCGCGTACCCCATTTGGATGAAGCTTTACAAAACGTTGATGCATGATAGCGCGATCATCGTGTACCGCGTTGGAGATTTTCATCGGTGAGAGATATTAGAAAAGATGGCACTCATAGTGTACGTGCCACGCGATCAGCATTACACGGGTTCACCGCTTATAAAATTAGACACCTTCAAGAGGATTTTTGTAATGGCATTAAACCCCCGATGCAATCTATCCTGGCTATCACTTCATGATTATGCAAACAATTTTACTTGATGACATCGCACGTGACTCAAATCGTTTTTCGAAGGCATAGTGAACATCCACACTTCGAAAGATACCAAGAAGTGATAGTCTCATTGTGCTAACTTGATGAAGACAACCATAGTAACCTATATCCATGGGCTACTATTTCGAAAAAAGGATCTAACTTCTCGTCAGCGATGGATACTTGGCCTCATTGACCTTGCGCTTGTGGTGGTATTGTGGGTGCTACTGAGCTTTTTGGTGAATACATTGGCTGACGATTATGATTACAGTAAGCCTTTCTTCCTTACTTATATCAACACTTCGCTGTTTGCCTTATACCTTATACCATATTTGCACTCGGAAGATATCACAATCAAAGAGTTCATACACGATCTGTGGTCAGCGATAACTAAGGGTCGCCGACAACGCACCCACTCGCGATCACCACTGCATCTGGTTCCTATACGACGTTTACTGAGTCCCGAATATGGGTCACAGGAGGAGGAGTCAATTTCAGAGAACACCGCGGTTGTCGTCAAACCATCAGCTACTGTCGGTTTCTCACAAACAATATGGCTCCTGTTTCAATTTGCGTTGCTTTGGTTTCTGGCAAATCTTGTCACGAACGCAAGTTTGTCATATACCCTGGTAGCCTCGCAAACAATACTTTCGCTGACACTGCTGTTCTTCACATTGTTGATCGGATACCTATACAAAGTAGAACGTATAAACAGGTATAAGCTTGCGGGAATTTTACTCAGCTTTATTGGAGTACTCATCGTGACAGAAGTGGATGCACAGGACGATACTAATCGTCATCATGAACCAGTTGTTATTCTATTTGGCAACATGCTTGCTCTCACTGGAGCGGTGATATACGGCGTTTACACCATCCTTTTGAAGCTCAAGACAACCATCAGTGGTACAACGGAGGAACGTGAGCTCAACACGCATTTGTTTTTCGGATTTGTTGGAGTTTTCACACTATTCATGTTGTGGCCGATACTCATTTTATTGGATTTGAGTGGGTTTGAGACTTTCGAGTTACCCCCTACCTTAACTATTGCTTCCATTCTTCTTGGCAATACGTTTATCACATTTATTAGTGATTTCTGCTGGTGCAAAGCAGTGTTGTTAACGTCTCCATTAACAGTAACTGTCGGCTTACTGATGACAATTCCATTAGCAATGGTTGGAGATTGGATTTTCAAGCTGTTTGCTTTCAATTGGTGGTACATGTGTGGCGCTTGTGTGGTAACTCTTGGGTTTTTGATTATAAATCGTGATGAAGAGGCGGATTTCGTTCAAGAGGATAGGGATTAGGTTTCATTATATAACGATACAGGAATTAATTGGCTCACTCGTAAACAGTTCAATTCTGTCATGATCTCTTCAAACGTTTTTCGAACTTTGGTTGAATTATCGGTGATTGATTACGTATGATACATACTCGTGAAGAAATCGTGGAAGTCTTATAATGAATATGTCTACTTTTGCGCATTGCAACTATTTCTTCCTCACCCGAATCTATATATTGTCCATAAAAATTTCTGATAACCTTCGCTTGAAGTTGACTAACAAAAAACATCAAGAACTGATACCTGCGAATGGCGGAAGTCACATCTGATCCCTGCCAAGATTTTGCCCTCCTCGGCCCATAGGGCGAGTAGAAATGGTAGGCTGCAGACAGCTAAAGGGCTTTTGACACCCACCCCCACGAGGAATCGAACCCCATTTTCTTCAGGAGGATTTGGAAAATGTGCTGAAATATGTCAAATCATCGTTCTGGATATACTGAAGTGTGTCTCAATCAACAAGAACGCTCCAAATAATGCAAATACGTATCATTAATCTCGCATGATTGTGATATTTCATAAAGTATATAAAAAACGTAAATAGCCCGCGTGGCCCAATGGTTAAGGCGCTCGACTTCTAATCGAGCGATTGTGGGTTCGAATCCCGCCGTGGGTTAATTTATCTTTTTTATAGTGACTGCGCATTGTTGCAAAGATCTTATAGTCAGGAATGGTTCCGGAGAATGTTTTTTTTTTTTTTATATAGAAAGCATAGTTACCATCATGATTTGCGATCCTAATCTTCCCTATCGTTTTTGCACTTCATATTAGAATCCGTTGTCAGGCGCTCTTCATCAGTATTCTAAGTGATGGCACTCCTCGGCGCTTCGTAGTGGCACCTATTAATGCATTCAAACATTGATGTATTGCACCTAATCTAAGCGAATGAAAGGTCAATTGTCTCTTTTGATCGCTGTCCATTAGGGTTCATTTCGACAACGTCACTAATTTTAGCTTGAAATCAATACTGCTTCCACCTGATTTACTACGTGCTTCTATAGTCTACTTCGAGCTCGTTACAGTTCAGTACATTAAGTCATCCGTGGTTGCCCAGGCTTCTAGAAGCTAAACCGAAATACGTAAAACTCGATGATACTTGAAAGCCAAAAGAAACCCCGAGGATTGTTTTTGCGTCCTGTTATACACAATAACAGCAAAAAACGAGCATTGTGTAAGTTTCTCTCACGCTTTCGTTTAAGATAATGCAGCTGCCCAACAAGTCACTTGCAAAAGTATACTCAGATATGGAATGGTGTCTAGGCAAAGGTTGACATCGCAATATCGAACGAGGTGAAGAGTTTGGAAATCCTTTGAATCATCAAATCCTTTGAATCATCAATTAGTGGTTTACAATTCCTTAGCCGATTGAAAACCGGCATAGTTTTCTGGCAAGCGGAGTTGACTATTTATCTTAATAATGTTTTTATTTTTTATGCAGTCATTAGACCGGCTGGACATTGCATTTGCACGATCTATACCCTTCCAGTGAACGGTTCAATAAAATCGTTTCAATTTTGTTTGCTTTCATCGAGTAACTTATAAATACAAGCAAGTTAAATTGACCGATGCGTAATAACTAGATTATCCGAGATATCATGCCTTATCCTATGGCAGTGAGTGACAGGCTCACATTGAACGCACACCGCAAGTTGTTCAGAAATGCTTCATGGTTAAGTTTTTCGTCGACCAAACAAAACGGAAGATCATGAGACAACCAGCAATTTCACGACTGCATTGCTCACGTATGCTACAAATGTGACCAACTCAATTTCAAAGGTTTGTCTCGGTTCGATACGCCTGCTACAGATTTGTTGAGAATCAGTTCTCTCAAGGATGGTAACGAAGAGTCATATGATCCTTTAGACTGTTACCAGAAACATATCACAATTACGTCCTGTTCACATGGAAGAATCCTTCCTGGAAGATCGCTATGAGAGGAGAGGGTTCCTGGTTAAATGGTTTTGTAAAGGTCAAAGTGTTTTTTAAATCAGCAGAAAACGTCCGTGATCAGTCACATTCAGTATTCCCATTAGTGATATATTCCCATTAGTGATAGAGAGTACTTAGGATGTTGAAGACATAAAAGGGGCTCTCTTTGGACGCCATCGTATTCGTTCACGAAAGTCAGGGGCCAAACTTATGCTACAGCGACATTAGAAGTATAGTCTGCTAATAAAGTTCAGTCTACCTGGGGGGGTGATCTCGGTTATTGGGGAGTCCAAAATGCTGGACAACCAGGAAGGAGGGGCATCAAGAGCCCAAACAGTGATAGAGCGCATCTCAAGTGTGTAGAGGGGTACCCTTAGTGTAAACTTAAGACATAGATGTATTTACGTAATGTCAAAAAGGGTTTGTACTTTAATCGAATTGAAGGTGGTCAAAGAAAGTGGCAAGTACAAAAGTTTAGTGGAATGGTTCGCTAACTCTCTAGTGAAGTACAGCATACAGCCCAAATGCAGATTTCCCTTCTTGAGCGAATTTGAGATAACCTTGGGGAAGTCGTTTCTATGGGTAATGACGTTACCGACGCGATTGGTAAAGGGAGACTCGTCCCAATGAACTTGAAATCCACGAGTCTGATATGTTCTTGCTCGGACCCAAACCCTTGATGACGGAATACCTAACTTAAACGAGTTGTGTCAGCCCGCAGTACTTACACATGACCGGCCCCACGTCGTATGAACCGTTTTTAGATTTAAATAGAAATCACCAGAAACGAACACGATTCTGCTACAAGGATTTTGAATCATCGACAGTCTATTGTTTTCGTTCCATTCATTACTTGTTGTTTAATCCCGTTTCAAAGGGTAATACTCAGTTCTGATGCCATCTTTAGTCACAATCATAATTTCCAAACCGTCACCAACTTGAATATGTCTTTCAGTTGCAGAAGTGAAGGCATCCTTCACAAGCTGAAGTACTTCCTCAAGACTCAAGTACCGCAAGGGACGCTTCTCATTGGTGCCGGGTTCGTATTGATTCTTGAAGTTGACCTGATTATCCAAGAATGGCATGATTAATGAGGCAGCGGCCCCACCAGCACGACACTGCTCACGTTCGTAAGAACCCACGGGGTCATAAGAGTAAACGGCACCCTTCCCTTCCTCATCTATACCAGCGATCAAAGTTGACACGTAATAGGGAAAAAACCGTTTGCCATATAACAAGTGTTGGATGTAGCGTGCTGCCAGCTTGATTTCAAGCTTCTTCCCATTATCAAAACGATACCATTTCAATTGATTGCGGAAACGATCAATCAATGCGGCACCATCTGCCTGGAACCCGTTCGCCGTCATTAAAATGTTGTCACCCACATCGAAAACCTTCGGTTCGTACCTGGAATTGATAGAGTACCCATTGACTTGTCTCGTGTCCCCTGCGAGCACAGCAAAATCTTCGCCAGCAATCCCGAGCACAGTACCCCCATTATCCGAATAAGGATTGAACCGATGCTCAATTGGAATCGTGTTGGGCTCGTCAAAATATTCCGAAGCGACGGTCGTAGTGGTGCGAGACATGAGCGTCAATAATGTGGCAAAATTCGCACGCGAAATATGAAATCAGTCTAAAATATGAATAGCCTAGGTCGAGAGGTCGGTGTTAGTGGAGTCGGAACCTTTCCAGCGAGTTTGTGAATGAGGCCAGCTATGTTGCTATAAAGAAGAATATAAAAAGTAACAACAAGAGTTTTAGCGAAGCTATCAAATAACACATAATTTTGGGTTAATAACCAATGTGATACGCTTGAAACTTGAACATTTAAGTTTCTAATCAATCTTACTTTTATAAGTGCCGATAAAGATGTCTATTGAGGTTCAGCAACTCCGATATATGTACAATGGAGCCGGCATCGAAGACCGCATAATGATCACTTGGATTGTTGGATTCTGGTGATATAAGCTTTAGAGATCACATTCCAAGCTCTCATGTACTTCTCTTGACATTGATTGATACAATTGTCTTCAGCGGCAGTCATTTGAGGGCCAGGCGATGGAATGCATTTGGCAAAGCAGTTTTCAGAGATTTTACTGACAAGCTCAGTAGCGTTAGCCACAGCAAGTTCTTGCGCAATCTGATCTTGAAGCTCTTTCATTAGCTTCTGCGATTCCTTGGAAACGACAGGCTCCTCACTCTTTTTGCCAAATAATGCCATGCTCGCTTTGTGACCTTGTAGCAGACGATTTTTCAAATAAGTTCGATACCGCGCTACCATCAGTAATTTAAATCAGAGATTTAAGTTAAGCTTATAAGAGTTTAGTCTGGCAGTTGATGTACAGCCGTTTGATTGGGTGGGCAACGCGCTTCAACTATCCCTATAGTAATTCATTACTTTTTCTTTGAGCATGTTTGATCTGGCCCCTGCAACTCAGTGGGTTAAGTAAATATTCACATGGGTCTCACTCGGACTACTCTCGTTTACCATGACTGCCGGTGATATCAATTTAGCGAAGTCATCCGACGCTAACAAGAAGCCCTTGATCAAAGATGGCCACTTGTTTGTACTTATCCATGGTCTATGGGGATCTCCAAATCACATGAGTACCATTGAAGAGCTCATTCAACGCTTGCTTCCATCAAGTACAAGCGATAAGATTTGCACACTTCGACCTCTGAGCTTTGCGTTTTGGAAGACGTACGATGGTATTCAATACATCTCCCAGCGGGTACTACAAGAGATATTTTTCGAAATCGAAGCACTTCAAAAGGATTTGGTGAAGGTGGTCAAAATCTCCATTATTGGCTACTCCTTGGGTGGCTTGATTGCTAGATGCGTTATAGGATTACTTTACGATTTGGACTTTTTCACAAACGTGAAACCGGTGATTTTCACAACTTTTGCCACCCCTCACGTTGGAGTTCAATTCTTCAAAGAAAACCTCTTTGATTACACGGCGAATCGTCTTGGTCCATTCATGTTCGGTCAGACAGGGAAGGAGTTATTTATTCGAGACTCAAATCGGTTACTTGCTGATATGGCAAATCCATCATTATCGTATTATAAGGGATTGGCATTGTTTGAGTTGCGAATCGTTTTGAGCAACGTTAAGAACGATCGGACGGTCCCATTCTATACGTCATTCATCACAGAGTATTCTCCTTTTGACAATTGGAAGTACGTCAAAATCAAATATATCAAAGACCTTCCTGAAGCCACAATTGGCAAAGCCAAAGTCAGACCAAAGTTTGTTGATATGCGTCGAACCCGCAATCTCTCTCCTGAAGAAGCCCAAGTGTTCCGAGGTAACATCCAAGAAGAAACCCTGATGATTCGACGCAATCGTGTTCTTCGTTTTAGTAGTTTGGTGATGATTGTGTGCGTGTTCTTGCCTGTATGGATACCAACAGTATTGTGTACCTCTTTTCTTGTGTCAATCTTCAGTGTGGGTCAAGTCAGATTTCTCAAAAAACTCAATTCTCTGCACCATTGGCTGCAAATCAAGTCACTGGTCTATGACGGCAAGCTGAACGTCGACATTGAAAACGTCAACCAGGGAGTGGTGAATCGGGTTGAAAGAGGACGCTTGTCACGTCAGGGATCTTTCAAAGGTGAGACTCTGGAAATGACTGAAAACACGTTGGAAGGAATCATGTACGCCAGAGAACAACTAAAACAGTCTACTGAGCCCAATATGGATGACGATGATAGCGATGAATCTTTGGAGAACGAAATTACGAACATTGGTGAGATCAATATCAAAACAAATGATGATACTGTGGCCAAGTGTATACACGATCTCAAGTTACAACAAGAAAACATAAGTATTTTCACTGACGCCAGTCGGCTCAAACTTGAGGATTTCAAGCGAGACATTATCAAGAATCTCAACACCCTTGATTGGATCAAAATACCTGTCTTCATTGATGCTTGGAATTCGCACGATGGTATAGTTGCTAGGCGTGGACCAAAGACAAATCCCAAGGGTACGTCTACCATTGGGTTATGGTGCTCAATTCTTCGGCGTCATTTGAAACAGGAAAGCATGTAAATAGCTACAGTGGTTTTGAATTAGATTGAACATACAGTCCTACTTGGGATTAGCCTTCACATGCCTGCAGCTCTAGTAGTGCAGAGGGTGCGCGCGGTCAGATATAGCAAACGAGAATCAGGACCGTATTCACTAGTCGGAGCATACTCAATTCAATCAAATGTTTCGGCTATTCAACGGGCCAATCTTTATGCGCCAGTTTGGACGTCACCTCAGACCTTCTCTAAGGTCTGGGATACGGCTCTCCATTCCTGTGGCTGTCGGATTGGTTTCCTATGAGTTACACCGTCCTGCCTTCATTTCGAACGAAGCATTCCATCCTATTGACACATCAATTCATGAGTTGAAGCCGGAGAAAGGTGCCGATACTTATGAGATGGGACTCTACGAGCTGTCTCAGGAGGAGATTGTGGATCAAAATGTACATTATCGTCACGAAAAAACCCACACTGGGAATTGGATCAAAAGATTGTTCTGGTACACGAAGTTTTTTGTGGAAGATTATGTTGTGGAACCAGTGGTTATATTTGGTCGCTTTGTCGAGCTTTCATGTATATTTGTGCCAGTGTTTTTATTGTATCCCATATGTTTTTTCGGTAAAAGGCAGAAAGGCCTGACGGTTCGTCTGGGGGCGCTAGCCTGGTACAGGATGTTACGATGGGCTGCCGAAACTGCAGGTGCTAGTTTCATCAAATTGGGCCAATGGGCAGCTCTGAGAACGGATATCTTTTCTAGGGAAATGTGTAACGAACTTGGGAATCTCCACTCAAACGCGAAAGCACACCTGCTTCGTGCTACTAAACGAATCGTATGCCAGCTGTTTGGAGGAATGCCTTTCGAAGAAATATTTGATGAATTTAATGATAAACCAGTGGGCGTTGGGGCTATTGCTCAGGTATATGTGGCCAAACTTTCACCAAAAGCTATACAACAAGCTAAAGACAACGATCGGGAACAGTGGAAAGCTAAATCTGATGCGTTCATTGACAAAATAATGGTCACAGAACATCAAGATCCCCTCACAACCAATCAAAAAGTCGCTATCAAGGTTTTGCATCCCAATGTCGATATCAATATCAATCGCGATTTGAAAATCATGTCATTTTTTGCAAATTGTATTGACGTCATCCCCACTATGGAGTGGTTATCTTTGCCAGACGAAGTTGATCAGTTTGCCATTTTGATGAGGCTTCAACTCGACCTTCGTATCGAGGCTCTCAACTTGGCTAAGTTCCGGGAAAATTTCAGAAGTCGATTGGATATACATTTCCCCAAGCCATACTTGAATTTCACAACACGTGATGTTCTCGTGGAGGAGTATATTTATGCTATTCCCATTCAAAAATTTTTGGATTTAAAAGAAAATCATGGGAAAAATCTTACGAAGGAAATCAGTGACAAAGGGCTTGATGCTTTCCTCAAAATGTTAATCCTTGACAACTTCGTTCACGCTGATTTGCATCCTGGTAACATGATGATTAGATTCTACAAAAACGAGCACTACAAGCATGAAAGGGAGTACAAGATTGTTAAACTGTCAAACGAAAGTGACTCAAATAGAGTCACAAAGGAATTGCTTCTGCTACCGATGTCGAAATGGGCAGACAAATTGAAGAAATTGTACAACCAGGGTTACCATGCTGAAATCTGTTTCTTGGATGCTGGTCTTGTTACAGAATTGCGTGCCGAAGATCGCCGCAACTTTATCGATTTGTTCAAGGCATTAGCTGAATTTGATGGTTATCGCGCAGGTGAACTCATGGTTGAACGGCTGCGCACTCCAGAAACGGTCATCAACAAAGAAATTTACGCTCTTAAAGTCGAGAAGTTGGTAGACCGCATGAAGGAACGTACGTTCACATTGGGCAGTATTTCAATTGGTGATTTACTCGACCAAGTGCTTGGAATGGTTCGCACCCATCACGTCAGAATGGAAGGTGATTTTGTTACCGTTATTGTTGCGATCCTCTTATTAGAAGGGATTGGTCGTCAACTTGACCCTGATTTGGACTTGTTTGCCAGGTTCGTATACGCTATCGTGTGGGGGTTTCCCACCGAAAATGACATCTACGGCGGGCTTACTAACTAATAGTGCATTACCTGTACTCAGACAATTAGGATTATCAAAAGAAGGGCGTGAACTTTTCAAAGACGAAGATCAGGCCAGTATGATCAAGGTGTGGTTGGCATTGGAGTTGAGACAAGTGATCAATGCTTCAGTACAAGACGTAAGTGATACTTCATTTTATCGAATGTGGAATTTTACTAACTGTTTTAAGATTCATCAACTCGTTAAGGCTGACATGTTGAGTCCCAATTATTAGACCGTTGAGAAGCATCCCGAGGTAACATTATGCACAATAAAGCTGTGAGCGAGCGTCAACGCATCCCCACCATTTAATCTAGAAGGGTACGTCACGATAAATGTAAGTGATGCATGCACCATAATTTGAGGGCTCCTTATGAAGATCCTTTGGGGCCCACGACATAAGGGATGTAGCTACTGCTGAGCTTTTCAACCAGAGCGCCGTGTATTCAGCTTGCAACTACGACCCTCAATATATAGAAGCGAAGTCTCGTCAATGAGCATTGCAGATTTATTTTCGAGTCGTGCGAAAACACCAGCGCAAGAGAATGTTTTTAATCAGCTTATACATGGTAAATTTTAATCTGAACAACCAACGCTTCAGTGGAAGGTCATACCGAAAATTTTAGTCTCTTGAAATAAAGCATTTGCTGATATTATTTAACTATCGAAGCATCAAACGAACTGTTTGGTACTGGAAAGGCTTAATCTTGATTCTCCGTGAATAAGCATGGATGTAACGGTTTATTTTTCTTGTTTTTTCTTTTTTTTTTTTTTTCGGCGCCCTTAGGAGGCAACCTCGGGGTTGAACCTGCACATTACGCAACGTCACATCTATCGACAACCACAGTGAGTTTCATCAAGTTGCCGTCACCAGTGCAAACTTAGGCATTGACGATGACACAAGGCTTCAATGGCACAGAGGCCAAGGGATGGACTCATGGGGTTGACCGACCGTATACTTTTTTTTCCCACGAGGTCCTGGAAGCCATTTCGACGAAAATTCGGTCCAGTAAGTCACTTGACCAAGACGTTCTACTTCCGAAGGTGATTTTGGGGCCAATCAAGTATCAAGACAACTTGGAACATTACGAAAACAACGAGACCGAAACTCTCCTTGATTCAACGCAACAAATACCTCGACCTTTAGTAATGGAATCTAATCCTGGGGTTTTTAGTGGATACTACATGGTTCCACCTTTGCTGTTCAACTTGAAGCTGAAAGACTCGTCCAATTTTACTCAGGTACACCAAGATCCAGCAATCCCTAAATTCGTTTTGCAAAATCATTTCGAAGTTGGTGAGTTTGCCTATTGCTTCGGAGGACTTTACACTGATGAGCTGGTGAGTTTGAGCAGGTTAGGAATACCAACCAACACTGATCTTTCAAGAATCCTGGTCTACCTTCCTTGCGATTTTCCACCGTTCATTGACCGACGACTTCTTTCTAATCCCTACCTCGTGCAAAACACTCATATGGTGAAGTTTTCGAAAATACGCAATACCTTTTCTTTTTTGAAGGATTTTTCTACGGAAAATGTCCCGTCTCACTATAGTGGTATGACAGCCGTTACAATTAGTGATCATCATGTCTTCTTTTATGGGGGATTCACGTTGAACACTGATAAGGTGACATTTGACCGAGGCCGTGAGCGCTGGCTTGTTTACAAATCAATTGACTTCAACCAAAATGGATACATTTTGGACGTGCTTACGATGTCATTTACCCTAATCAAACTTGATTTGAAACTGGAGCATAATCAATCTATCAATATGGCAAGAATTGGCCTGCTGATTTTTGCTTGCCCATGGAATCCTGATGTGTCAAACGAGCTTCCTGATCGCATGCCTCTGCCAATCTTCAGCGACTCTTCAACGCCGGCACCTCATGGCGCAAAATCGACGCAACAACTGAATAAAAGCTCCCCTGTTAGCTATTCACATGATGATGAGAGAACAGCTAGCTACAGTAAGTCTTCATCTACCGAAAACCAAGGACCGACGTTGTCACAGGCGCCTGTTGCTACATATGTAACGCAGAAGTCTATTCACCTGAACAAGAGTGGTTCTCTGAAGACATCACTGGATAACGACAAATCAACCTCCACGAAGCAAAAACCTTCTTTAGATGCGGAAGTGACCGACTCCGCGGATCTGATGAAACTTCTGGATCGTTCCCCAACCTCTGACAAGCTATCGAAGCGCATGCATAAAGCTTCTAGTTCCAATTCCATCTCATCGAGTGACGGGAAGAGCGATTTAGAGCGTTCTGGGTCAACTTTGACCAACGATTCAACGAACTCTTCGCTGAATGACAGTACAATCAGCAAGTATTTATCAGGGTTCCGTCTGCATCTGGCTAGCACAGTGACAAATGAAGCTCAATCCAAGGTTCTGAGTATGTTTTCCAAGCTGACGCGCATTTTCCATCGTCACCATGCGTCAAATACGAAATCTCCATTAGCAAAAGAGGTGCTGCTGCGCAGTGAAAGTCTGCGTCGTCGCCAACTGGATTCGAGGTCAAAACCTGTAGCGCATGAGAGACACAAACGCTACCCAAGCAACTCCCATAACTCGCTTCAACGTCAAAAGTCTCGAACCTCTACAGTCAGTACTGCGTCCACAGGGCTGCAAGAGTCTCCACAGCTGCCGCAAGCCATCCATGCTGCACCTTCGACACCTTCAACGATCAACATTCCATCGGAGGAACCTCTTGAAGATCACACACCCGCCCCGGCGCCTACAATTACGCCATCGAACGACACCAGCGAGGAATCAGGGATGATGCGTGCGCCAACAAATGAATCTACGAAGGCCAAACCTTCTATTGAGTCGGTGATAGGGAAGCCAAAAATATCCACACCCAAACCGAGAACTAATCCTGCTCCATTTTTGGAAGAAAGCGCGTTATTGAATACTCAGATTTTCACTTTGACGATGTATGTATTTGGTGGATTCGTACCACAAGTGGATGAGTTTGGCTACACTTACTATAAGGCGTCAAATGAAATGCTACGCATCGATTTGCCTTGTGAGGACAATCAGCGGGTCAAATTTGATTCAGAGGCTCTTGTGTGTCGTGTGGAGCAATCTCCCGGTCTGTTGTGGCCCCTGCCCCGAGGATATTTTGGAGGCACACTCATCAACAAGAACATTACGGGGAGCAAGTGTTCCAACAAGGGAACGGCTAAAACTACTTTCGGGCCCGGACCTACCTCTCATACCACCTCTGGAGGGCTTAGCGAAGATGAGTCGAATCACTCCCTCACACTAAAGGATAAGCGAATATTTATTCATGGGGGGGTTGATGAGAATTACAACCTGTTCAGTGATATATTTATTTATGACATTGAAAGTGGTTCATGGGAATTGATGAAAACATATATCTTTGATACGTATCAGCAGGACAAGTTGCCTTCAGATGACGAGCCTCCAACGAATTTCAAACGTGGTGACGAAAAGGCAAGTCCTCCAATCGTGGAAGCGGAATTACGAGCATGCCATCATTTTGCCATGTATCACACGCTGAAACAACAGGACTTGGTGATATTTTTTGGCGGCTTTCGGAACGAAACTTTACGTTACTATGATCAACTGCCGTACGAAAGTCCTAAATTTGATGTGCTGCGACTTAGCAGGTTTCCTATCATTGTTAACAACTCAAACTTGTTACAAGTCCCGGTATTGGATTTACGTACACAAACCTGGAGATATATGAAGTATTACTTCGAAGTCAAAGAAACTATAACGAATCAATTTGCGGACCAGGTGACAGGGCTACCTTATTTCTATGGGTGTCATATCAATAACTTCGGTGGTCACATATCGATCTACAAGAAGCAAATTACGTTATATCATGGGCTTTTCCATCTCTCACCTGTTCACCAAGCTGATATTGCAAAGTTAGACTCGAGATACCCATCCACTCAATCATTGTGGGGTGCAGTAAGTCGATTCAACTTTCCTAGCATGTAAGGAATTTTATTTACGAATTATGAGATAAGTTTACGTTTGAATGACAAGTAGTATTGTCGATTAATTTCGATACTGTATTGGCGTACACTGGGGTTAGTTGTCACAATGCTGGCGAGTGGCGGTGGGTCGCGCACCAATGGAAACCTCATCTTGAAAAATTGCGGCAACTTAAGAACCCACAAACATGTTCGGATTAGGAGGTTCCACGCCCCAAGTGTCGTCGCAACAGAAGCTTTCGGCTGCCGAAGCGGAGCTTGACATGGTCACTGGTATGTTCAACTCTTTGGTGAGACAATGCCATGCCAAGTGTATCAACAAGTCTTACAACAATGGTGAATTGGACAAGCAAGAATCGCTTTGTTTGGACAGATGTGTATCGAAGTATTTCGAAACCAACGTTCAGGTTGGTGAAAACATGCAACAATTGGGACAATCTGGTGCATTCATGGGCAGACAATAAGTACTTTGGCAAGTTTATTTGAGTTAGAATATATATACATGATTCAATCTAATCCCAAAGCATGGGAAAGACGAAGCTTAATTCCCTCCCAGCTGTTAAGCTTTGGTCGTACGTCTAACTCAACACCACTTGCAGTGGCATTCCCGTAAAAATCTATAACATAGTCAACCTCAACACCACACCGATTGATGCGCCAATCATGACGATCAAAAGGTTTGGGAAGTCCGAGAAAAGTCGATCGGAACCAGGCTCTCGGAGTCAACTTTTTCGAGTCTCCTTTGAATGACGTTAAAGTAATACCGCCACACTTTTTATTGGCATTCTCGATATTAGCCTTTTCCCACATCATAATGTGATTCCAAGTGCGTTCATTAACCACATTGTGGATAGGAACCACCGTTTTCATATCATCGGCATTGGGATTCCAGTTTTTTCGTTGCATGGCTTCGTAAAATTGTTTTTGAGACGGGTAGACCCAGTTCGTCCCTGAGCTGGTCCGAGGAATTGACGATATTTCCCTATCAGTAGGAAGGGCAACGTTCAGTTTGGTAACATCACCGATCAAATTGTCGATCTTTGTTGAATCACAACCTTCTGATGGAATCTCGACAGCTTCGGGGATCTCAACTTGGACGCTCAGGACCCAGGCGGCACGAGTAGCATGATCAACAGGGCATTTCGGCTCTTCTTTGACTGGTGGATGATCAACAGGGCACTGTGAAGCTGCCAGATGATCGATAGGACAATTTGCCAGCATATAGGTAATGGCTTTCGCGTAAGTGGTTAATTTGTGCGAAACATGCCACAGGACAGTTGAGGTTATCTTCTAATATAAATGGATACTTAAAATTACAAATTAAACTACACACCTCCGATTCAGTAAATCTTCTTCTTTTCGTCGATAGAGAATTCACCGGCACCCGCGTTAACAATGATCGCCAAACCACCAACAATTGACAAAGTTTGGAAGAATTCATATTTCAAAAAGTCTCTGTTGGAGTCATGAGCTGAATATCTCCAGAATTGGTTGACTAAGAAATTGTAGACAAACAAAAGCACGGTCAAAATAGCTGCAGCAAACTTGGTCTTGTACCCGACAATGATCGAGCCACAGGAGATAAAGCCGACAAGAATCACAAGAATTCTGCCAAACGACCACTTAGCAGAGAAAACGAACCCAAGGAATAACAAAATCAAAAGCAAGCGACCAGCGAGAAGAAAGTACTTTCGATTGTCTGTGTTGCTGAGTTGTGGTAATCCGGGCATATTCAAAGCCCGCTTGTCCCGAACGAGAGAATCAGAGAAAGCAAGAATAAGACCTCCCACGACCGAAAGGTTTCTAAGAATAAATTGACCATCAGTAATCAACCCATAAAATAAGCCTTGCAAAATCACCACAGAAACAAGCCCAATGGTGGCGTACATCGGCTGCTTTCTCATGACAAGCATAGTAGCACCACCGAACATTACCACCACGTTTGAGAAAAGGAACAACACGGTTAACCACCACCAGATTTTTCTATAGCCGTGCAAGTAATATACCTGGTCGCTCCATTGTGAAATAATTCTCAATGCATCTTCGTAGAAGGTGGCGACAATGAATGAACGACCAATGGCAGGAACGTAGGGTTTCAACACGTGGAAGTATTGGTCGAGCGAGTCCTCTACCTTCTTCGAGAAGTCCTCAAATTGTTCGATTGGGGACTTTGAAGGACCTCCAACAGCAGCCGCAGCAGCCAGAGGAGGAACCTGGGGCATGCCAAACTGGTTGTTGAATTGGTTCGGACCACGGTATGACATTTTCAATAGAGAATTGAAAGCTTTCGCGAGAACTGTCTTTTTTTATACGTATGGTCTGTACACGTTTACACGCACTGACGCGTTAAAGGCCACGTACCATATTTAGTGATGTGGAGAAACTGTGGAGAGTATGGTCAGTTCAACCAGATAATAGAATGAGGATGACGAAGAAAGAACACATCATTCACAAGTGAAATAAGTCTTAGTATAAGTTGGAATCATGGCAAGAGGTCGAGTTAATGATCGATTAACGAACTACACTAGCGTCCTAATTTAGTGGCACGATGCACCTCAATTAGGGACTCTGAAGTAGGTACCCGCCCATGACTTAACAAAATGAATTGTGGAGATGAAGATTTTGGAGTTTAAAAATAAACTCCAATTTGAATATCGATTTCGTGCAATAAGCCGTAAACCATTCCTTCAACAATTACTTCTGTATAAGACTATCGTTATTCACTTCTAATCACTGGATGGACAACTAGCACTTGTGAGCGATCTTCACCCAACCTAAAATTTCTGGCAAACAAAGCCTAAAATAAATGTTGCGCTTAGATTAACGAGCAGCCATACCACGTTTGATTGTTGATAGTTGAGTTTCAATCTTGACTCCTGATGATTCTCTTACTACGTGGTGTATGTTTTCGTCACCACACGGCTCAGATCGTAATAAGCAGAGCACGACTTGACTGGCATTTATTGATCTGCATTTATCATAGAATCCCCGTGGTCAGTCAAAAGACTTGCAAAACAAAACCTTTCATGAGCACATAGCTTGCCATTTCACTACATGCATGCTTGTACTTCCTGGAAGAAAATGTTTCGGACCCCATGTGTATATTAAAATTCACATCTCGTTACGTTTCCTCAATCTATCATTGCCGTGACGCCGAACTTCCTGATCCATAAGTTCACGAATGCGATGACTCCCAACTATCGCAAGCGCTAGCACACTTTCTAGACGATCAACGGGCATTTTGTTCTCCAACATCAACAACGCCAACTTTTCTGAAGTTCCAATAACTCCGACAGTTAACCCGCTCATATCTTTTTCTTCGAGGTTGTTGAGATCCAAAAGTACATTCGTATCTTGTAGTCCTGCGGACACAGCAGAGATATAGTCGTACATAGCAATGCCAGCGTCAATTAATGCAAGAGTCATCGCATTGACTAGAGTTCCCAATAGACCCCCATCTTGCGCTAGAACGGTAAGGTCTAACTTGATAAGCGTTCGTGGGTATAAGTGGGTCATGATACTTTGATCGAACGTTCTTTCGAGCGTGGTGACAAGCTCTTGCACTTGGCGATCAGACTTACCTCGCTTTCGTCTTTCAAATGTCGAAAAGTTTGTCACATTGACATTGACCTCTATCGTACACTCATTCAGTTGCAGCAGTTGCTTAGGTTCCATGGGGCCTTGTACTAAGCAAACCACCTTGGTGTTTCCTTGCTCCACATAACTGGATCCGTCTGCCAGATTAGGATGCGTATTAATATGGCACTCAAAACGTCTTAACTCATTCCATCGTCTCCCGTCAAGTCTTAATCCTTCTGGGGAATAAAGCTCCATTGGTATATCACTTCTGCGATGCCACTCACCGCGCGCGTTTTTGCGAGCTAAGTGCACTCTAACAATTCAGTGGGCCTTATTTACAGCACTTAACTTTTGAATAGAAATTCTTATTTCTCTATAAAGAGCGAATAATCTCACTGAGAATCCAACAATTTGTCAAAAAGAATAAAACGGACGAATATACCAATCCGGAATCAAAATTCAGAACTCCCAAGAACTCCAAGTTGTAGGCGTTGTTGAGCCATAATGCCTGTGTCAAAACCCACGCCCCTACCATGACAAACCCTTTAACCCGCGATATTTTTGCATCACCTATTACTCCAGGTAGAAATATCAAAAACCAGATAAAGTATTGACTGGTCATTACTTTGTTGAAAGTAACAAATGCAAAAGTTTGAAGAAATAAACATGCTTGTAGTCTATTCCAGAATAAAAGAGGAATAAGCAAACCAGAGATTGCAATTTGAGGAATGAACGCCAACGACTCCACCGAAAAAGACGATATTTGTTCCTCACCCGCAATCGCCGACTTGTAATACAACAACACATTGTATACTGAAAAGTTGTGCCGGTGGTCTAAACGTTGAAAGTGGTACAAGTATGTTTCATACAAGAAGTCGTACCCGTACTGCTTGTACATCATCCAATTGAGAATCGCAACGACACCCACTGTAACAAGCCCATAGCGGATGGCTTTGACATTCATCCATTTAATAGGATTACTAGACTGCGTAATATAGCAAATTGCTGTGGGCAAATAAATGATCGGATAGAGCTTGAAGTGAATAGCCAAGCCTAACAAAATCGCAGAAATGAGCTCTTGGGATGATAGAGTGTAGACAAATGCCATGACCAAAACCGTGAGTACTGATTCGGCGCTTCCACGAGTACTAATGGCTATCACCATTGGGTTAAGAAGCCAAATCGCCGCCAGAAAAGTATTTTTTGTAAGCATGTATATCAAATAGCCTGTTGCCAAATCAAAAGCAACGAAGACTAATTTTCCCCAAGAGTAAAACCACAAATGATTCGGAGTCATTAACCACGCGAGCATTGGGGTGTATCGATAGGTTTCACGGTTGTATGGCGACAGCCCATGGACCACGTATTTCGCAGCATCCGAGAACACAAGGTAATCAATGTCAGTATACTTAACTGTCATATAAGCATCTTGGTATATTCCAAATAGAAAGAATCCAACCCGTAGAATAGTGGCTGCCAAAAATAGTTGTCCGAGTGTAAGCTTCTTCATACGCATGCTAACCAGGTTGGTCGCGCGCACTTGGCTTGTGTGTCAATCGAGTTATGGATCAAGAAGAAGTTTACGTCAACTTTCTCAATTACGATTGGAACAACTTTCCTGAATATCAAGAGGGGCTTAATGAAATTTTACTGAACTATCAAGAGAATTTGCGCGAGCAAGATCCTACGGCCACAATACTGGCATTGGATCTTCAACAGCTCACCGACCAAGCGAAGGTGTTTTTCTTTTGCCTGAAGAACGATCAGATCATCGAGTTAGAGGAGTATCGCGCTTGGGAACGCCAATGGGGAGATCGTTATCGCAAACTGAAGAAGATTGAGGAGATTCAACCGGAAGAATCTCGTGCTTCGACCCAAGATGAACAACCATACAGCTCAAATTATCAAAATGTTGTTGAGCTTATTTTAGCCGGTAAAGAAGTGCCTGGGATAAAACAAATCCCTGACACAGTTCTACTGGATCAAAAGAGTACGGCTCAAGTCCAACAACGAAAGAAGCCATGGGAATCATGAATATATTACGCGATTATCTATAAGTTTTCCTTTTAATTAATGTAAGAACCTCATCACTGCTTCGAAAGCAGCCAACGCTGCAGCATTTGCTGGGAATGAACGCAATATCGAAGGTACAAACCCACGAGTGAATCCCATGAGTCCCTTTTCCTTGTAAATGGCGTTGACCGCATCGATCCAGCGGGGGTATTTCTTTTCACTTCGAATAGGACTGTCAGTCATAATCGTTTGTTTAACAACGTCTGCTGGGTAAGCGAATATCCAAAACACAGTGGCCGACAATCCTCCTGACCAGAAGTTAATCAGCGGCTTCAGCAAGTTTGTGTTGTTTTCGAAATACTGTGTGAATAACTCATATGACCCCCACCAAAAAATGAAATTCGTCCGGAATACCATCGTGGCAAACAACCCACTATAGATGCCCCGGATTCCGCAAGTGTGGTATAATTTCCGGGCAACATCAATAGGCCCATTGTAGATTTTTGTCTTCGCGTCGTACTGAACTTGAAGTCTTGCTTTAAATTGTTCAACTGGCGCAGCTACAAATGACACTGTCCAACCCGACCCAAGCCCAGCAATTACGTGACCGCTCAATGGTAGCTTCTCGTCATTCTGATAAAAATTTTCTTTCAAAAGACGCCTGTACAAATGTAGCGATCCTAACATGACGGAATCCATGAAAACCCAACCAATCAATGGGGGTGTGAACCCTTTATAAAGACCCGTAACACCTTCCTTACGAAGAGTTTGAAGCACACAGTCCATGGGTCCCTTGAATCTTCCCACCTCATCTGTTTGTAACCTCACCTTGATGGTATCAAATGGATGCCCCACAACGTTCTTCATTACCCCAGAAAACATACCTGCAACAAACCCAAGGTATTTGGGCGGTGCATTCTTGGAGTGCTCGAGCTCAAGATCTATAATATTCTCTTCCTTGTCAACCACAGGTAAACTCATGTTGGATGACGTGCAGGCTCAACCCTCTATATAAATTTTCAACGGGCCGTTAACGGCTTCCACCATCGACGCGGTGATGCTTAAGAAAAAAAAGAAAAGAAGAATCAATAAGTATTCATGTCAATCGTAAAGTTCAACTGTTCAATAGCTACATACTCTAGGTATTCTCTTGATCAGGAGATTCGCCAATGTCGTTTTCGATCCAATTCCGAGCTTCTTTCACACTGTTTTCCGGCGAGATTTGGATCTTCTTGTCAACCAACTTGCCGTCCTTAAAAATCCAGTGAGATCTCTTAGTTCCGCTAGGCGATTTCTTAGCTCCTAAAACCTCAATCAATTGCTTTTTTGGATCACACCATAAATCATAATTCAACAGATACTTGTTAATGAAGTTAGTTTGAGCTTTAGGGGTGTCAGCACTCAAGCCAAATACCTTTACGCCGTGCTTTTCATAAAAGTCATGATTGTCACGGAAACCTTGAGCTTGTCTTGTACAACCGGGAGTGCTGGCTTTGGGGTAGGAAAATACGATATTGTATTTGCTGCCGGTAATCTCCTCCTTAGTGCTGATTTCCTTACCGTCTTGATTTACCAACTTGATGTCAGGAATCTCGTCACCAACTTCAATTTCTTCAGTACCCTTTCCATCATCATCATCCTCATCTCCATCATTTTCGACCCCGGCCTCGCCCTTTTCCCCATCGGTGATTTTCAATTCCTCAGGCTTTTTAGAGTCCTCAATAAGCTCCTCTTTTTCACCATTCTCTCTTTCCTTCTTCGATTCAATGGCGACAGCATCTAACTCAGGTTCGGCAAATTCGTATTTACCATCGACGGCGTCATCCTCACCATCCTCCAGCACTTCCTTTTTGGCCTTCTTCTTCTTTCCAACGTCGCTAGACGCGGTCAGTCTTTTTACCAGGCCTTGTGCTTCCAGAGCCTTCGTCGATTCTTGAGTGGAACTTCTCAGAGATCTTCTTAATTCAACCATTGATTTAACTGCAATTTGTTAAAATTGACTGATTGCTCCTAGCCACAATTTAAGTGCAAGGGGTGGAGTCAATTCCCCCGCGCGGGAGGTGGGGGACGCAAGCCAATTCAGGCGGCCCGCTCGGAGTCGCAACATATTACTAAGGACTGGAGTTTAGCCCTGTGCTTAGACGACGCCAATTGCTAACTTGTTTTGGCGACATTGGGTATGGACCCCTAAAGGCATTACCTTTGTATGGAGGGGGTTTAAAAGCGGAAGTAGTTCATTCTTTAACGAAGTGCTGACGATCTCTTATAGAGTTAATTGTGTTGGTCAATTGAGTCTTCTCCAATATTCTACGCTTTGAAGCATCCTTACTTTTACAAAAATTCATCCCCATCACTTCTTTTTTTTCGCATTGCGAGCACGACTCGAGTGGTTTCGATTGTTGAGTTACTCCCCTAAATGTCTCAATCACACCAATCAAATAATAATGATGGTAGTGAATGGCAAGAGATACCACTTGAGTGTTGTTCACTGGCAGAATTGATGGACACCAGGTGTCACATCATGAAATTCCAGAACAATAAGACCGTGGACATTGTCAAAGACTTCACCAAACCGGTTCGTCTTCATCGTAAAGACCCTCGAAACATTCAGTTTCAATTGAGTCGAAAAGAGATCGACGAGAGGGCCCGTGCAAATCCTGATGAGAAAGTTCTTGAAGAGGTACCCGAGGAAATGGATGTGAGTCAGGTTGCCCCTGATGGTGGCGGACGCCGCAAGCAGCGAAACTTCTTCAAGCGTAAAACTCGACAGGTGACAGTAATGGATGAGGAAAAGCGTAAGTTGCGATATGAAGAGTTTTATCCATGGGTGATTGAAGACTATGATGCGAGAAACGTTTTTGTCGGTAACTACGAGGCCGGTCTGTCTGACTCGCAGCATGTATTATTTGTGTTCGACAAAGACGGGTTTAAGATGGTGCCGGCAGAAAAGGTGTACAGATTCACCCCCCGGAACAAATACGCCACATTGACTTTAGAAGAAGCAGAAGAAAAAATGGAGAATCGTGGTGCGGTCCCACGCTGGTTAATGAAGAGATTGGGCGATGAAAATCAGCAGTCAACTGACAAACGGTTTGTAAAAGGTACCCTGCCGCTGCTGACGTCTATTCGTATGCGCACAGTTCTGGGTGAAACGGCAAATAGTCGCGATCTGGACCATGATGATTTAGATTTTGATGAAGAATTTGCGGATGATGAAGAAGCCCCCATTATGGATGGCGACGAAGAAGAAAACAAATTGAGCGAACAAAAAATCAAAAAGGAAATGCTCAAAGCAAATGCATTTGATGAAATGGAGGGTGTGGACGATTTATTCGGTGAACTGGAGGATGAGAGAAAGGTCGATAAAGAGGGCAGAAAACTCAAAAAGGTGTTGACCAAGACGGAGGGTGCCGTGTACGAAAGTGACGAAGATGACAACCCCTACTTGTCCAAGCTGGATCTTGAGCTGGACTCTGATGACGAAACCATGGTCAAGCAGGAGCCAACCGATGCCATGATGACCGGTGGGGAGTCTGCGCGTCCCCGTGTTGTATTCGGTCACAACTTAGGTGACGGCATATTCTCAATCAGAGCCACACCCCAAATACTTCGGGCGTTCCCGCAAGGGCAATGGTCATCTGTGGGTCGGAGATTACCTTCAATTGCTGAGGTCATGAAAAATCGCGAAAACCTGCCTACTCCCATAGACTTGAATCTGGCTGGCCCTGACAATAAACTTGTTACTATCAAGGAAGTGTTAGACATTGTCCGTGGAAATCCTTTGACTACGAAGGAATTATTAACAGGTCTCAAGTCGCGAGTGAACGCACATAAAGATAATAAGCAGCGCATTATTGCTATTGTCAAGCAAAATCTCAAGCTTCAGGATGGCAAACTTGTACTTAGGGAAGGAATGTAATGTATGTAATGTATGGAACTAAGCGACTTCAACTATCTTGTCATCATCATCAGACTCGATTTCTATATTTTCCTCCTCGGGAGCTTCGTCACGTTGAAGCATTTGCACCAATCGGTCGCATAAGTCAGCAACATCCTCATTTTCTACGGCTTTGTGAAGCTCACGGATGATACTGTAAACGGACTTGCTTCTAAGGTACTCTCTTCCTTGACGTGTGGTACAGAGCAAAAGAAGGGACTCAAGATGAGTGCAGATGATGGAAGCTTCGGGCTCTCGCTTTTTGTCGGCATCGAGCAATTGCAACTCCTCGGGTAAATCGAACATTTCGTCCTCATCTATTTCCTCGGGTCCGGCAAGAGGTAGAAGAATGTAAGGTAACAAATTAATCTTCTCGTCACTCAAAAGTTTCATATGGGCATTGGTGTCGAATAGCGAGTTCTTTATGGTGGAAGCAACGCCTTCCCTTCTGATTTTCGACTTGTGGAATTCCGTGAAAACCAAAAGCTTTTGAAGCGGTACCACGCCATCGTATTGTTGTTCTGTAATGAAAAACAGTCTGCCTTGGTTGAATCTGGATATGTCTGCAAAAAAGTAAGCCAAATAATCAAATTCAGCAGCAGGGTTGAGTGAGCGGTCATGCCCCTTGACAAAACAATCCATCAAGCTATCGATGATGGTCCCGGACGGAAACGTCTCCGACGTTGGCATGGTCATGTCCAATATCTTGTTGATGGCATCATTCTTTGCAAGGTTGGTTAATAAAATGCACATTAAATCAGCATGAGTGTTCTTGACGTTACAAATTTGCAAGGCCAACCAGTTAAGGTAGTCTTCATCTTCGACTATCAAGTCACGAATAGTAACGTCTTCACATAAGTTTGCCAAAATAGTAAGGGCATCGGTGACCACCTGCTTGTCAAACACTTCTTGGGACAATCTTTTGAGATCTTTGATGGGCTCATATTGATTATTCGAGAACACCGCCTTGTGAGGGCCTTGAGAAAATCCAACTAAATTGTTGATAGCAAGTTGAATTACAGCCGGATGAGTAGAATGGAGGAATTCCACTAATTCAATGAGCTCAGGAGATGATGACATTGCCGCGAATTCTATTACTCATCGCATCAATTTGTTCTGTGCGCACTTACTATACTATCGATCGAAGCCGATCGAATCGAATTAAGATTCGTAAAGTTGTTTGATGTTAACTACTTAGCAAATTGGTGAAACCAACAAATTTGATCTGACAATGCCTTTTCCGCAGCGTACTTCACCACGGGGTCCTTCATGTCACCCCTGCAAGCAAAGCCGTGAGAAACTCCCAGGAACAAATCAACCTGATAACGAGCACCAATTTCGGCCAACGCCTTCTCCGCTTCGAATCTAGCATCAGCGGGGAAAATGGGGTCTACCTCAGCACATGAGAAAAGGAGAGGCTTGGTAACAGCTTTGACATCGTCAATAGTGACAAACGATGGGTGAGCACCTGCGCCAGCATCCAACAAGCCATCCTTAGCCAAATTCAAAACAACGTATTTGGCGCCGAAGCAGTAACCAATACCACCAACAAAAGTAGGCTTAAGTTCTTCTCTGATTTTCTTTAAGAATCCGTTGACAATGGGGGTGGTAATTTCTTGAGTGTGGTTTTGCAACCAGGGACCCAAATCACCGTGCTCAGCAGGAACCGGATCACCCTTCAAAATATCAGGGATCAATACCTGATAGCCAGCCTTCGAAATTTCATCGGCAATGAGCAAAGTGTTATTGTACTTGTGACCGTAAATATCAGTCAAAATCACCACAATTTTCTTTCCCGAGCCCACAGAGTAAGTGTCCAAGCCACCAATTTGAGAGTGACTACCCTGGGGGGCACCTTCGTGGAAGTTAGTTTCTAAACAGCAAGGACCGCAAGCAGAAGCCATTTGTAATGTAGTTGAGTAGGTGCGGGAAGTTCAGGGAGCCTGCAATCATTTATACCGAGCCGACAGGGACAGCGTTAAATGCAGGATTACTTCATAAAGGACTAATGCGGGGAAATTGAATTGTGAATGTGATTCAACAAAGTTAGTAATTGATATCGGTACTCTGATGAGTCGCCACTATATATCCGGTCCTATGTGACTGAACTTGTACGTCGCTTACACATGTTGTTGATATGGCTTAGCCCTGCACAATGGTACAGGGTGTCGAGATCGTGCGCACGTTGCGTCAATGAAAATAGGTACAATTATAATTATTTTGTGAATACTAATGCTAAGTAAAATGGTAATTATTGGGAATTTCCATCTGGATCCCTGTCAGCCTCTCTTCAAGGTCAAGCCAATTAATGTTGCTGTATTGAGATTTCAGTGAAAATTCTGCTTTGAACTCATCAATTTTGTTCTCAAGAACAAGCACGCAAATGGCGTCATACCCCCCCGCACCGGGAACAACCCCGCCAATACACCCAGAGAGCCCTGAACAAGCGTCTAATAAGTCGGTTTGCTCAGAAGGTTCGATGGCGGCACCTGATTTCTGTGTCATTTCACGAATCCAACGGCGTATATCGGCAATATTCGACGAGAGCTCCAAGATTAATGGACTCGTTTTACCAGTTACAGACTTTTCATATGCGACCAGATCCGCATCAGCTAGTTCTTGAAGCTTTGTCAACGAGGCCATAAATCGTTCATTGGCGTCGTTGAGTTGTGTGTAGATCTCCAAAGCTTCTGCGGATTTATCTTTCTTCCATTGAAGCACCTGTGACACTAATTTAGGAGTGTTACTTCCTCCGGACACGTCACCCATTAACAACTTAATACGAGGCGGCAAGCTGATAGGTTCGTGACCAAACTTCCATGGCCGATCGCAGATAGATTTCACCTCAGAAGGCTTGTTGATTGCAGACTCGACAAGTTTGGGATCAAATCTTTGGAATTTGATCGACCCATAAACAGCTGCCGCAACGTCAAAACCCGAACCAATTTTTCCTTGTGCCAGGCAATGAGCTACCTGGGCAATATTGTGTAAGAGGTCTTTCTGCTTACCAATATCTGGGACAAACTCTCCGAGTAATGCTGCAGACACGACCACCACAAGACCTGCCGATGAACCAAGGCCCGTTTTAGGAACATTGTTGATTTCCTTGTCATGGAAGTAGAACTTTTGGGATCCATTAGACGATTGTTTGATCAATTCACTAGGGGCATGGAACCCTGCGTCCAGGTAGATAGTAATGTCGAATGCAACCGGGTCTACATCACCCCAATAGTTCCACACCGTGACAAGAGTCGCTTCCAAAAACGGGTTTGTTCTCCCTTGGATCTCATGCGCTTCCCAACCATGATCTGAACGAATTAGCTTGTATACCCACAATCCCTGTTCAAATTGAGGCGACTTCACTGTTACTTTTGAGTGGTCCTGGCTTTTTGTGGAAGTCACCACCAGATGCATACATGCTGAAAGTGCTGTAACATACGCTGAGTATTGTGGATCAATCACCAAATAGCCGCCCGCCAATAACGCCTTCCCTGGTGCCGAGTATGCTCGCATAGTGGGTGCCTCTTCGAACTAATCTTCGCGCGAGTAAACCTCTTAAAACAAATTGTACAACAGGACCTAGCAATGTCGCTGTTGCAACATCGACTCTCTTTAATTCTCATGTTTCATTTTAAAGTAGCTTATTCTATATTTTTTGTTGAGAGATCACTATGAAGAAACGACTACGAATCAATCTACTCTTGATGCGCGTTGAAAATTACATATCTTCATGAGTGATTTGGAAACACTCCAAAAGACTATGACCATTGGGGTCATTGGTCTTGGCGATATGGGTGTCCTCTATGCTCGAAGATTTTCAGAAGCTGGATGGAACGTTGTTGGGTGTGATCGAGAAGAGTTGTATGAAGAAACGAAAAAGAAGTTTTCCCTGGAATTGTTCAAGATTGAAAAGAACGGCCATTATGTGCTGCGTATTTCTGATTACATTATTTATTCCGTTGAAGCAGAGAATATCAACAAGATTGTTTCATTATATGGACCGCTGACAAAGTTTGGGGCAATTGTTGGTGGACAAACAAGTTGCAAAACTCCAGAGATCCAAGCGTTCGAAAAGCATTTGCCCTCTGACACAGAAATTATATCATTGCACTCCATGCATGGACCCAAGGTCAATACTACAGGACAACCTTTAGTTATCATCCAGCACCGCGCCAGCGATGCTTCACTTGAGTTTATAAATCACCTTGTGAAATGCTTGAACTCTAAGGTGGTGTATTTGACGGCTGCCCAACATGATAGAATTACCGCTGATACACAGGCTGTGACTCATGCCGCCTTTCTTTCTATGGGCGTTGCTTGGAAAAATTCCAACCAATACCCTTGGGAAACTCCCCGGTGGATAGGCGGTTTGGAAAATGCAAAGACCAACATCGCTATACGGATATACTCCAACAAGTGGCATGTATACGCTGGTCTTGCAATCACCAACCCTGCTGCTCATGATCAGGTATTACAATATGCTAAGCTGACGACAGAGCTTTTCAAGTTGATGATTGCTGGTAAGAGGGATGAGCTCCGGGATCGTTTGTTCAAAGCGAAAGAATTTGTCTTCAATCTGGTTGATCACAACAACTTGTTGCTAGACGATGATTTATTGCAGAAGTTTAGTCTTTCTAAAGTTCCTCCAGAAGGCCGTCAACCCAATTCGCATTTATCATTGCTAGCTATTGTTGATTCGTGGTTCAATCTTGGTATCATTCCTTATGATCATATTATTTGCCTGACACCTTTGTTTCGGATATTTTTGGGGGTCACTGAATACGTATTTTGCACCCCTAACTTGTTGGAGGAACTGATTGATTACGCAGTGCAAGACACCTCTTTCCGAACAGATGATCTTGAATTCACCATCGCTGCTCGGAATTGGCTGAGCATTATTCGCTTTGGAAATTTCGAGCTTTACAAAAATGAGTTTGTTCAAACGCAAAAGTTTTTTGAACCAATGTTTGCCAGCGGTAACGCTGTAGGGAACGAAATGATTAAAACCATTTTGGACCGGGTGAAGGAGCGTGAAGCCCATGCCTAGATCGTCAGTCTTCATTAATATGTACCTAACATTAACCATGCATTATAACTGCTCCTCCTTAATCACATCCATCAACCAATCTAACCCTTCGTGCAAACCTTCTCCTTTAATGGCACTACTGGCCACGATACTCCAACTGCGGTCCTTTAATTCTGTCAAATTGAGAGCCATCGACACCTCAGCTGCGGTCATTGCTCCAGGTTGATCCTGTTTATTAGCGAACACTAACAACGCCGAGTCTAATAATTCTTCTTCCTTCAACATCATGTGCAATTCTTTAGAAGCAACATCAATACGCTCTTTGTCGGTGGAATCAACAACGAATATGACTGCGGCTGTATTCGAGTAATAGCATCGCCAGTAGGGTCGGATAGATGTCTGTCCACCCAAATCCCAAATGTTAAGAGTCAAATTTTTGTACTTGAGAGTTTCAACATTGAATCCGATTGTCGGCTTCGTGGTCACAACTTCACCCATCTGAAGACGATAGAGAATGGTGGTCTTCCCAGCACCATCAAGTCCCAAAATCAATATTCTGATTTCTTTGGAGGCTCCCCACACCTTTCCGAAGATGTTGGCAAAACTAAACGTTTGTCCCATGGTGTTTGGTTTGCGTGCCACTGATTTTTTAATGACGTAGCGCTTGCGCGTACAAATTCAACCACTTCAGCGCGACGAATTCAAGATACACGGGGATGACTCGTTACTCGATAATAGCTGCAAACTCGATAGTGTGACAAGAAGAGTGCCTTGAATGAAGAACTGTAGGCTTGCTTGATTGAATCAAAATGCGGTCAGTGAGTTAGTTAGTTGTCTTACTTGATTAGATAACTATCTATCGACGAATGCTTTCGAGCTCAATTTGCTGTTAGTTGTGTCTCAAATTACAACCTTTGCTATCTACAGATAGCTCTAATAGAATGTACTCATGTATCAATTATAATTGTCTATGGGACACTTTTCGCTTGAACTCACTCCAGAAAAAACCCCCAAACATGTCGCCTCGAGGTATCTTAAGAAATAAGGATGAAGTGGATCACCGCCCTTTTGAAGAGCAACTTGATCGTCAAGAGGTTGTTCGAAATACTATTCTAAATTCCCAAATGCATTCAGACCCCAACAAAACTGTCGCTGAGAAACCAGAGGCGGAGGCTGAAGCAAACGAGCATTTGAAATGGGACGAGATCAATTTGTACAAAACAGAGCAGGAAAAGGCGGCAACAATGAAAATTGATGAACCCAAAACTCCTTACGAGGGTGGGTTCAATCCGCAGGGCGAATACTATCAACAGGACGAAGACCAAGAGGATGATATTCCTGAATTCCAACTTGGGAAGGGCGAGGCTGACGACCTGGAGCAATCGCTCTATGGGAGCAAAATCTTGCCTCGGGAAGAAGGCGATGAAGTGGAAGAGGAAGAAGAGGAAGAAGAACGCCCACTCACAGCTGAGGAGCGCCACAAGAAATTTGAGGAGATGCGTAAAAAGCACTACCACATGAAGGCAAAACCATTGTCTCGCCATTACGACTATACCAAAGAACCGGATGAATAAATCAGCAATATATATAATCTTACTTGAAAACTCTCATCTTGCCAGCGACACCAACTTCATTGGCAATAGCAACGAAGTCAGCTTTAGCAGAATCACCAGTCTTAGAGCCCAAAGTGGAAACGAAGGACACCAACTTTTCGTCATCGAGGGCTTCCAAAATGTCTTCGACGTCTGCGTCAATGGCGCCACGGTCACCAGACATATCGGCGGTAGCACCACGAATGGCTCTCTTGTTCTTCTTCTTCGCGGCCTTGGCAGCTTCCTTCGCCTTCTTTTTGTCAACCTTACTGGCAGCGGCAGCGGCAGCAGCCGCTTCTTCTTCAGCTTTCTTTTTGGCCGCTTCTTCGGCAGCTTGTCTCGAACCAGCTTCTCTCTCCCACTTCTTTCTTTCCTTTTCCTTCTTGATGGCTTCCTTGAACGCCTTGATACGAGGATCTTCAGAGTAAGCCCGTTCAACAAGGTCAATGATTCTCTTGTTGTCTTCTTGCTTCAATTTCTTTCTGTTGGAGATGTTCTTTCTTTCGATGTATCTCTTGTGGTCCCGGTTGGCAGTGTCATCAGGAACATCCTCATCCTTGAATTCGAAGGTTTTCCAAGAATCAAACTTGCCCCAAGCCGAATAGAAGTTATCAACTTCTTCCTTCGTGGAATCAGCGTTTCCCAACGGGGGCATAGGACCCTTCTTCAGGAATCTCGATTCGGCTTCAAAGACAGGGCCCCAAGCTTCATAAAAGTCGTATTGCGACTTAGCGGGAGGGGGAAGGACGTCAGCATTTTCATCAACCGAGTCAAACTGCCTTCTTTGAGTGGGATCCAACATGGTCTCGAAGGCTTTCTGAATGATTTTGAAGAAACCATCTTGTTCCAAGCCACCCGAAGCAGACTTCTTATCAGGGTGGTGCTTCAAAACCTGCTTTCTGTGGGCCCGACGGATCTGATCTTCGGTAGCTCTCCATCTCAAGTGGGAAATCCCCAAAACAGCGTATAAGTCTGCCTCCTTCCAGTCTCTAGGGTCCCAGTTGAGTAATTCCTCATCTTGTTCTTCGTCCCCAAGATCTTCGTCTTCGTTTTCTTCGACCTTAGTCACGTTCTTTTCGGCTTCGATCTTCTCATGTTCGGACCAAGTGTGGCCTCTGAGAGTCCGCAGAGCGTGGGCAAGGAAATACCGACCGACCGGCTCAATGGGACGGCGAATGGGTTCAGCGTAAGCTGAAACAGCAGAAAACCCTTCAGAGTTGGACGCAGGCAACACAATCATGGATAATGTGATGAGATGATTTTTAGTCGCAAGAAAAATTGTTCAAGTACTGTTTCACGCTAACAGACAAGGAAAATTTGTCAACAGGTACAACAAAGCATCAGCATTTTGTCAGCTAGTAAAATAACAGTGGGCTTTACATGAAGACAATACAAGGTTTTCAACATTGGCTTTCGAAATACTTTCATCGGCATTGCAAATCACGTGAGATGTGCTCCTCTATTCCAACTCACGAAGTGGGCAAAGTCACCGTCGAAATCACTCGCTGCATAACATGGATACGGATGACAGAACACATTTGATTTCCAGAGACGATGACAGCGATACTGAATCTGTGCTAGAACTCCCTGAAGTAGTCAGAGACACGGTACCATTGAAAGATGATCCACACATCCCCGTGGTCACAGTTCGATATATCATTTTACTGCTTTTATTTGTAATACCGGGAGCATTTGTTGATACCATGAATCTGTACAGAACCACACTGGCGGCATACCTGATATTTTTCGTCCAAATCGTGGGACACTGGGCAGGGCAATGGTGTGCTCGAGTGATTCCAAAGAATCAAATTCTCAGCGTGGGACGCCATAAATTGAACCTAAATCCTGGACCATGGTCTATCAAAGAAACTGCACTTCTCACGATTACCGCAGCGCTGGGAGCTACCGGTAATCTAGCTACGAATGCGTTATCTTTAGCCGACTTATACTTTGACACGGTAGTACCTAAAGTCATAGCAATTCCGTTTATGTTTGCAATTGTCTTTGTTGGATATAGCTATGCAGCAATTTGCAAGGATGTCTTGGTATACGATACGACCCTTCCCTTCCCTGCAACGTTGATGCAAACAGCCTTACTACAATCTCAAGCCAAGAACCATGGAAAATCTGCACAAATGAGGGTGTTTTTCTATGTTCTTGGCGTGGTAGCGGTATGGCAATTGCTTCCAATGTTCATAATGCCAATGGTGTCATCATTAGCTATTCTTTGCTGGATAGCACCCCAAAACTCAATTATCAACTTTATTGGCAGTGGACTTGGTGGCATGGGTTTCCTTAACTTCTCCTTGGACTGGGCTAATGTTACTTCCCAAGTTATGATTTTACCCTATTGGGTTCAAATTATTCAATTCGTGGCATTTGTAATTGGAGCCTGGATACTTATTCCATGGACAAAATGGGGGAACTTGTTCGATTACAAGTATGGGCTCATGTCAAATCGGTTGTTCACATTCAATGGTACCAGTTATCCCACTACAGAGCTTTTAGGTTCTGACCTTCAGCTTAATGTTACTGCTTATGCTCATTATGGACCAGTCTATCTCGGACCACAGCGGGCATGGAATATGTTCTTCGATTATGCCGCCTACATTAGCGGCGGCATGTGGATTGTTCTCTTTGGATGGGACAAAATACAGAAGTCTTTTACTAGAACGCATGCCACGAGGAGAACAGACAGACTTAATCATTTGTATCTGAAATACCCAGAAATTCCCATGTCATGGTATCGATTGTTGTTTTTGCTGAGTTTTGGAACGCTTCTAGTGATATTTTTGAGTGGTCAAATGTTTATGCCTTGGTGGGCATGCATTGTAGCATTGATGATGGGCGGTTTAATCGTTACCCCGTTGGCTTGGCTTTACGCCCTTTCCAACTTTCAACTAGCAATTGGCACTTTCAATGAGTTGATATATGGGTTCATGATACAATATGTCCCAAAAAGACATCCAGTTGGTGCGCTTGTTTTCGGGTCAATAGCTGGAGATGCCTGGTATCGCGCCCAATTTCATTTGGATAGCTTACGCTTGGGATTCTACAACCATTTACCACCTCGCTATGTGTTTTGGGCTCAACTCTACGGAGAATTCATTGGCATCCCTATAAACCATGTAGCTTATCGGTGGATTATTGATCTGAAACGACAATATTTGAATGGGTCCAAAATTGACCCAAGTCACCAATGGACGGGACAGGCAATAAGTGCTAGTCATACTAACGCTATTCAGTATGTTGTGCTTGGGCCTTCAAGACTTTTCACCAACTATAAATGGTTACCTTACGGGTTCTTGGTCGGTTTGCTTGCTCCCATTTTAATTTTCAGGCTACACAGACGCTATACAAATGTTGGGTTTGACAAGTGGAATACGACAGTCTTTTTTTCAAGTATGTCACGATTTTATGGCAACATATCCACAGGCTACCTCTCAAGATTCATAGGTGGCACCATTACTATGTGGTGGGCATATAACCATCGCCACTCGTTATGGAAAAGATATAACTACATTGTTGCAGCAGCCTGTGATACAGGGTTGAACTTGGCTTTGCTAGTGATATTTTTGGCGTTCACAATGGTAGGTCACATTGAGATGCCCCACTGGTGGGGTAATAATGCTGAGAATGTTGAGCGGTGTTTCGCTTTACAAAGGAGCCTGTAGAGTAAACATAAGCCAAAGAGTTGAGCACTACGGAGCTCAAACAATCCAACCTCGAATAAACGCTTTTATCAACTACCGTTGCCAGTAGTTCGCAAAATATAATACGCATGTACACATAGACACTCATCTTCACGCGCCGCACTGAAAGTTCCAAACCGGCGTTTCTGAGTTCTGGTCATTATGAGCAAGCAAATAACGTCGCAGGAAGCCAATACCTTGGTTCAGGGGCTTAAACAAGAGCTAGCTCATTACCAAGCTGCAGGAAACGATCAAGAAAAGGCCCAAGAACATTTCCAGAAGGCTGAGCGTTACAGACAACTTCTACTTCAGTACAATCAGCAACGTACCCAACAAGAAGGCAGCCAAACTGAAGACCCATCTATCACTCAGGCCATCAACTCTATGCCATCCCGACCACTGACACCACTTACCGCATCTAGCATCAATCAGCCGCTGCCGAATGCCAGTTTAGAAAAGAAGATCAGTCAATTAAAAGTGACATTTCAAGAAGTGAGAGCACGAATCGACTCTCTTGAAGAACTTAAGCGAAAAGAAACAGATCCGGAGGTCATTGCAAATTACGACAGGGAGTTGGTAAAGCTCAAGCCCACGTTCAATAAAATTGCCAATATCTTGAGCAACCAACGGATTCTGTCTCCTGCTCCTGAGACACGGGGACAACCAACGGGTGGTCGATCAAATTCACAATCACCTCCACCTATCGCGGCAAACCCAAACTATCGCAACCTGCCCATTCCACAACTCAGAGTGCAGCCACCGCGAGCGGCCGCAGTCAGAGCACCTACCGCGATTCTGGTTGCAAGACCAGTCTCGACACAAATCACTCCTCTGGTGTCTTCATCATCTATACCAGGTCGAGGTGTACTGTCGACCACACCTCTGGGCAATTATTATAGTCAACAGAATTCTCAGATCCGACAACTGCCAATGTATCACATGAGTGACTACTACTCTGGTTACCAAGGCGATCTGCTGGGGCGTATGCTTCAAAAAAGAAAACTACAAGAGGTTGTCAACCTGCTTAGTGTTGACGAGGGTGACGTCAATACAATAAATCGAGGTGGTAATATGATGGATGGCGATGTTGAAGATTTACTAATTGATCTTGCTGATGAGTTTGTAACTCAGGTAACTTCCTTTGCCTGCAAGCTTGCTAAACATCGTAAAGTCGATCTCATCGACATGCGTGACATGCAGTTGAATTTAGAGCGCAATTGGGGCATAAGAGTTCCTGGGTACAACTTAGACGAAATCAAAGCCACACGCAAATGGCAGCCACTGGCGGATTACCAAGAGCGTCAACTGCAGGTTGATCATGCCAAAAAGGGCGGTAGTGATAAGAAATGATACGATTTATAGGCAGCCTCACATGTCAAGAGCTTGAAAGTTTATAAGTAAGCCCTTCCATACTAATCCTTCCAAAATCTACTAGCTCACGGAGGACAGTCCGTAATCTATCATCGTCCATATCACCAATGTCTAGATCCGTCCTTGGAACAGTTAATGAAAGAAGTGGCTTGAGTCTGGCAAAAGATATGACTTTGATGTTCTCCAAGATAGTTTGGACAAATGGGAAAATGACACGAGCTTCTGGCAGCTCGATCTGCTCGTAGTTCTCGTTCACCACATACATGGCATTGGGAAGTGACCTCAAGACCTTCATTTTGACCCAAAATTGAAGTGCTTGAGCTGCATTATATTCTAGCATACCACACCGCTGGGCAACAATTGAAGGCGACAACTCCTCCGCGTCTTCGTTAAATGCCTGTATAACAGTAGCCTGTAATGGAGTAACATCGAACTTTTGAGAGATGCCATTATTGAAGACAAGCTTAACAGACACATGACCCAAGTGGGGGATAAGTTTGAGTTTGCGTCCCCGCCGATGTGCACTGTATTGTGCGTTGTACAGCTCAAATCTCTTAAGTAAGTCTGATGGTAATGTAAATGTTACGTTCAGCTCAAGATTATTCCAGTAATGACCGGATAATACTGAACCATGAAATCCGTCCATACTGATCCAGCGACTGATACGACTACTTTCTTGAATGTCGCGCACCATCACATCCAATTCAGAAAACAGGTCTCGACCAAATCGTGCTTTCAATAAAGTCAAATTTGCAATAGTATCATCAATTTGAGATTCAAAATTTGACAACAATCTTGAGGAGAAACACGCTGTAAACTCGTCAATGAATGTGTTCCGGGAGTCGAAAATGGATACTAACAGCTCAATCACATCTGCGACTTTGCCCTTCTTGAAATCGGGTAGTGCATCAATTGGATCCGGGTTCCAATTCATATCATCAGTTTCGTGACTGTTTTGAAAAGCGGAGTGCCCCTTCCGGAACTCGATTGCAAGTTCTTTCAAATCGTTAGAGCCAGAATCATCTAACATTCCGTGCACCAACTTGTTGATAACGTCCGAACGCAGCTTGATATAGTTTCGAATTGGTCTTGCCACCTTGTCTAATAATACACCCCGAGGATCTATTATTAAAAAGGCCTTAATAGTGCGAGTGTAAAATAAAATAACGCTCACAGTATGTCGTCCAGAGTGTAATAGCATTTGGCGACTTCGATTGATGAATACTTCAACCAACTTATTACGCTGATATGCCTGACTTGATATGCTAACATTCACAAGGTGAGCCACCGTCAGCATATTCACATCCGTGGCATTATCATGATGAAGCGGTTTAATGTGAAGACACATGTAAAGTTCTTCAAGCGCAACGATACTGCCTGGGTGGTGATAAACAATATCAAAAATCTCTTCAATCCGAAGTTTGACTAACTGATCATGGGCTATCTTCATTAACTCGTCAACATAATTTCCGTCGAGAGTGACAGTGGAAATTTTAGGGCAGAGTCGATGTACAACGAACTCAGTGATTTGAGGAAGGCATTGCTTCGACCATTGCCGCCTGCATTCCCGATGAACATATCCAATGATTTTAGACATAGCATCCGTGATGATTGTGGAATATACTACCTGTTTCAACAGTGACTCCAGAAGTGTACTAATGACCTCAGGTACCAGACCACATGGAGTCATTTCGATATCCTCAAAGAAATAACTTTGAGTCCAAATATTGAACTTCATCAAAAAGTCAGTGTTGAGTATATACTCTCGTAGATTGGAATCAATGCTTGAAGAGAGAAGCTCAGCTGGATATCCTGAAAGTCGGAGGTGTCTGCAATAGAATGAGTAGTATTGATGAATCTGTCTGATTCTTTGAAGGTGCTCCTTCAACAGTAGATCACCATATACCCAGTGTTGACTGAAAGCACGGGCAATGGAATTGATATACAACTTCACAAATTCATGAACCGACACATCGTCCTTAAGACACAGTCTCATGGCCAGCTTAATTCTAGGCAGTGGTTCAATGGGTGTAGCATTTGTTGTAGGGTAAAACGGTCTCAACCAGTCCAATAGCAAATCGATATCATTGTCATTATCATGAATATTGTCGCATAAACCTTGCAATGTTGGCTGAGGGATTATGGTTTCGATGTGTTGCAGTGAAGCCATCATCGTTTTGGTAGTGGGGGCATTCAAATAAACCTCCATGTATTTTTATGTCGTGGCTAGCCTTTATTCTGTTTATATCTGAAGGTGAGTAGAGTGTTTGTGCGTGATTTATCTCGGCAATTTTGATCTGCCCGCACGCAGCGTTGGAAAATTCATAGTCAATACGGCTGGGACGAACCTAGCATTGCCACCATTAGCGATGCCGTTCTTCAGATCGGACAAATACATATCACAGTTTATCGATGTGACAGGACTGTCACAGGCGGTGGCTAAAGAGTACCAGACACGATACCCCAAGAACGTTGAGTTAGGGATCCAGGCGTATTTCGATCATCAGCAGACATCGCAGAATCCGCCAACCCAAATCACTCAGAAACTTAAGGAAGTTGCTGACACGTATCGGGACCCCTCTAAGCCTGACAGAATTGAGATCGATGGCACCCTCCAATATATATCAGATTTGGGCGTGGAACCTGAAGACTATCGAGCATTGGTACTTGCATATCTCTTACATCTGCCAGAGTTGGGCGTCTTTGAGGTCTCAGAATTCTTGAATGTATGGGGATCGTTGAAAAAGGAGCTGTTGACAGAGATGCGAGAGTACTTGGATAATTACAGCGAGGAAATTGTCGCTAATGTTCAACAGTTCAAGAAGATGTATGCCTATACGTTTGGATTCCTCATGCTGGTTCCGAATCAGAAGTTGCTCAAAGCAGAAGACGCTGTTGAATATTGGAAATTGTTGTTTCCACTTATAATTCATGGCGAAAAGTCACGGGAGAGATTGGATCAATGGTGTTCCTTTGTGCTTGAGGAATGGAAGCATCAAGTTAGCAAGGATATGTGGATAATGACCTTGGAGTTTTTCTTGGAGGTTGTTGACGATGATCCTGAGACGTTCTCGAAGTGGAATGAGGAGCTGTCATACCCCCTGGTCGTCGACTTATACGTTGAGTATTTGCGTGATGCGGGATCGTTACCGGAAGCGTGAATCATTGCATAGAACTATTTAATTAAGGAGATTACCTATGCTCAGTTTCTTCATCGAGAGAAGGGTTCGACCAGCGTCCTCATCTTTGACCTCGTCAGCAGCTTCGAGCTCACCTAATGCCAGTAGTACTGAGGGATTGTCTCCGGCAAACGCAGGATCAAATACTGCTCCTGATACAAGCGAGTGATCGACAGAAGACAAGGCAGGGTCTGGAAGCTTGAATTTCGATGAAGCGGTTGATCGTGATGGTCGCATCGCTGGAGAAGAGTGAGCACTAAACTTACTGCTCATCGCAGTAGTGTGTGGCAGGATTGGGTTCAGCACCCGTCGGTTGGTGGTATATTTGCTGCAGGCAGGATAAAAGTTTGGCGAGTTGTTCGGACTCTGAGTTCCGCTGCTATAAGCGTCACTGATTGGCTCAATAATATCATGTTCGGGTATTTTCGTTATTGAAGATGGTCGGTACTCCTCGGTAAGCAAAGAGCTGAAAGTGAACTCCTTATCGATATCTCGATATTGATTAACATCGAGTGGTATTGAAGCGAAATCAATATCGAACTGATATCCCGGATCATTTCTGGTGAGCTGCTCATGTTGACGGCGAATGATGTGATGTAGGTAAAGTATGTACTCAACCAGCAGCTTTAAAATTGTGAGTTTATACATGCCATCAATTTTGTTCCCGTTATTGGTACTTCCACGAGCTTTTATTTGCGGCAGTGATGATCCGCCTTGATTACGGCAAGCAGGAATCAAGTATTTGAGAGCTTCAAACTCACGGTTGATCTTGATTCGCCGGCGTTTTTCAATGATCAGGTGTAGTTGCTTGGTTTCATGTTTTCTTTTGGCCAATTCTTCCAGATCGATATTGGCCAGACTGCGCCGCCGCTTTTTCTTTGGAGCTGGTGCTTGGAACGAAAGTCCCGACTCGGTGGAAGTCGCCAGTTCCTCGCCATTTTCCAAGTAGTCGTTAGTCAAGATCTCATAGTTTGAGTTATCCCCATCCAAATCCTTATTTAGATGAATAATGGTGGTCTTTAGAACGGGAGGGCCGGGCAAACTCATGGTGTGTGCCTGGATACAGCAGAGGTGGATCTATTAATAAGAGGCTTGGAAACGTGTGCCCTTTTAATTTCTTGGTTTGTCACACGACATCTGGACCCACGTGTACGCCCCATGGCTGACCTAAGCGCGATGTCAAATAAAGTAAAAGAGAATCAAACAAGTGACAGAATGCAATGAGAAGAGCGTAGATAAGATTTACTCAGGTACAATCATACCGTGATTATCGTAGTCTTTCCTAATAACTATGGGATTTCTTTGGACCCCGTGGACCTTGTGTTCTGCATGCAGTGATGTGTCAAAGGTGAACAACTCCGCCATGTGGTTCAAACTACCTCAATTTTAACGCTGTCGAAGCGGAAAAATCGACGGATATCTTTACTGAAGACATATTTAATGACTAATAGAGTCACATTGTAGTTAGCTTATATGATAATTCGTTGAGATCAAATGTCCGGAATTCCCGAGCTTATCACGTTGCTTATTGCTTTTGCAAAATCGTGTGGGCATTGTTGCCAACGTGGTTGCACACGAGGGCACGCCACCTCGGGGAAGGTAGGTGCGTTATCAACAGCAACGTGTGTTACTCTATGCGCAGGATTTTCCGCCTCTTTTCGTGTTGCTTACTTGCCCTTTGATTTTGCCTTCGTGTGACTTGTTCCATCATTAATTTCGCGGCATGATCGTTGGAGATCTCTTTTGGAACCTGATCTCGTTTTTCCCACGAAAAGACGGCCTCATCACCATTTCCTTTGGCGAATTCGCTCTCAGACGCGAAGACGCCTTCACCCCCGCTAATGATTGTGCGAGTCTTGGGATCGTACTTGAGTTGTATTTTGCCATCAGCTTTAGCCGATATATTATGAATATACGCGGCGATATCGCTGCGGTCGCGCATGATCTGCTCCGTTGAATTCCGTTTGATATTGGTTTTGAAGTCCTCAACCGTAAGCCCTAATTCGATTAATTCAAGCTCGTAGTCAGTATCATCAGAATCGTCAGCCACCCCTGCTGTATCACGATCCCGCCATGATTTCAATGTTTTCTCCCACTGCTCCAAGTCATAATTTAACCACTTATCTCGCTTTGTAGCCCACAGTTCTTCGTTGATGATACCCTTCCCCACTGTAGCTTCACCTTGATCTATCAGTTCATCCCCCTCAGCTTTGAAATCATGAGTCTCTCCTTTGTTCTCGTACCATCTAGACGCCTTAACGTAATGGGGTATATGAGACATCGTGATCGCACAATGCGAAATCGAGAAATGACAAAAAACGTGGTGGATGATCAAGTCGAAACGTAAAATTGGAAAATGCATGAATCTATATGTTTATAAACGAAGCCAATCATCCTCAACGATGTCGGTAATAGTTGGACGTTGGTCGATATCTCTTTGGAGAATTCGCTTTACCAATGATAGAGAACCCTGAGAAATGACATATGGTATGCGAAGGTCACCTTCCATGATCTCATCAACGTTATAAAAAGGGTTTTCCTTATACAACATTGTGTATAATAGAATTCCTAACGCCCAAATATCTTGAGGCTTACCCTCATATCGCTCGCCTCTTAAAACTTCTGGCAGAGCGTAGTCAATTGTACCCACAAACACATCAAAAGGACCTTGTTTGCTATAACCTGCCAGTCCAAAATCAATGAGCTTGATGATACGATTTTCGTCGACGATGATGTTCTCATCCTTTATATCTCGATGAACGATGCCATGTTTATGCAAATGATATATCAGCGAGCAAATCTGACGGAATATGAAACGGCATTCGTCCTCAGTCATGTCTGACTTGACCTCAATATAATCGAAGAGATCAATCGCTGGTGGATTGCCGAAAATAGGTGTTTCAAGATAGTAGTATTTGCTATCCTCAAAGAAATCAACGATTTTCATGATATTAGGATGCGGTTCAGCGTTGAGTGTATTCATGATTTGAATTTCCGATGGAATAGTGCCTAGTTGGCGGTCTCGTACCCATGTGTCCACCAAAATTCTCTCTTTGTCAATGCATTTGATGATGACTCGATAATTGTTATCCTCCTTGTGATGTGCCAATACTACCTTGCCATAGGCACCCTCGCCCATTTCTTTTTCCACAACAAATTCATTGAACTTTTTGGTACGTCGACTGGTCCCAATCTCTCTGGGCCACAACCTCAGTTCGGCCATGACTTTCTTTAACTGGTCATTCTCTAGTTTGAGCATTTCAGTCTCTGAGTAAATATGGAATGGCAGATGTGTCGTTATTGTTGAAACTTGAAGCTTTTCTGACGTCTCATCGGTCAGTGCAATAACGCCTTCATCCATCAGGACATTTCTCAGCTTAAAATGGAGTTCGTTCCGAGTTTTGTCAGTGAGGAATTTAACAGGAAACGCAAAAGTCCCAGCCTTAGCCTTTCGAACCAGCTTGTTTCGCTGGAGTTTGGGAGGATCATAAGCTATGTCATCCTTATCCCCCATGACTTCACTTTGAGGTAAACTAGGTGACACCAGCTCACTTGTCGTAACCGTGCGTCGATGAAGGACTGTATGAAGCGATGGGTGCTCATCTAAAGGAACTGGAATTAACAGTTGTGACTCATGCTCAATTGTTTCGTGGTTCACACTTACATTTTCTGGCCCCGTGCCTTTTATTTTACTCACTGGCCTTGAGTATGTGACCCAAATCACAAACGTGTCAACGCTCAGAACACGTAATTGAACATCGACATAGAGTACTCCTCCATCACGATGTATCGCTTCGATACCCGTTGAAGAAAAGAAAAGCTCCTCCTGTAACTCCAGCGACAGAGATCCCAATTCTTTCAGCCTTAAAACAGCGTCATATTTTCGAAAAAAGTGTTCCGGCAAAACCAAACCAGGCACGATGGAAATACCACTAGCTTCAACACCGTAGTTGAGAATTTGAGAGAATTTGGGAATAAGTAAATCGAGCAGCTTGTCATAAACATCGGGTGCCAGGATTCCCAATAAATTTCTAGCGATGGCGTTATTGCACGACAACACGTGAAACTTGGAATTGATAACGAACATCCCGGCAATGTAGGGAAGAGCATGAATTTTGAGTTTCATTGATTCATCATGATCCAGTTCCATTGCTGTCGCTATGACAGCGCAGGGCACATTGGGATGGGCACCATCCTCATCGACGGTAGTCAAAGTGTAGTATCGTCTGTGACTCACAATAGACAGTGCGGCTTCGACATCTGTAGATTTCTTTATGTCATCGGTTAACGAGCTCAGTATCAGAGCCAACGAGTCCCATTGATTAGAAAACAGAACGAAATCACCAGTAATTTGTTTTACATCTGAGACTGATGCACTTGGCACCTGTACCACGACGTCAAAAGCATCGCAATGGATTTGGTCAAACATGCATATGATAAGCGACCCTTTCCTTTTGGCCCAAAGTGAAGTATATGTAAAGTTTCGCAGGCCTGGTTTGGATATGGCGACAATCTCACCGGCAAATATAATATCTTTTCGAACGGCCTCAATTACCTCTAAGTTCAGTTGGCGCTTTGAAAATGATTCAGCATATAAACAGCGATTCAAACGTTGAAACACAAAGTCACGAAATTGAGGGGCAATCAAATCCATAAGTGTGAGAGATTTGAATTGAGCTTTCAGTACCCCAAACATAATACATGCCAAGTCGTTAGCAGCTTTCACTTCCCAAGGCATATCCATTGACACAGTAAATACCAGTTGTGGTGCATTTTTCTTGGATTGAGCGTGGAATACACGAGTTGGGTTTGTGCTGCCCGGCGGGGCCAGTGGAACTCCCAGGGTCAACGTGTTCAATGCAAGCAGCAGAGGCTGCATTGATGGAGATTTTGGCATCTGATTGGTCTCAGCGAGAAGGAGCGCTGTGTTTTGTGGGTGGTCAACGAAAGGCGTCGCAAGAGCGTACAACAACTTCTTCTTCACAGCCAGTTCATCTTCTAAAATGTGCAGAATTCGTGAAAGTGACAAGTTATGTAATTTTTTTGCCACATCAGTGTCTCTCATCAATTGTTCAGAATCACTTTGTATCATACCAATAAGCTCCGATATTTGAGTGGAGTCATGAGATGCACTGACAGTACGACCTATGGGCTGATTAGATTTACCGGTGCTCAACACCTTCTCCACGGGAAATGAATCCAGACGACGAATTGGTGGGCGAAAAAGTGCAGCAAGAGCCGCTGACAGTGCATTTGGTGGCACCATCTGCGCCGAGTTGGGCGATCCCGATACCACGTCTTGTGAATTGTTTTTGTGCTTGAAGATGGATGTTTTGAATGATTGAACCAGTTGATTTGAGAGTGTGGGATATATTGGAGGCATCCAATCGTCGGATTCATCATTGTCTTCAGGTACAAGCAGTCGAACCAAGTTTGGCCGATCTTTGAGGATCTCTAGAGATCTTTTGAGGATGTTGAGCCGAAGAGCAAGGGAATGTGGCAGGAGTTGGGCGTAGGAATAAGAATGAGTCAGCTCGATTGGTATTGTAAGAAGCAGCTCCAATTGCGACAGCCCTTGAGCAAGCGGGGCCAGCGACAGCACCTGAGATCGTTCATCCTCATCGTAGATGTAGAACAGGGGCTGTGTTGCTAGCGACGATGGCGCAGGAGTGGTCATCAAGTCTGGGCCGTCAAAGACAATCAGTCGGGTTTTTTCAATCAACTCAAGGATGGTTTTTTTCTCCCGTTTGCGAGGTAAATTGGAGGCAATATGGAAGCTCAAAAACCGAGTTTTTGCTGATTTCCAGATTCCAGTTAACCTTCACCAAATTCAAATAGGATGGTGTGAGTTGACTATTTGTCTTTAAGGTATAGACCCCTAATTCGTGGTTAACAAAAGATCCCTATTTTGAACCGCGAGTTTTAGGTGTAGGAATTATTATAGGATGGCTACGCCGTGTGAGGGGATGATGTCAGCATGAGAGCTGTACACCTGTACGAGATGCGCACGGTGAACAACAAGGCTCTATAGTAGTGCGTACCACCTCAAAACGGGACCTTATGAAAAGAAGGATATCATTTACCATAACGTCATAACATCAAAGAAAGCTTTCTATCAATTAGAACTAGTTTCACCACTACGGAAAGTCGACATCATGCGACAGCGATTGTACAATATATGAATCTTGTCAACAAAATTTTCAAGGTCCTCCATTAGTTTGTTGTATTAGTTAAATATTGCGCAAGCAAATAGCACCTTGTCAATCTTTTATCAATATACGAACCCAACCTTTACGAGCTGGCCACTCTTGATGTTTTCAATCAAACCCTCTTCTTCGACATTGTGATGATCGTAGTGCGCAAAATTAGTGCAAGCATTAAGAGTTTGAAAACCCTTTTACCCACAAGTCATTCTCATCATGTCCCCTCCATAAGCGCAGAATTGTTATTCCCAAGTCATATTTCTTTCGCATTAGTTCATCTTGCTTCATGCGCAACTTTTCAATTGCCCTTGTTATCTTGGTTCTTGTGGCATAATCGATTTCAACATTGTACGGTGGTAATAAATTCAGCAAAAATACAATCTCCTTCTCAATTTTTGAGATACGATTTGTATACGCGTCATGCTTCTTTTGCGCCGCCAACAATCTATCTTTGTCTTTAATTTGACTCGGATCCATCGAGCTAGCAAGGCTGACAGTATTCTTTTTGGACTGCAGGTCAATTCGCTTTACAGTAAACTTTGGTGCTTTCTTGATGAAGGGATTAGACGACGTCAGCAGATCCAGCTGCGGTGAAAGTAACACGTCACCGTTCTCAGAAGGTAAGGTTGTGTTTTCAGTGGTAGATGCTTGAGTAGGACGTGTTGACGGGTTAGGTGAGATTTGCTCAATGGTTTCCGTAGAGTACACACTGGACGTGTTGTCTGGCTCCTGGATTAGCGGGTACAACAGCGGTTGAGAGCTTTCTTTGTTGATCAGTACTCTAATCACGTTATCTGGTTCAACGTTTGATGAACTCGCCGGTTGTTTGATCGGCTGCTCTTGTAGACTTGAAATAAGCCGGTTTGTCGATTCCATCAGATTATCTGACAGCGTCGAAATCAGCAGATTTCGGCTCATCGTCGTCAAACACTTTGCGGGGGTAAGGGGGGTGGGCTCGTGTGTTTTCACAAGTGTTTCGCGACTCAAAAATGAAAACACGTTTTGAGCCATTGGAAACCAACTTTGGATTCGCAGTGAAAGATAGGGCCCGGGGAGTGGCGCGGCCGACTAGCAATATCCCGAAAGCTGCCTTTCCGAATGGATGAGAAGCTTAGAGTGCCTACCAACATAACTAAGCACAAATGTAGAATTGAATAAATTTATGCAACACACGCTAATAGTCTAGATCGCTATATATTGAAGCGTCGTTGACATACTTACCACACTGAGTATACCTCATAAGAAAATGGATGACTAGAATCGAAAAGAACCGCGCTCTACACGGTACCTTCGTCCTCGATCCCTAAATTAAACCAAGGATGATTGAGCGCTTCAAGCGCTGTCAATCTTTCCTCAGGGTTGATAATGAACAACTTTTTCAACAAGTCAATGAAAAACCACCAAAATGTGAAATTGCCAAAATTCATCAAGTGCTTATTCTTTTGATAGTTGAGCAGGAGCGAATAGTCAAAGTTGATATCCAACCCAATCCGTTTAGAAATGAAAACGTCAATGCGATCGAGTTCAGCTACCAGCTTGACAAACTTCTCTGGAGTCAGCAGTGTGGGAAACATAAGGCGTAACAGACGATGCAGTGTTGCCACATCATCAAAAATAACGTCATCATCACAATCGCCACTGTAATCGTCCTCCTCCTCACCATCAGTCATGCGATGTGCGTCTGGAATATATGCTTTGGTGAAATATTCAAGTCCACACTCATTACCTTTTTCTTTTGACAGTTGGACCATCAGTTTATCGATGGGATAGCCGCAAACTTTCTCAATCATTGCCAAGTGTTCCAAATTATCATGCGTTTTGAAAAGAGGTTCACCTATCACGAGTTCAACTAAAATACAGCCGATTGACCAGCAATCACAAGGAAAGGACCAGCCCGTTCCTAATACAATCTCGGGTGCACGATAATGTCTAGTCAGAACAATCAGTGAGTGATATTCGTCGTCAAATATTCCCAGCCCAAAGTCAATAATTTGAATCAACGGATTTGATAGTATCCGCAGTGTACGTGGAACTTTTGGCAGATTGTGATGCTTTTGTAACAGCTGAATCGCCAAAAATGCAGTTATCAAAGTGCTCAGGGTCAAGGGCTTCTTTGAATAACCATCATCATGTAAAAGGATATTCTCCGGCTTCAAATCTGTATGAATCAAATTTAAATCGTGTAAAAACGTCACGCTTCGAATAAGCTGTTTAGCAATGGCTTGAATTTGTGAACCAGGGAAAGCAATAAATTTGTTCAGCTCCAAGAAGTCATATAACAGTTGCTTCAATAGATCGGTTACAATGCAGATATGTCCTCTGTAGTCGAAACATTCACGAAGGTGCAAGCAATGATTCAAGTTGTCATTATCAAACTTTTTGAGAGTTGACAATATCCGAAGCTCAATCCGTGCCGCATCCCGATACTTCTGAATGTTACGAATTATCTTTATCGCCACATGCTGACGATTCACTTTATCATAAGCTTGGACAACTTTACCGAACGTACCTTGTCCTAATAACTTGATGATCACGAATCGATTAGCAAAAACCTCATTAATTTTGATGATGTAATGTCCTTGGTCGTCATCACAAGGTGGTAAATTTCGTTGATGAGGAATCACATTTGTTTTGACATTTCCGAGTTTGGGTGTCTGTATGACATAGTTATTTGGAAGCTTGTGATAGAAGCATTTCACTTGTGGCAATTGTGGTAATGAATTCGTTCTCTGTTTTTTCTTGTGATGATCAAAAGTGTTAACCGAAAACTGACCATTAGTTACAGTGCTGTCAATACTTGGAGGTACCAGACCGTAGGGAATCAGTGGCGTCTGATTGTGCACGTTGAACATGTTGTACGCTGACAAGGAATCATAGTCATATAACAAAGAGTCCAGGTTGTTGCGACCAGCACTCACAAAGAAATCTCGTTCTTCCATCAAAACAATGTCTTCATCGTCACTTGGTTGAAGCATCGGAGCATCGACCAGAGAATCGTGACCCAGATATTGCGGTACACGCAATCGAGGTCGCCTGTATTTGACTTTGTTGGGGTTTGCGTTGAATGATCCGTTCTGATTCCCTGAAGACAATTGGGTGGCGTGGTTGTTAATACCGTAAGCATGCTGGCTCAGGTGCAGCGTCAGTTGGTTGGACCCCAGACTGAAATTAAATTGATCGTCAGCATTCAGCAGCAGGGACAGCATCAGGGCGCTATCACTGAGCTCCAAGTGAATCAGCTTGAGCTGTGTTCCCGATTGCATTTCAGATAGCCCTCTCGGACGCTTCCTGTTGGATATAAGGGACATGAGCGGATTGTACACGGCGTCTATTTTGGCGAAAGTTCAACTAAAGCAGATGAAGATCTCTTCTCCTCTGAATATACCCGGTGGAATTTTGTGTTCGACGGCGTCCAAGGAAACGGCCCAAGCTTAAGCTTTGACGAGTCTCGGGCGAAGTGGTGGCAAAATGGTTGCCACTCCTGTTTGCAAAGTGGATAGAAGTCTCAGTTGTTCCTTGAAAACCCAAGTGGGCAATAACTTTGGTTGAATATCCTGGTTTTATGCCACTGAGGGGTTTCGTCTATAGGGGTGGGCGTGCTTGCCGCCTAGGTGCAGGTGCGCCTGCATAGGTGTGCTCACCCTACAATTCTATCGTTAAAGTTGCTGAGAATAGAGGGGGGAGAGGGGGTACCGATAGTATCAACGTGTCTTCTGCGTTTTGCCACTGTGACCATGACAGTTACTTCAACCATCATCGAAGTAGTAAATTTCTATACGAATTTTAGGCACTATTTCGAGGTTGGACTTCTGTCATTAGTCCTGGGGTGCGGCTATATTATGCATCACTGTCGCGCAACAAGGAGCACGGGTGACACACATCGCCGGACATGGAAGATACCGAAAGGTGTCCCGCAGGATAGGATAGAATAAAGTCCACCCACAAGAATTTTTCAACAAATCAGTCCTCTTCAATAGCCGCTTGATATGTGCGAATTTTGCCGATAAAACTTCCGACGTTACAGACAGGCACATGACCCTCAGCCCCACCCCCGCTAACGATGGACGTTACCTCCCTCAATAATGAAATTCGTCCTTCTCTATAACTTCAGTGAATCGCTAATGGAGTTCCCCATAGGCCACCACTATTCTCGCTACTGCACGTGCTTCCTTAGGGGATCCACGTGGCGGTGGCAGAAGTGAGGGTGTCAGAGATCGTTATTATGAGGGGGCCAACTGCCAATTTAGGCTAACACATCAGGTTCTCAAATGCGAGCTAAAGCTATTGCACGCTACGTTGTTAGCATCTCGAGATTGTAGACTTAAATGTATTCAAGCGTAGTGTTTTACATAATTCATGTCGTGTGATTCATGGGATTGTTCATCAGTCAGCCCTTGAGGTAACGCGTAGTACACCGAGATCAATAATACCGCGCTAATGAACTCCATCAGGACCCCCATGACATATTCCCCAATCACCAGCAGGGTTGCTGTCAGTGAGAACTCCAACACCTTCAATGGGGCAACGTATATCGTTAAGATACTGTAGACTCCTCGTATTATCAAGAATGGTGCCACGAACGCTAATATATTAAGTTCAGGCTGGTGACGAACCCCCTTTGTACGATACATATTCCAGGCGAAATAAAAGGTCAAAAGGTCAAGTGCCAAAATAATACTCAGTCCCACAGTTCTTATTATTCGGGCTCTTGTGACTGTGGCATGATCATCAAGCAGGGTCGAGGCTAAAGACGTACTGCCATAAATGATGAGGACTGTACCGACAATTAACAACAAATGGAAAATCCCGAAAAGCAGCCTCCCTCCCCGAGGCACGTACAATTCCCTTTCGTGGGCCGAACGTGGATCAAGACGAGACACCCCAAAATACTTTCGTTCCGCTTTGGTAATATAATTGAAACTGGCGAGAATTAAAAAAATGAACCCTTGATTACTGAGTACCACGTAGGCAATCTTCCAGCGCCAGAACTTATCCCCCACCACCGCCAAAACTATGCCACACAACTGACCACCCCACCGTATAATTCCATAGAAGCACAACAATGTGTAAATCAGCTTGAACCCTTTGTGGCATACAATGTAAGCGCTAAAGCCGACGTAAGCCGTGTACAAAATGATGAAAACAATAGCAGCAGCGCCCAAACTTGTATTTTTGAAACTTGACATTAATGCCAACTTTTTTTGCTAACAACTACCATTTGTATGGCAATTGCAGAAGCTTTTTCGTATAATCCGTAATCATCTCCCACGCTTAATGAAAAGGCTGAGTCTTTGTGCGTCAAAATGTCGGAGGGTGACTTGAATTTTTTTAGTCCTGAGATCATATGGCCCACTGACTGTCTTTACCCTTTAAGAGCGACAATTATATCAAATTCCATAAGAACTGCATCATACTGAATAATGCCCAGCTTTTAGTCTCGCCCCAATATGCACCAAGCTCTACCTGGTGCTAACGTCCTGCAGTCACCAACTCTGTTGTAGCTTGTTAGCGAAGACGGCTATGCAGAATACGACTGCACGGCACAATATCTAAATTAATGAGGGGTTTTGCGTTCTCGCACGACCCACAATCTCCTATGGCAGAAAAGTGTTGTGAACTAAAATCTCCGAAGGTTTGATCGACCCATTACGTATTGGAAGTCAATCAAGCATGAGCGAAGTGGTGATTTGCTAATGGCGTGAACGAATTCATCCCTGTACCCTGGTATCACCTTCTCCATGGTAGTGATTAACCAAACGTAGACGTGAAGTGAAGTTTAGACGAATTAGAATTGAACTCTTCATCTGTGTATACCAAACTCGCGCCTCTCAAGATGTGATTAATATTATACTACTGTGATCTTTCAATTCTTTATGAACTACCTAATTTTGAGGTAACTCCATCGCTTACGTCATTTAGCATCTTCATTGATCCCAGTGATTTCCGACAATACTATACTCAGAACACTTATATTAAACACTTTGGCCAATTATAGGACTCAGTTTGAGTTATCATAGAGTCCCATAAGCAGTCTGATTTTGTAGGGCTCTTATTTGGAATATTTTTTTCACGTCAGCCTTAAACGCGAGCGAAGGCTATCGCATCACCAACACGTTACCGACCATTCGGCCCATCTTCTCCCAAATCATCGATGAGCTTTATAAAGCAAACAAGCTTTTCGGTGGATTATGCTCCAGCGCTGGTTACCAAGTGGAGACTGTCTCATCTGGGGCTACAGCTCACCTACATTAACCAACCATCGCCTATGGTAAATGGCTATTTTGCTGTTGCCACTGAGATAGCCAATAATCTGGGATGTCCCCACACATTGGAACATTTGGTGTTTATGGGATCAAAAAGATACCCATACAAGGGGCTTCTTGATCTTTTGGGTAATCGTTTATTCAGTTCCACAAATGCTTGGACTCTGGTGGATCAAACGGTGTATACATTAACTCTGGCGGGGTGGCATGGTTTTCGTTCTTTACTTCCTGTTTATCTCGATCATTTGTTGAACCCCACGTTGACAGAAGATGCTTGTCTCACTGAGGTTTATCACATTGATGGCGAAGGCAAAGAGAAAGGCGTCGTGTTCTCAGAAATGCAAGGCATTGAAAATCAAAACTGGTTTGTCACTTATTTAAAAATGCAACAGAAGCTATACCCAGCTCAGCTGGGTTATTCTCTGGAGACTGGGGGTCTTATGTCAGAATTGCGTACACTTACAAATGACCTGATTCGCGAATTCCACAAGTTGATGTATCGTCCGGATAATTTATGTGTTATTATCACTGGGTCCATTGACGAAGCTGAATTATTAGAGACTATGGAGGCCTTTGATGCTCAATTGCCGGCTTTATCATCAACCCCGAACCCACGGCCTTTTGTCGATTCGCCTGCTAGCCATATCGAACCATTGACTGAGTCACAGGTAGTTAAGGTTGATTTCCCCGATAAGGATGAGTCAATGGGAGAATTGTTAATTTCATGGATCGGTCCTCCCGCCGGGGATCTGTTGATCAACGTGGCCGTCGACACTGCAGGTGCTTATTTTAGCGACCTGCCCATTTCGATTTTGAACAAACAATTGGTCGAGGTTGAAAACCCTTCCGCCACTGATATTGACTACACCACTGACGATTACTTGCGCACAACGATGTCATTCACATTCAACGGTGTTCCAACTGAAAAGTTGGATTCATTGGACAAACATATCAAACTGATTTTGCTTGAACACTCCGACCCTGCGGTGTTTGATTTGGCATACATGAAGCAAATTCTTAAGAATCAGCGTCTCAAATTCATCTCATCCACTGAAAAGCTGCCACTGCTATTTTCCAATATTGCTATCTCAGAGTTCATATACGGCAATCCCGACGGGCTGGATTTGAGTAAGTGGATTAAGGACTTGAAGGAATATGATGTGTTGGACAATTGGACTGCTGATCAATGGTGTGCGCTTATTAGACAGTACTTTTGCGAGAATCACTCAATTACCATCTTGGGCTATCCATCAGCTAAATTGAATCGCGAAATCAAGGCCGCGGACAAACAGCGTCTGCGCGAAATCTTGGAGGAGTACGGTCCTTCCGGATTAGCTCAATTGCAAGTTAGACTCGATGAAGCTCTGGCTAAAAATGATACACCCATTCCCGATGAGCTTATTACTTCTTTTGCCAAGCCCGACCCACTGAAGATTGAGTTCATCAATACCAACTCCTACTTGGGGGGTACTTGGAAGAACGTGGTCGATTTGCTGAAAAATGCATATGTTGAAGATCTGCAACTCTCTCAACGCATCCGAGAAGAGAAATTGGAAGGTTCAGCGCCGTTTATGCATTTCGAAGAGTTCAAGCTGCAGTTCACTACTATTAACATAGTTATGCTGCTGACGGCTATCAGGGATTCGCGTCTATTAAGTTATATGCTGATAGTCGAAGAGCTTTTTACGATGTCAGTCATCAAAGATGGTCAATATCTCCCCTACAATGATGTAATCTCTCAACTCAATGATGACTTGATTGAGTTTCAGGTTGACAACGGTTACGAAAACCAGTTTTTGGAATTGATCAATATTAAAGTGAAGTTTGAGGCCTCCAAGTATGAACAAGCAATCTCCTGGCTTAAGTGCATTACACAGAATATCGTTTTTGAACCTCTGCGAGTGAAAGTAATTGTCGAGAAGTTGATAAATTCCTTGTCTGACAAAAAGCGTAACTCAGAATTGATGATGTACTCCTCGAAGTTCAGAAATATTTTCAATGATCAAAGTTTGAGACGTGCTCAAGATCCAATTCAAACGGAAGGGTTTTTCAAAAGTTTACTTGAGAAATTATACAAGGGTGAATTTGAGCCAATTCGAAGAGATCTTGAAGATTTAACCAAACTGCTTTTCACCTTGGAAAATATGAAGATCATTGTTGTTGGTAACATTAAAGATCTTAATCATCCGGTGAAGCTGTGGCAAGCTTTTGTTGATTCTTATGGTTCAGGAGTTGTCCCACGTCCATTCTCAGAATTACCTCGTCTGTACCGCTTCAAGCTGAAGTTGGGTCAAGCCTGCTCTAAGCAAGCTTTCCTTGTCATCTCTCCTGCAGCCGATCTGACCCATTTCATGTCTCATACCCCCATGCCGACTGACTATTTTGATCGTGATCAATTCGCTATTGCTCTTACTCTGGAGTTTTTGGCCACCGTTGAAGGTCCCTTTTGGCGAGGCATTCGTGGTACTGGTCTTGCATATGGGGCTCTGATTAGGCGGAATATGGAAACTGGCTTGCTCGGCTTCTGCATTTATCGCGGTTCGGATGCCAAGCAAGCGTGGCAGGTTGCTAAGGATATCGTGGAGTCGTACGCCAATGGAAAACTCAAAGTGGAAGAATTGGCAATCGAAAATGCTGTGGCAACGATGGTCAACGAATTGGCCAATGGTGTAGAAAATTGTTGGGATGCAGCGCTGTACAAGATTATTGACAATCTTTTCAAACGGCGTGGACCTCATTACGATAAGCATTTCTTGCAACAGATTAAGCAGATCACTCCTGATGATGTTGTTGCCCTGTTGAAAAAGTATTTTGTACCATTGTTCTCCGCCGATAAGTCTATGATTTTTACCAGTATTCCACCTGAAAAGGAAGAAGAGTTCACGATGTTCTTCCTGAAACAAGGCTATGAGATCAACATTGAAAGAATCGAAGTTGATATGCAAGATGACGATAACAACCTGGACTTTAGTCTGGAAGATGATGACAGTGAAGAATCAGAGGAAGAGGAGGAGGAGGAAGAGGAGGAAGAGGAGAAAATGTTGCTTAAAGATGAAAACTCTGATTTAGATTTTGGGAAACAGCATACCAATGGCCAAGACCACCACCACCAATCTGATGCCGAAATTAGACGGAACAATGAAGTACTCAAGCCCATGGGTGACAATGTGCTTAAGCGCACATCTAATGACATTTAACTAGAGGTAATGCACTATAGACATAGAATTTGATTAGTAAACAATTAACCGGGAACTACTCCGCTCGTATTTCATCTTCCGCTTCCTCAAACATCGGTAAACTTTCATTGACATCGTGTCGCATAGTATGCACCAATTGAAGAGAATCCTGGTCGCTTTTATGATACATGACAGAATTTGCAAACATGAGCATAATATCTTTCTGTAGTTGCTTGACCAGTGTGTAGACAGGAGGATTCTTCTGTTTGACTAACTTCAACAACAGCTTCAAGTCTATCGGATGCTTCACAATCAAGCTATAATCAGACTGATCTGCTTTCTTTGGAGGCGTAAGGAATGGGGACGAAAATCTGTGAGCTTGAATCGACGTAATGAGGTTTATGCTGACCTGCTGGAAGCGCTTGTATTGAGCTGGCGTGAGTTCGCGGCGTTCGAGTTTGACAAGCTTGCGTGTTCTCAGGTCACCTGGTTCATCCTCGTGTGTCCTCTTCCTTCGACGAGAAATAATTTCAGGCTCTTTCAGTTCAACTTTAACCTTGGAAGATTTGTGATCTTCCGCTTCGGTCGCATCTTCGGGATCTTTCTCAACTGGACTGTTGCTCTTGGCCTCGCTTTCAGAATTGGTTGTCAGTTGATTAAGTGCTAGATTTGGAGAGTTACTATTGCTATCCACTGAGTTTTGGATATCCTTACCAGGCAACGACTCAGGTTCTTCAATTGTGCCCTCTGTTGTTTTCATATGAGAATCGTCCAGACTCTTTAAAGTAGTCAGCGCATGCTCGCTTGATACGGTTTCGGAAGATGGCTTCTCGGTGGGATTGGCAAAATCTGAATCATGACCATCCTCTCTTTCTTCTGAAACTTTATCGGCTGTGGAAATTGGAGCTTCATCTTTCAGATTTTCATCGTTCACGAGCACTTTACTTTCATCATCTATGTGTCCTTTTCCCTCATCATCTTGAGTATGGATGTTCGAATGATCATGTTCAGCTTCATTAGACCCCTTTTCATCCAGCAAAATCCCATCGCCCTTACCAGGTTCCAAGACGATATCCCCAATAGCATCTTTTGCTGCTTCAGATTGTTCATTTTGAAACTCAGGTTGGTCCTCCAACATCTTGGTTTTGGTTTTTTCTATGCTGGGATTCGGAGTGTCGTTTTCCTCCTTGCTGACAATGACTTCCGACTCCTTTTCTTGTGCTTCTGTCAAAGGACGCTCGTTAACAGAAAGTGCGGCATTCTGAGAGGTCTGCTCTATTTTTTGCTCATTCACATGATCAGAGTCATCAATCATTTCTCCAGATTCATGAGTTTCAGTCAGGTTTGAGCATATGATATTCTCGCCTCCCTTTTCGACAGGCTCACCTGCATTTTCCCCCGTCTCGTGAAGTCCTTCTGTTTTCAAAGAATCAGTAGAAGTTTTCAATTGCTTCTTGGAGTCGTCATGAGCCTCGGTGGTGTCTTTATGAGCATCCTCAGACTTTGTATGGGAAGGTTCACCATCAGTTTGCATTTCATTATTGGTGCATGACAGTGATTCTGTCAAGCTTGTAGCCTCAATTGCGCCATCATTTACGTTTGCTTCGTCAACTTCAACAAGGGCGTCCAGGTCCTGAGGCTTTCCAGAATTGTTATCGTCAACTGGCATACGATTTGAGTCTTCGACTAGTTCGATTACCTTCACTTCGCTTTCTGTAGGTCTATCTTCTTCAACCAAAATAGCATCAATTATTTCCATCTTATCAGTCTTATCGACCAAATCTGAATTGGGATCGACATTTGGTGACAGTGTGTGGATGGCACTATTACCAGCATCTATCAAGTCGTCCAGCGGCATGCTGTTAGTTGCAAATTCAACCACACTATCCAACACGATTCGTTTAAATTCGTGGAGATTAGATTCATCTCGGCAGTCAACTCCGATGATGTCTCCATTCACCTCAACGCCAGGAAACAGACGCAAACACGCCACCATCTTTCTGATATCAATGACTAATCGAGGCTCGGTATTGAGCTTGTCTCGAAGTGTCTCCATGGATTTGACAAATTTCCCCAAATGGAACTGAGCTCGGTGATCTGGCTCTTGATCCTTAAGTCCTTGATTGATGACCAGTGCCACAAGGACTTTAAGAAGAGCATCATTCGAAGGCTGCATCTTCCAATTGATGTTGCGTCACACCTCTGCTTGAATTTTGTAACGTGGTTCCAGCCCCAGTTGTTGGCAGAGTTGCGCTTGTCACTAGTGTTACGTTTTTCGATCAACGCGAGCACAATGAGATTGGCACCAAATAATGAGTGCCGACAAATGCCAGCCAAAATGAGTAGAGTGAATTTGCTTGACTGAAACACTTCAAATGACTGTTAAACGATACAGCTGTTTTTATTGTTGATACACCATAAAGGGTTAAAGATTTTTCTACCTCGATTTCAACCAACATGACTTAATCGTTTGTTCAATATATATACTATTTCACGTTTGTCCTGATTTACTTGAAATTGCCTTGCATCAATTTAGCATTTTGTTCTTGGAAACGTTGGCCGACTCTTTCACTGTGCTTCAAGAACTTTTCCGAGCATTTGGCGATACATTGGGATTCCTTCGAAGTCAACGATGCGGAGGTGAAGTCGTTCACACAATCATCGAAGCATCTCGACACCAAGTTGGAGTAGAGAGTCATGAAATCTTTCATTTGCTTCTGCTCCACGATTTGTTGGAACTCTTGTTGCTCCTTAACGTTCAACTGATCCATGATTTATAGGCGATGGGTAAGTGGGTACAACACTGATTGCGCTAGTCTCAATTTTTCGCACACCAAAGAGCAGATGAGGCAGTGGCGAATAGGAAATGGCAGGAATTGAATTTCTTAAACGAAACCACCAGAACACCGCAAGCTTCCAAACTTCGAGGATTTAACTTTATCATCCACACGTTCAGTTCAGTACAATACTACGGCAATGATAAAAAAGGACATCGATCTCTGAAAAAATGAAAATCTCTTTGGCGGGGAATCGAACCCCGATCTCCCGCGTGACAAGCGGAAATACTAACCGTTATACTACCAAAGATATGCGACTTTTAATTGATTGGAACCAACTCTATCGTTCTTGAACTCTTGTAGAGTAGGTTCCAAAAGCGAATTTAGTACAGTTGGCTAGTACGTTGTAAAAAAAAAAGACATGGCTCAATTTCCGGTGGTTTTCTGCCGTCGAACACCTGTTTACAGAGCATCTGGCTTTTCACATTCTCTCTGCCTATTAAGTTTCCGCCGCTGCTGGCCTCTCAGACTGCATGGCATCGAGACCGAAGGCGTAACAAACACTTGAGATTCTTTAAGATGTAAGTAAGATTCCAGATTAGACACCAATTCACAATTAAGGATAAGAAAAACAAAAATCCACGAACATGCACTGGGAACATTAGAAGCAATTGAGCATAGTCAATGAGATGTATAATACTAGGCAAATAAAAGGGCAGTAAGCTTACGGTATTAGTCTGCACCTGTGATAGAACGTGAGTACAACAAAAGTAGATTAAGCACCTCAACTCACATAGTCAAGTGGTATTTATGGGAGGGCAGTTGTGGGGATTTTATCTTGGAAGATCAGATTCACCTAGCCAGAAGTGAACCGATCTATTAATCAAACAAAACGTCTTCCATGAATGATCTAGGACATGTAGCGTTGAGATGATTTTCGGTGCACATCCATCGATGGGTAGTACGGTGCCCTGTCGAGATTCACTATATACATTAATCAACAGGTGCACGATTCGGGAACTCTAGGGAATGGTATAACATCTTTAACATTGTCCATTGCAGACAAGTAGCACACTAATCGCTCAAATCCCAAACCAAACCCACCATGAGGAACTGTTCCATTCTCTCTCAAAGAAAGATACCACTGCATGTCATCGATGTTCATACCTCTCAGCAACATCTCTTGCTTCAAGGGGTCCAATTGCCATTCTCTCAACGAGCCTCCAACTAGCTCGCCTATTTCGGGGATGATTAAATCAAAACACGCCACAGTGGGTCTTGATTCATCAAAGATTTTCAGTTTAGGCATGTAAAACGGTTTTTGTTCTTGGGGGTAATCCGTAATAAATACTGGCAGCTTGAAATGGGAACCCGCGAGCCATTTCTCATGTGCAGTGGATATCGAGTCCCCCCATACGACGTTGGCTTCACCTGGCATATATTTGGCAATAAGATCAATTGCGTCCAGGTACGTTATGGTATTCCATTGGCCTCTCATCAACTCAAATCTTCTGGAAATCTCTTCACGATCCTTCGGATCAAAACGCAGATCGATCAAGTCTGGGATATCGTTAGCTACCACCAGCTTGATCATGCTTTCCACAAAATTAGTCAATTGTTGGACATCATCTATAAAGCTTATCTCAGCTTCGAGCATCCAAAACTCTGATAGATGGCGATTGGTGTGACTCATTTCAGCGCGAAAGCAAGGCGTAAGTGTCCAAACTCGTGAAAGCAGTTGAGACAAGACCTCAAGATGTAGTTGAGACAGCACAGTAAGGTAAGTGTCTTTTTCAAAGAACTCGCTAGACTTTTCCACTTTGAATGTTTCTCCTGCACCTTCACAATCCAGCGATGTCAATACAGGTGGATTAACTTTGATAAAATCACGTTCGACGAAAAACTTCAGTAACCGGGCTTCAAGAGTCAGCCGTAATCTCAACACTGAGGCCAAAGTTTGGGTACGATGCCGGAGTGTGGGGAGACTCCTCAAAGTCTGCACATTGATCTTCTTCTTTTGAATCGGGTAGGAATCTGGAACGTCACCGATTATCTTCACTGAGTCCATGAGGAGTTCATACTCTTGTCCTTTACCCCGAGATTCTGTGACTCGTCCCACTGCAGCGATACTTTGTCCCACTTTCAATGGATAAGCCTCGAGAAATTTCAGAGGGTCTTTAAACACAGCGGCCATTGATTTGCCAGACCCATCCAGAATATCGGCGAACCCAACGTTTTTCAGATGACGAACAGACTTAACGTGACCATACACCGTAACGTTGGACTTTGCTCCTTGGCGCAAAACCTGTTTGATGGAGTTCGGAAGCATCAACCTTGGTGGTAAAAGTCGCGCGACGGGCGGGCATCACTGTCTTAAAGGTTATCACTGAGTTCACCAATGGTTCACTCCCATCATACCCATTCCGGACAATATGTGGCTCATGCAATTGATCTGCTAGATGATATGGTGGCATTAGCCCATTTGAAAGGTTTCACTACGTTTTGTTTGACTGAGCACATGCCCCGCCTTGTATATCTATACCCCGAGGAGATCGATCGAGATTATACTATTGACTCATTGTTTGCTACGTTCGAAGAGTATTTGGTCCACGCCACCCGACTCAAGGAGCAGTATAGGGGGAAAATGCAAGTGCTTGTAGGGTTCGAAGTTGAAGGCACCAACACGGACCACTTGGCGTTGGCTAACAAAATTAGACAAAACCCACTGGTGGATATGTGTGTGGGGCTGGTGCATTTTGTCGAAGAAATACCCATTGACTTTGATAGAGAGTTGTGGGAAGAGGCCTGCCGTAAGTGTGGTGGGGTTCGTCAATTATACTTGCGGTATTTCGAAACGCAACATGCAATGTTGAAGGCGGTCAAGCCTGAAGTAGTGGGTCACTTTGATCTCATTCGACTTTATACTAAGGAAGGAGAAGCGCCCACAGATTTAAAACAGTGGCCGGAGGTATGGCAACAAATTCAGACAAACATCGATTTGATCAATCTCCAAGGAGGCTTAATCGAATTGAATTCAAGTGCCATACGCAAAGGATGGCTCACTCCTTACCCCCAAAATGATGTTGCTGAGGAAGTAAAGCGACGCGAGGGTCGGTTTTGTCTTTCTGACGATTGTCACAGTTTGAAACAAGTAGGTCTCAATTACGGACCGGTTATCGATTACGCCAAAGCAATAGGCATCGAATACCTATATGAACTTGGTCCCAATCGCGAGGCGCTGCCTGTTGCTCTTACCGATGTCAAAAACCTTCACAGCTCTAATATCCATTTGGAAGATGCCTACATGAGATTTGGTAGTCATCTGAATTAAACTATAGACTGTCGTTGAAGAATTTATGCTGATCTCGTGTGAGGGCCTCGCCTATAGTAGAAGGCCCACCAATAGAAGCCCGACAATGCCTCCGGGTCCATGACAGTAAGCCATGTTAAATGCAGTGGTAGACAGATCGTAAAGTATTGGTTGATTAGGATTCACCGAGGCATTGATGTAGGAATGGGATGTGTGATTGTAGCGATAGTTTGAATTGTAACCAGTGTCAAACCCAACTATTTCGGAAGGACGTGACACAAACCCAGATATTATGTCCACCATCAAAGGGTTTTGGATCGCAGTGCCTGTCGCCGGAACACTAGCATCATCATTCATGGTGGATAACTATCTGGGAAAGTGTGGGGCAAATGTCGATATAGTTGTGCAACTTGATAACATGACGTCATAAACAGGACGGTGCTCGCAACACATTCAACAATCCCCTTGCATGAAAGATACAGGCTGGTATGGGCGCAAAAACATACGCAATGATTGAATGTAGCAACAATCATGCTTGTACCAGAAATGAAACAATGGTCATCACTATGCCGCATTACATGGGCGTATTATTGCCTGTGCACAGAGACTAGTCGCAATTACGAGTTGACATGACAACATCCAAACACAACGATACGCGTCATCGCATATATGCAATTGGGCAGGTCATGTTTTCACCACCGTTGTACATCCTGGATAACTAAAGATGACCAGCCCGTTTGACAAAGGAATGAGTCTTTTCAAAGGCATTGGGGTTTCGGGAAGCGTACCGGAGGCCCGTGCACCACTCGTCACGTCAATGACCGTGAAAGAATCCTTGCCTCCAATCACAAGATAATTTCCAACATTTGCAAGTTGCAAGTAAGGGTTATTGTCATAAAGATTAGGCCCCAAGTCAACCACCGAGCCATCATCGTTGACTCGGAGCAATTGATGGGTATTTGTCTCGACAATGTTCCATCTTGCAAACGACCATACCCTCACTAGATTAGCCGACAACTGGGGGCCGGGCTCAAGTTTGCCGAACTTTGTTACAAAGAAAGGTCTCCCCTGATTGCATCCTATGCCCACAACTTGAGATTTTGCAGACCAGACTTCAGCACCATCAACATTAAATTGGGCTTCGCGTAAAGGAATAGACAATCCACCCATGCTACAATGAACGATGAGATGATGGCGACAGATGTGAACTTTGACATTGCCAAGATTGCACCTTTTTCTTATTGAAGTCAATGGATCAGCATACCAGTATCCATCACCGGGGTCGAGCTGACGCATGAGTTGGAACATCTCAACGTTTCCTTTCCCATGTGTCACTTTTAACAAAAAGTTGATGCGGGTGACAATTTCGGGGATGTTGGTCGATGCAGAAAGCACCGTTCGATCTAAACCAAATAGAGAGGAAAGCATCTTTGAGTGACGAGGGTATTTTGCTGCTATTTGGCACACGGCTCGCAAAAGCGATTCGGTAAGATCCACTTGACGATGGAAAATCATGGGAAAATAGGACAAGTCTCCGTGGAATGACACGGGAACACACCACCAGATCCAGTTATCCTCTATTATAGGAATCAGGGGAAGCACTTCAACCTCGAGCTCATGATTTGTAACACCCACAGCTTGCTTCCGGGCCAAATATTCATTAAGTTTTGCATTGTGAACTTCCTGATCATCTATAAGCAAATGGCCTGGAACATTTACCTGTGAGGACTCGGCGTAAATGACTTTATAATCAGGTGACCAACTACACAACCATTGACCTTGGGGATATTGCTTCACGCAGGTAGTGTAGGCATTCAATTTGATGCTTTGAAGCAAATTGAACTGAACACCTTTGAACCCTTGTAGTCTCCCCAACATCAACTGACAAAGTGACGCCGACCAGGGTGCTTGTTGGATATCGGTTTTGGTTGGATCATCCTTGCGACAGGTATCGAGTGCACGTTGTTTCCGCTTCTGGGACTGGACCGAGTTATTGTGATATTTTTGTGTCGACCCCTGGAGTGCCCCGTTAACTGTACGAAAGTACTTTTTGCGATCTGGGTCCCAAGTAAAGCCAGGGATGGCGGGTGGGTCTGGCATGTAAGGCTTCCGATGCCCCTGTGCACGCGATAACGCTTATCTCATCACCGGATGTCGCGCTCACAAAGAAAATCGCCCTGTCAACTCAGTGCTGCCTAACGGCACATGGAAGAAACCCAGCCCAAAATTTCCTCGATGAGCTGGCGGGGTAATGCCAGGGCGTTGGGGGCACCTGGTTAATGCTGACATGACTGTTGGAAGTCCGACGGGTGCATTAGCGTTCTACACCTCTCAACGCAGTGGTCGCGTGTGTCCATCTATTTGACTGAGATTAGCAAGGGGGGATTGTCTGGTGTCGTCAATGATAACCGATACCGCGCCCACATCCGCAAGTCGATTTCAACATATGCTAACGCACTACCCCACGATTTTAGACCTTCATCAGTTTTGTACCTGTTCTTTTGATTACCGTAACAGGCATGTCCGCGAGACTCTTGCAGCCATCAATGTTCCCCGCATGCAAGAACAGGAAAATCCTAAGCTGACCTAGGGGAAACCGTTTTAGGGAATTCAGTGCGACAAGCTTGTCTATCATAGTGAGAGTGTGGACAAACAACCTACAGAGCATCCCAGAGTAGTACTCTAGTGCTAGATATCTCCTTTCCACCTACTCAGACTCTAGTTTGATTGAAGGGAGGCACCGAGGTAGGCAGGTACGGCTCACTCGTTCTTCTGCGTAGCCGTGTCATGGAAATTTAAAGTTGGCACCGCGCTCACAACCAGTCTATTTAGAGTAATGTTTTCTCAAGATCTGAGGCAAGTTCGTATCGTATTTAGAGACATGAATATGGTGGGGTATATTTGTTCTTGAGGTTTTCTCGATTTGAAACAACACAGGTAAAAGGTTCTACTCGCTGGCAGAATAGCTTCCTTACGCCATGTCTGACAAATATCCTGATCCACCGTCTCCAGCCGCTGGTATCATCCATTTGATTACCAACCTCCGTCCAGGGCCTCCCGATAGAGGCACCGGTATTGTCAACCATATTGGCTTGGCTTACGGTCTTTTAGGAGACACTGTTCCCCCTACACTTGTGGAGTATGCCGTTGGCATTCAAAACAACTTGTTCGGGAACTATCCTACCAAAAAAGATGTCGCTCCCAGTATATTGTTTGCTGTGATATTTGGCCTCATCTTTTTTGTTCACCTAGGAATATTCATCGTCAATTGCCTGCGGGGACATTACTTCTGGATATCGTTGGCGTGGATCTTCTACTCGATGTTGAAAACTTGTGGGTGGGCGCTTCGAGCACAATGGGGGCAGAATATCGTCAAGCTTAATGGAGGGTTGGCACTGGAGTTTCTACTTATCATTGGGTTTCTCATCATAGCCTCGTTCAATTTGATGCTAGCGCAACGGTTATTCACCTGGCGGCACCCTGTGGGTGGGTCCCGTAAATTATTCTGGGGTTTTATGATTGGTACGTATTTTGTCGTCATCGTCATTCTCGTGGTGGCGTTGGTGGCCTCGTTTGTGCCCTATCTTAATTTCTTGCTGACGTCGACGTATGAAGCTTACCAATGGGTGGTAAAAGTCACTGGTATCTTCATGGTTTTGTACCCCTTGTTGACAGTGGCGTTGTTAATCTTGCTGTACTGGGCGCCCACCTCTAATGATGAGCTGTTATACACTTACCAGCCGTGGTGGATTGAGTCGTTTGCGCCCACTTATTTCGTTCGTAAGGGAGCGGCCCAGGAGGCCGAAGAGACGTTCATGAAGCGTAACTCGAGCCACCGTCACGCTATTCGTGTCATCGCCGCCACGCACCACCACTACAACAGTGTCGAGGGTTTAACTAATCAGCGTGGTACCCTTAAGCATAATGTTCTGATGGGATTATTGTGCATTTCCACCTTGTTACTTATGATCAGTGCCCTTGGTCGGTGTGTCGTGGTGTGGCAGGCGCGGTTATCCCGTGACGCCAGTCCCGCTGCTCTGATTACATTCATGTATTTCTGCTGGGGGGTGTTTGAAGTGATTATCAACGTGCTTTACATCTTGGGGCGGGTGGATTTGCGGTTCTACCGTCCCGATGTCTTGCCGGCCAAGGTGCGGGCGATCATCACCGCCGAGCAATCGGTGTACAACTCCGACGACGAAGAATCGGACCACGAAGTCGACGGGCCCGACTATCCCCGACAAGGGGGCTACTACGCCCGCGAAAAGTCCCCCGTTCATGGCGACTATTACGACGAAGAGAAGGGCCACGGTGGCTACTACGGCGACGGCTCCGACATCGACCTGTACACCAGCGAAGACAGTCGTCTTGATTTCCAGGATCATGGCAAGCACGATCCCTTCGACACCAGGTTCGATTCGGACCTGGCGCGCTCGTTGGGTTCGGGGTCGTTGACGCTGCGGTCCCATCTAGACATTTCGGTGATGGACGACAAACTGTACCTCAGTCGGTCGCCCCTGCCACCATACCCTGCTGATAGAAAGCATCACCGTGACGACGAAAGTGAATTTAATTTCTAGATTCGTTTGATTTGATATCATACACGTTTGAATTTATATGACATTAGCCCCGATGCGTGTAGTTAGTGGCTCGAGATGCCGCGTAATTGCATCGCCACCTGAGCAGCGGTAGTGGCAGTATACGTGCAGTGACGTACAGGATACATGGAGGCAGTTCGCCAATCATAGCATGTCACTGGCTATTGTCTGTTGGCTTTGAGGCTCGGCAAGCCCAGGCGGTTGAGACATTTTTCACCGGTACGATGAGAGGCAGCTACTTTAGACTCACGGCTCCGCGGGCTAGGCAACCAAACTCGCTAAGGGGGCTAATTACAGAGTGCCTCGAAGGTAGCCGACAGCCGCTACTTAGTCGTCAGGTCCACCTGGGCCGGGGTCCATCATACGCCAAGTTTTCGCTTATTGGGAGCAATTGCGTCCTGCATAATGCCAAAATTTTCTCAACGTATAAAAAAGCCAATATCGGCATCGACCATCGTCCTCAATCTAAATTCATGTCTGAAGTTAGTCAAACCCACCCCGCGATCAAGGACGGCTGGTTCGCTGAAATCCTGGACACGATGTGGCCCGGTCAGGCCATGTCGTTGAAGGTGGACAAGATCTTGTACCAGGGCAAGTCGAAGTACCAAGACGTCCTCGTGTTCAAGCTGGAAACCTACGGCAACGTCCTCGTCCTCGACAACTGCATCCAAGTCACCGAACGTGACGAGTTTGCCTACCAAGAAATGATCACTCACTTGGCGATGAACTCCCACCCTAACCCCAAGAAGGTGTTGGTCATCGGTGGTGGTGACGGTGGGGTGTTGCGGGAAATGTTGAAGCACAAGTCGGTCGAAGAAGCGTGGTTGTGCGACATTGACGAAGACGTCATCAAGGTCTCGAAGCAATTCTTGCCTGAAATGGCCAAGGCCTACGACGACCCCCGCGTCAAGGTTCACATTGGCGACGGCTTCAAGTTCTTGGACGAATACAAGAACACCTTCGACGTCATCGTCACCGACTCGTCTGACCCTGAAGGTCCTGCTGAATCGTTGTTCCAAACACCTTACTTCCAATTGTTGCACGATGCGTTGACCGAAAACGGTGTCATCACCACCCAAGCGGAAAACATCTGGTTGCACATGCCCATCATCAAGAAGTTGAAGGCTGACTGCAAGACCATCTTCCCGGTGGCTGAGTACGCCTACACCATGATCCCCACCTACCCTTCGGGTTCGATTGGGTTCATGGTGTGCTGCAAGAACAAGAACACCAACGTGCGGGAACCGGTGCGGTTCGACTGGGACCCTGAGTTCGTCAAGGCTAACTTCAAGTACTATAACGAGTCGATCCACAAGGCTTCGTTTGTGTTGCCTCAATGGGCTGACGCTGAACTCAACTCGGAATGACACTCCTTCTTATATCGGTAGCTTGGGTCCGATTGGGTCCAAATAGTTATGATTATGAGAAATGAATGTTATGACACAATTGCATAACGTAGGGGATAAACTTTCTCCCGGGTACGTGCCGATGTAGCCACCACATTCCCTGTAAATGTTAAAGCTCGGGCCGAACTTAATTGTCTGTTTGCGCTCACGTGCTGCGCCGCACCTAGAAAAGATCTTGACGACCACACGAGGCTGAGTGTAATCAATTAGGTGGAGGGTAGCCTGTTTTGCAGTATACCGTGACTGCCAGTCTAAATTACCCGCGCGGTTAGGGACATCCAATGGTTTTGTTGCTCTTATTCACTCAGTTATCAAATGATTTAATCCGTCAAACTCCACATCCCACCGATTGCACTTTTGCACAGCCGTCACCCTCGAAGTAGGCTGATGCATAAACTCCACAGGGCTCTCAACAAAGTCATGGCGTGGGAATGATGATACGAGAAAATAGTGGTAGCCCCCGTTCAGTATAAATATGGTGCAAAATCTGCTCAATTGTCGATTTCAAATCAAACCATGCTGTACACCGACTCAATCGATCTCAAGGAAGGAAGAGCCATTTCTGCTCCTCCCGGGCCCCGTCCGGAAATGAAAGTAACTAACTTCGCCCGCACCTACGAGACCCCCGACAAAGGCACCTACGCCCTGCTTATTGAATCTTGTGGTAAGTTTTTCGGCTGGTGGGGTATCTGGTGTATCTTTTGTGAGTCTCCTTACAAGGAGGTCCGTCAAGGTGAGGTTGGCTTGGTCGAAAAGTTCGGGGCTCTTTCCCGTACGGTGGAACCAGGGTTGTGTACCATCAACACCTGGTCAGAGAAGCTTACTCGAGTATCGGTGAAGGTGAACATTGATGAATTGCCCCAGCTCACGTGCTTTTCAAAGGACAATGTGTCGATTTTGGTGACGTCGGTGGTGTACTACAACATTGTCGACCCGTTTAAGGCCATCTACGACATTTCCGACATCAACATGGCCATCAGAGAACGAACGCAGACGACATTGAGGGATGTGATCGGCAACCGCTCGCTTCAAGATGTGGTGGAGAAACGGGAAGAGATTGCCCAAGACATCGAAAAGATCATCTCCAAGATCGCATTCGACTGGGGGGTTCATGTGGACTCAATTTTGATTAAGGACTTGACGCTTCCCAAAAACGTCCAGGAATCATTGTCTAAAGCCACTGAGGCCAAGCGAATCGGTGAGTCTAAGATTATCAATGCACGGGCTGAAGTGGAGCTGGCTAAGTTGATGAGAAAGGCCGCTGACATCTTGGCGTCGAAGCCGGCTATGCAAATCCGCTACCTCGACGCCTTACAAGCGGTGGCGAAGAATGCTGGTCTGAGAGTGATTTTCATGCCATCGTCACAAGAGGTCGAACGCTTATCTGAGGGGGCGACTTATCTGGGCAACCCAGATAAAGCGAAGCCCGTCGACCTCGAGATGGATGACCAATGGGACAAGCACCAAGACAAGTTCCAGCAATTGCAGCCCGTTCGTCGCGATAACAGCGGCATCATGAATACCGTGGCGGTTAACGAGGCTCTCTACCAATGAAATGAGAGTACTGACGATGTTTACGAAGTATTTACCAACTATAATGTGACGAAGTAATAATAGTCATGCATGCATGTCTTTGTAGTGTATCGTGCAATTGTCTCGGCAAAGCCTTGATGTCCCGATTCGTCAACAGAATTTTCTCGTGGCAGTATAAACTTTTAGTGCGATTTCTCCTGAAGTGCGCATCGTCTAGCTAAGTGTCATGTCGGACGACCATTCGTGGGTTAGTCAACTCAGAGCACTACCCACACGAGCAAACCATATGCTCAAGGTGGATTACATCGATGTCAATCTCAACAACTCCCGCAAGCTTATGGGAAACATCAACCAGCTCGGCGAAACCACCGACCACGCCGTCGACAACCATCAAGCGTTAGTCGATGCACTCGCACCCCTCCAAGTGGTGAATCACGAGCTTGCCTGGCTAACCGCCGATATCGGGACACCGCCGCAGCCATCGCCGGCGCCAGTGGCTGCGGCCAGTATCGGAGAGAATGACTCCGGCAGGCTGTCTCAGTGAAAAAATTTCAGCATAGCCTCATGCCATCGTTGCTTAAACAATCACAATTTTTCCTTAAATAGTTTACCCGTCGTGATTCTCGCATAACAGCAGCTGGACTGATATAACCTGGAAACGTGGAGATCCGTAAATAGTAGGAATGAGACGCGATAGTTTCACTTTGGGTGTAGGTTGGTGATCATTAACTGTCGGATATGGCCGCTCACGTGGAGATAAACCGCCGTTGTGGCCGCAGCATCGCGCAGCCACTGTGTGCTGAGTGCAGCTACAAACATAATTGTACCTGCCCCTCCATCAACATTTTATCTCCGTTGATGGTATGAGACATCGGTCCGATATCCGGGGTAGGCTTTGGAGGGTATTTTCTTGGCATCGTTGTTGTATGAACCTTTAAGCGGTGGCCACATCGTCGAGACCGGGACCCGTCGCTGGCTTACGAGATAAATACCCCTTACATAGCTAGTAATTACCGAGCCTCTCTGCCAAAAACCACACATGGTGAGACATTCAGCAGCCAGTGTCACTATTAAATCCCTAAAACAACCGTCGATGACTATTCAGCCGCATCGTGGAGGATTGTGCTGACCTTAGTCATGAAGTTATCTGTGGCATACGAGCTGTCGGGGGTCTATAGATTACGGGAGATAAAAAAAAAAAAGAGACTTTGATAATCCCTCGGTTAGGCGGGATTTACGACTCGAAAATCCTAAAGCAACGCCAATAAGTAGAAGTCCAAGTCAATACACTAGTAACCCCCGCTTATGGGAACGCAATCGTCATGATTTCATTTTTATGTGCAGGTGTCATAGCTCGAGACCTCTCCTTTCCTTAATCTATAAGCATCCTGCACATAAAGCGGTGATGCACGACTTTTAAAATATACACTTTCATCACCACTGCCACTACCGTCCTCTCCCGTTCTTGGCTGATAATACGCGCCCGGCAATGGTAAAGGAGGAGATTTTTAATTTCTTATCGTCCCCAGAGGAGGACAATGGCGTGCCTCTGTTTTCAATCGAGGAAATGACGGTTAGTGAGACGGTCATGGGCAACGACTACCTCCACCCCAATGATTTCCTCAACCCCAATACCCCCGGTCACTCGGCCCATTCCGACGTTGGCAGCCACTTGGGCACCCCCCTGGTGTACCTGGCCACGCTGGATGCCCTGTCGCTCGTCAACTCCCCGTACTACGACGCCATCTCCTACCATCTGGCCAACCCTCCGGCAGGCTCGTATATCGAAGAGCAAAACAACCATTTGAGTTTACAATATAACCGCAGTGGCCAACAAGCTCCCCCGACGTTTGATATCTCGACGTTTGACCAGGAAATCCCCTTGGGTCAACTGGTACTGTCAACCAACTTGCCGGGACTCCTGTACGACACGCTGGGGCTGGGGTTTGACCCCAACGCCTTTTTGAGTCAACAGGCCACCCCACAATCGTTCCACAGTGCCAACAGTCCGAGTAGTCCGAACTATGGCCAAGGTGCCGGTGTGGGGGGCAGTCAACTTTCTCAGTACCAGGAACCTCACGTACCAACTGCTCCCACGATTGAACAACTGCCGATGTCGTTTAGCAAGTTAACGGAGAACAACCTTCTGGCATACAACCAACAACAAACCCACACCGATGACGGTCTTCTATCTACGAGATATAACTCGCAGCTGTTTCCTGTTATCAACATCCAGCAAGCACCAGAACTCACGGCGGCTAAGACACCTTCGTTGTTCTCAAATTCTCTGGCAAACTCGTCAGTTAACTCGCTCAAACCGAAGCTGGAACTGAATTATAATCTCGTTCCCAATTCACATCTTGTGACGCTGCCTGGCTCCGTTATCAGTGATCTGGGCCATCTTCAGCCTGACGATTCTCAACGTCGAGGACGCAAGTTCTCGCAGAACTCGAGCCGCAGTCGTGGTCCTCTGCGACTGCCGGTTCGTGATACCCTTCTGCCAGCTAGAAGTGACATTCTGAGTCATTCGGAAGTCAGCAATAATGGATCTGTTAGTATTAACGGTACCACTAACCGCGAAAAGATCTTGGAGTTGGCCCTGCCCAATGTCCTGCTGAAGCGAACTCAAAAGCACCCCAGTGTTTACGCTTGTCATCTTTGCGAAAAGAGGTTCACCCGACCATACAATTTGAAGCTGCATCTACGAACACATACCGACGAGCGACCATTCATCTGTAACGTTTGTGGGAAAGCCTTTGCTCGACAACATGATCGTAAGCGACACGAGGAGTTACACACGGGTGAGAAGAAGTTCCAGTGTAAAGGTGTTCTCAAGGATGGCACTCCCTACGGGTGTGGTCGGAAGTTTGCTCGAGCTGATGCTTTGCGGCGACACTTCCAAACCGAAGCGGGTAAGGAGTGTATTAGGATGTTGATTGAGGAGGAAGAGTTCGAAAAGGGCGTGAACGCAGCTGACTTACTTGACCCTCTGAATTACGGTTTGCCCAGTGTTGCAATTCTGCCACCCCCAGACAATTAAGAATGCGTGTTAGCCACATCATCTACTGTCTCGATTGCTGGCAAGGTCGTATCATGTGATGGACACCATGAGGCGATCTATCCGGAGAGCAATAGATTAAGTCTATGTGTGTAACCCTAAGAAATGCTTCATTGGGTTGCACTTTGGACGAAACTAATTATGCGCAGGCAACTGGGATTTAGATTACCCGTTTATTTCCTGTTATATTGACGATGTATTTGTAAGTTATAGAATTCAGGTTCTAAATTTCGAAAATTTGTGTCTAGAACTTACACAACTTCTTCTCGGTCGCTGACTATCAACTTTCGTAAACACTGCCGAAGTTTGTCGTGAGTGAAAGGATATCTCAATCAACTGAAAGCTACAATCGACAAGTTAAATAAGAGGTAACGTGTTATGAAAAACCTTCACATGGTATGTTTGTAATGGCGCTTTCTATTCCTCTATCATGAAAAAGTTATCACCCTCTGCCTTGGTTTAATCATAGTTATCGGCCTCTTCATTATACGCTACATTTGAAGGTGATACCTTTAGAATCTATAGAGCCTCCAGAATGATCAAGTTACGTTGTACCGATCATATTTTGGGTAGAGGTTCAATTTTTCCAATTTTGGTTGTTAGAGAGCCAATTCGACTGAGCGCGTAGGGGAAGGATCCAAATCACAAAAGAATGTGGGGCCTGGTGACCCTAATTGTATGAAGACACCACTGGATACTAGTGACAGATTTCCCTCAAAGAAGATGTATTGTTGCCGGATCAAACCTAGCAATCGGACTAACTCACGTGCAATCATGCTCGGCACCTCGCGAATCGCTGGGATACCAGCATGAAACATAAGCACCATGTCTCGACTGATTCCATAAACAACCACCGGTATTTTGGGGCATGGACTCAAACGCATCACTTCATCCGTTTGTTGGCTTTCTCCTGAACGTCGATCATTCCGCAACTAGATCAACATGACTGGAAGAGAAGATCGTGATCGACTGGTAGGCTATATGCATCAGCTTCATCAGCACATCCGATGTTTACATGAAAGAGTTGCTTACCTTGAAGCCTCTCTGAATTATTTTGGTATGACACATTTCGAGCCAGTGCTACAATACCCCATATTCCATGGTAAGCCGATCGAAACATATCAGTCACTCACAGGGACACCCAACCCAAATCTTGATTCATCCAGTCACCAGAATCTGCTGCTACTACTTGCTACGTCTGTTGATACAGCGAATTGCGATTTGTTGCCACCCATGGAACCTGACGGAAACCTCCTGAAAGCAGATTCCATGGGTTTGTCGAACACGAATTCAGCAAAGTCGCCTGAACTCTCAGCTGATGAAGGCATTGAAATCGATGCTACCGCATTATTTGGACATCATGAGCTTGAAGTTGGCAACTCAACGGCCTCCTCCAATCCGTGTCCGGAGACGATGAAAGAAAATGCCAGGCCTTCAACTCTGTCGCTTTCTCTGAATCATGATTGCGATTTTGACAATTCACTGAGTCAATCGGCTTTGTACTTATCTGCTCTTGATAGGGCCATTTTACCAGAATTTTCGATACCCCCATTGGCTACAACATCCACTGTCACTAATGATGGTGTTGCACCAAAAGACGTTTTGATTCGATCTCCGGCGAAGTCTCCTCCGTTGCTGCCTATGGTGGAACCCCTGACACCGGTATTCAGCAAATCTAATCTGAGGCATCGAAGACGAATCGGGATTAAAGTGTCACCGAAGAAGCAACTTCCACCACTTCCTAAAACTACTGAGCTTTCGCCTGTGTTTTCTAGATCTGATCTACGGCTTAATAATCATGGCGACGACTCTATCGACACCCGTGCAGCACACACGATGACAGCGAGGCAGCTCGAGTTTACGCCTGGAATAGATTTCCCGAATTGGCATCGAGATGTAATCAATTTTCGCAATGATCTCATAAGATCTTCTAATTGTCATCCTGAAACTGTCACTGAACTACTCTCAATTATATTTTGCCATGGTCCGCTACTGTTTGCGGCGGAATGTGATATGGGTCTTCAGCTACTTCAGATCTGCCAAGAAGCGTCTGCTAGTATTCCTCCACGAGCGCTTAACCCTCAAGAACTCACCGATATCTTTGCCTATGTTATTCGCGTGGCAAAGAGAATTCTGAGACGCTGGGCCCGACGACAAGAAGAGCAGGTGTAAATCCTGATATATGAGATTAAGTATGAAATCAGGGAAATGAAATGTCATAGTCATATAAGTCATTAGCGATGCGACGGACGGTTGAGTCAACTAATCAAACAGCGTCACCGATGTCGTCAGCGTTACTGTTGTTGTTCTATCTGTGCCATTAAGTGAACCCACTCCCATCACCAATCCGTCAATGTCGTCAGCCAGTGGCAGCAGCAGAACCAGACCCAGACCCAGACCCAGCTCCAGACGAAGTTCGTCGTCGTCACTGAAATCAATGTCAAACAGCTGGCTGTCGGGGTCGGTGGAAGCTGGATGGCCGTCCATCTTCTGTTTGGAATCATCACTAAGATAATCGGTGAACAGCTTTTGCGGCTTTCTTTCGTTCCAATTGAGGTTTCTACTCACCGAGTCGATGTATTCAGTCTTCAGAGCAGATATGGTGGGGAAGGGGTATTGTGATGCATAAACGGTAACGTACCAGCCTTTATCAAGTTTGGTTCGCAGTCTCCCGTCGAACGAAGCCCAGGCCACCAGTCTCAGAGTCTCAGGAACTTTGACCTTCAAAAACATGCCATCAGGTAAGAGAATTGGCCGGAAGGAAAGAGTGTGTGGGCATATCGGAGTAACCGAAATAGCTGATACTCCGGGATGGACAAGCGAGCCGCCAGCACTGAGAGAGTACGCCGTCAGGCCGGTAGGTGTGGCGATGATAAGACCATCCGCCTGAGCTACCGTGAGCAAAGACCCATCGCCATAAAGCTCGAGATTTGTAACGAAAGGCAGGGGTCCGCGATCAACAACTAACTCATTGAGCACCTGTTGCTCCTTAACAAGCTTACCATTAGCGTCATGAAGACGACAGGTAAAGCGCATCCGCAAACAAGCGATGACGCCCTTTTCGATAACGTCGCTAACCTTCTCTTTATAGTCGCCAAAATCAAAATTGGTCAAAAACCCCAAGGAACCCATAGAAAACAGCATTACCGGTGGCACTATACGTTGAAACAAACTGGATACGTAAAGCACGGTACCGTCACCACCAAGGGTGATGACAAGATCGAATAATTCGGGGTTTGTAGATGCTAACTTGCGGTCCCAATACTTGAGACAATGCCCGGCTTTAGGACACATCGCGTGTATATCGTTAGCGTCGAACCGTTTAGACTTCTTCAAATGAGCGTCGACGTAAACGACGATGTTACGGTCACGAGTAAGCAACCACTTGACGATCTCCCTGGTAACGAAAGTTAACAGATTGTCTCGAGCCTTGGTGACTATCATAATGGCTCTAGCGTCGAGTTGGATCTTGGCACGAGACAACAGACGGGCCATGAGCCGGACGCCATTGGCGGTTTCGGCGAGCTCGGTGTGCGACGACACCAGCTTTATCCGGCCGTTTTCATCGGTTAGTTTAGTGATGGTGGATTGCACTCGGTTCCGGATCGAGTCACAGTACAATTTGCTGTGGAGCATGGGCTTTTCCCGCAATAGCTTGTTCACCAGTGACGACAGGGACAGACGAGAGTAGTCTTTGGCAGGGGGCGGCGAAAGCACGTCTTTTCGAAACGGCATGGCCGACATCGGGGTTCTAAATGCTGCGGGAGTGGTCGGCGGCGATCCGAGATTAACTGCCAGCACGGTGGTAGTGGGTGCGGATTTGGCGGAGCAAAATTGGCGTACGGCATACGCCGAACTCCGGCGGTACTTTTTTTGTAGCAGACATGTCAGCGGCCACGCAGTGTGAGCGTAGCAAAGAAGATGACGACTTCGAGAACAATAGCTTACTAGATATGGTAGTTGCAATCGGAGAAAATCGGTGATATCACGGAGATGGTCGAAGTCAAACCGTCACTAGTGAGCATTCTGAGCGCGGTGCCCATAATGGTATACCGTAGGTGCTAGAGCCAAGATCAGGGTTCTGTGTCACATTGCTAGCCGACCCGTCCCTTGCCTGGTAGCAACGGTCTTAGTGAACCTTAAAATTATGCCAGGTATGGCGTGCTCCGGCTGGGCGTTGTCTGGATGGCAAGTTTACGTATAAGTGCTGCTGCCCTCGAGCAGCTTTGTTTAACCAACTGGCAGGCGCGTTTCGACCTCATGATTGGGTATTTAGACAGCGTCTGTACGCTGACGGGAAAAGAAATATGATGTCCCTATGTGTGAGAGTCCCTCTATACTTGGAAAATGGAGCCTGGTGTCGGTTCGGAGGTTTTTTTTTCGCTATAACCGGAGGCCGAACCTCGCCCAAACTCTCGGACACCTGAATTCATCCGACACCGGCGGGGTGACTGACCGCGCGGCATTGGGGGGAAGGCGAGCGAAAAAGATTTTCGGGACTATAACGCCAGGCCCGCGTGTGACGCTTTGACACTGAGGATGACGTGCGTTGCAGGGTGCCCTGATGGAACCCCACGCCGTTGTGGCGTACTCCCTCGATGTCTCCTACGGGTTCCCCAATAGGGTAACACCACCGGTAGCAGTAGCTCCTGGTAGAGAGGGGTGATTGCGGGGTAGCTAGTGGGCTCCGAAGGGGCGGGCATCGCGGTGTAAACGCCACAAATGCACCGCCGCCTTTGGTCCTCGGATCCCCCGCACTGCTGCCATTTGTTAAGCGCGCGTTTGTGTGTCGCACCTCTCGCCGTTAAGCGAAGGCGGCGGGTGAAAACTTTTGTTGCTTGTTATCAGTCGTCCACATGCCCCGGCGCAACAGTGTTCAGGATACCCAGCCACTCGTGGCTGCAATCGACATTGGCACCACCCTGGCGCGATGTATTTTATTTAACCAGTACGGGGAGGAGATGGCGAAGCACCAGATCGAGTACCTGACGTCAGCCTCGGAGGCGCCTGCTGAGTCGCTGAACACCGACCAGTTTCGGAGACGGCTGTCGTTGATGCGCCACAACCAACCCATTTTCTCGGCGGAAGGGGTGGCCATCTCCATTAACGACGACGTCATGGTGGAAAACAATAGTGCTAGTGTCGGGCCCACCCTTAGATTCCCCCAACCGGGCTGGGTCGAGTGTATGCCGGTACACATCCTTGCCAACGCCCTCCAGTGTCTTACCGCGTGCATGATCACGTTGAAGCGGATAAACCGAGACCCCAACTTGAAGACAAAGTATAAGGTGCGGGCGATCGGTATTGCCAACATGCGGGAAACGACCATCGTGTGGCTGAGACGGACTGGTAAACCCTTGAGTAATGGGATCACCTGGACGGATACCCGTACCGCCGAGATCGTCCAACATTTGGAGCGGATGACCGACGAGGAACAAAAGGAAGAGTTGCGGGCGAAAACCGGGTTGCCATTGCTGACGTACTTCTCCGCAGCTAAGCTTCGGTGGTTGATCGATAACGATGATGATATCCGGGAAGAATACGAAAAGGGTGACGGTAACCTCATGTTCGGTACCGTTGACACCTGGTTGATCTACCACATGACTCGCGAGCGGGCGTTTGTCCTGGATGTTACCAACGCCCTGCGGACGTACTTCATGGATTTGGAGACGATGGACTACGACGAGGAATTGTTAGACTTCTGGGGCATCGACCCCGAGCGCATTCGTCTTCCCAAGATCGTGTCTCTGTCTGAGTTATACGGGACATTCTCGGTGCCCAACTTGGTCTCATTGGGCTTCCACAACAAGATTACCAATGAAGCGCTCGAAATGCTTAAAACGTTAGCGGGGACTCCTCTTTGTGGTTGTTTAGGTGACCAATCGGCGTCTCTTGTTGGTCAATTAGCATTGAAAAGAGGCGACGCTAAGTGTACCTATGGTACCGGTTGTTTCCTTTTGTTCAATAATGGTACTGAGAAGATTATTTCGAAACACGGTACTTTGACAACTTTTGGCTACTGGTTCCCCCACTTGGAAGGAGAATCCGGTAAACCCCATTACGCACTCGAGGGGCTGATCGCAGTTGCTGGGCTGATTATCCAGTGGTTGCGGGATAACTTGAAATTGATTGAAAACGCCCACGATATCGGGCCTTTGGTTTCACAAGTACACAATTCCGGGGGCGTGGTGTTTATTCCGGCATTTTCTGGTTTGTATGCCCCTTACTGGGATCGTGGCGCTCGGGGTACCATTTTTGGGATGACTCAATACACTACTTCTGGACATATTGCTCGGGCAGCAATTGAAGGGGTTTGCTACCAGGTTCGAGCAATCTTGGAGGCCATGGCGCTGGATGCTTTGAACAAACAGAATGCTTTAGACCCTACTCTGAATCCTGATGAGGACGACAAGTTCGTGCTTTTGCGGGTAGACGGGGGTATGTCGAAGGCCGACGAAGTATTGCAAATTCAATCAGACATCCTTGGTCCCATGATCAATGTGGGGCGGGCGCCGATCGCTGAATGTACTGCATTGGGTGCTGCGATTGCTGCTGGGATGGCGGCGAAGGATCCTGAACAGCGGGTGTGGAAGGATTTCAAGGATTTGAAGGAGAAGATCAGAGGTGAGAAGAATCAACGGGAGTTTGCTTGTGAAATTGAACTCAGCGAAAGAGTTAAGAACTTGAAGCGTTGGGAAAAGGCCGTGTCCAGAGCTCAAGACTGGTTGGACCCCGAAATTGAATAAACTTTATTAATAAATACCATAAAAATTGAATATTATACATTGGGATGGTTGAAGATGCTAGTATGCTATGGAAGAATCGTCTCGGCGTCGATCATATCACCGACTGGGGCATCACTTGTCTTTGAAAGTCGTCGTCGCTCTCGTAATCATCGATGTCCACCACTTGTACTTCTTGGTCGAAGAGTATACGTCCTCGCACATCTGGCCGCAACGGACTTCGGGTGGGAGATTTCTGTGGACTGAGATTCACCATCAAATCGTTAAAAAACTGGGACGTCTTGACTTGGACATTTTGATTGAGTCTGGACGTTTTGCGATGAAGTTCCTGGCCTAATTGTTGCACCATCGGATTCCAATCGTCATTAAGCAACGACGCTTTCTTCTTGATTTGTTGGAGCGGAGTCGGAGATGTCGGGATATTTTGCACATCATCCAAAACTCTAAGTTCAGCCGTCGTTTCTTGGTGAGCCTGCTTGTAAATGGCATGTTCCGTTTTGCCAGTTTTAGCTTTAGATTGAAGTCGCTCGCTGAGCTTCTCGTTCTCCAATTCGATCAGCAATTCCATCAACTCGAATTTGAGCTGGTCAACAATTTTCAAATGTTGCCGAAGCTCTTTTTGTTTGGCACGGTAGCGCTCTTGAACCAGCGTCTGGTCATTTGGGTCGATGTTTTCCTTATCCATGAGAGTAGACACCACAAGCCAGAGATCAGGACTCTAAGTTGCGCAGAAAGGTATTTGTTGGATATTTACGATGTTTACATTGGAACCGTTTCGGGCAAGTCTCTGAGATTGACCGCGTGTTGTGTGCAGGAATCAAATGCCAGGAACCATACCGCTACGAGGCTGAAATTGGGCGTGACACTCAACAAAGAGCCGATTTGGAATTATGGTAGCGAGAGAGTCAAATTTCTAAACAAAATTAATTTAATTGAGTTGGTAACATTCGCTTATTTGGATAATCCTCTGTGAATCTTAAACCCGCCCGCCTAAATATTTACGGTGGCAAATCGTGGACGCCGCTTAATTCGGCGATATCTCAGTTAGAGCGGACTTTCGGAGATTCCGGCGACATTTTAGATTCACGTTATAAAGCACAAGCGTTGCAACCTTACCCCACCTTCATCAGCCCGTAGGAGCCTTCTCGGGGTTGGGGTCATATCACATTACCATGGCAAAATCAGGGGCGCGCGAAGGCATGTGAATGCCGCCTTTTGTTGATCGTTTTTCCCCAACTGCGAGAAGTCAGTTTTTTCGTACAAGTCTACGTCGGAGAATATGGGTTTGTTCAACAGAATCAAGTGTCTCTTTGCCCTGGTGCTTTTGTTCTACGTGTTCTATCTCAACAACTACAAATGTGTTGAGATGAGAGAGAACCCGTTGCACACTCGGGTCGACCAGGTGTTCCACCCGTTGGCTCGCCACCACGCCGCCGGCTGTGAGCTGCTTGCCAAAGCTCATCAATTTGTCCAACCTTACTTGGACCAAACCCATGCCTTCTTGGACGAACACATCCACGAAAAGCCGTGGTTCAAGCAATACAAGATCGAGGAGAAGATCCAAGCGGCTAAGCACCACTTCCACCAGGTGGCCGACCCCGTTCTCCAACAGGTGTTCCAATCGTTCGATGGGTTCGAAAAACAGGCCTACGACTACGTTGTCAAGTACACCAACGAAGGCAAGAAGTTCGTCGACGAAAAGGTGAAGAAGGACTAGATTAGTTATGGTAATACATGTGACAATTCCTACATTCGTATAAGCGCGACCTCATCCCATCCCCTAGTTCGCCCCCCGCCGCTTCGCTTTGTTTTGGTTGCGAGCGCTGCTCCTCGCCATACTCGATTCCGCACTTTCCTTGATTGACCCTTAAATCACCGCCGTGTCGTTCATCGTCTACTAGCCCGCTAATGTTCGGTGTTAAACGTTTCGGGTGGAAGAAGCTACTCTTCTTATTGTTTGCCTACACCTTCTGGGTGTGGAATACCTCTTGTTCCACGCACGGGCCTGCTCCTAATGACATTACTTCTGCCGGTCGTTTCACGGAGTTGACGTGCAAGAATGGATTTCAACTTTACCAGCTAATTGAGCAAAACTTGATACCTCATTGGTATAAATTCGACGCCAAATACGATGTGAGCCTGCGGTATTACGATTTTGTCGACAATTTAGACTCGAAGTACCAAATCCGTACTCACGCGGCCACAGTGAAGTATCATGCCGACATTTACTGGACGAAATCGAGATTCTACTTGGAATTGTTAAAAGTTAAGGTTGAGTACTATGTCAACATTTTGGATGCTTGGGCAAAGCCATACTACAATCGAGTCATTACTCAAGCCAATCGCTTTTATTGGGTTACTGTGGATCCTCAAATCAAAAACTTGAAGCAGAGATTCTTTCCCAACTCCATTAATGTTGGCGATGAATCGGCTGGCTTTTGGCTGCTTATCACTTCTTGGGTAGACAAGTTGAATACCAAGACGGCTCCCCTGGTGGCCGAAGACAACCCTGAACCCGAACCCATTGATCTTGTTGCTCCGGTGGAGGTAGTTGAGGAAAGGGATGAGTATGACGACGTTGAGATTGCTCCTGACAGTACTCCTGAGAGTCTCGACCTCAATGAGGATGAGGAGTGGTATGAGGATGAGACCGTTCAGGTGGTGCAAACAGTGACCGTAACGCAATCAGATACCGAAAGCGTTGAAGGTACAACCTCATTGACTAGTGCTGAATCAGAAACTCCGGCAGCTAGCGTCAAGGTAGAGACGATCATTGAAACAGTTGATGGCACCAAAGTGATCAGGGAGCGACATGTTCCTGTGGAGGTGGAAACAGTTAAGTTAGAAACCTACAATACCGACTCAGATTTGGTTGAAACCCATCAATACGTTGACCAATTGCTCAACTACTTTGCGGTCAAAGTGAACAAGACTCTTGAACTTGCTACTGAAAGTCTTCTGAGCGAGATGGAACCTCACTTACAAGACCTTTTGGATGAAGTCAAACCAAAGGCTCTGAAATTGTTACAGCAGTTTAACGCTAAGATTATGACGACCTATAAGAGGCTTAACGAGATGCTCATCGAGATAGGAAAGGATTACGAAGCAATCTTGGAACTGAATGACGCCGAATATCCTGAGCTGGTGTCGCGTCAACAATTCAGAGACAAAATTGCTGAAGCATACCAGATTGCGGAAGACATGGGACGAGAAGTCACTGCGCTTATGGCCCCTGCTCACACTAGAATTGTGAAGCAATATTTCAAGGTGTTGCAGGAAACGATCGATGTGATTGATCTGTTTGCTGATTCCACAGTGCAAGACTTCCACCGACAATTATCGGCCGCGCTTGAAGCTGCCAGCGCCCAAGCTCCCCAAGATGTTGATCAGTGGCAAGCCTGGAAACAATTTCACCGCACTAAAGAACTCATTTTTGAATATCGTGATTACTTGTATGATACTTTTGTTGAGTACCGCGATACAAAGGGTAGAGCTCAAGTAGTGGTTGGATTAGATGCCTGGCTGGATTACGTGCTGCAAATCGATTTCAGCGTTAACACCCTAGGTAACGACAATGACCAATATTTGCAATTGGTACGTGCCAAAGGGAATGTGCAATTTCAAATGAGGGAGGGTTTAGTTTCCAAGATTTTGGAGGAGGCGGCGGCTCAACCTGAAGAAATTGCTGATTCGAATGAGACGGAAACTAATGCCGACCCACTCGGTGATCTTGGCGATGACGCCGACATCGAAATTGATGAATCTGTCAACGATAATATTGACGTTGATGAGTTAGAGCAAGTTGAAGTGGGCGTTGATGACGAAGCATTAAATGCGGATGATGCTGAGATTGAGCTGGAGACGCATTGAGTGTGAAATCATCCCAACTCAGGTTAATATACGAAACTTGAAAAAAAAAAAAAAAGATTAATGTAGCTACCATTGAGCTTTATAAGAAAACTAAATCTTAACAGCGACGCAAAAAGTTTCGTCAGCTACAGGACTCGAACCTGTGCGCTCAGAGAGCATTTGATGCCTCGAAGGAATTCGAGTCAAACTCCTTAACCACTCGGACAAACTGACCTTTTTTCGAAAAATCGTTTTTCGCTTTTTTGTGTTTAACCAAATATCATGCTTATTTGCCGCTTTCGCGATAATGACTATTCGAGGAAGGTGAGTAGATGAATACAATTTGTCGCTGGGAACATTGAAAACTTACCATAACTTATTGGCTGATAATGGGCTATTGGCACAAAGTATTATTATGGTAGCCGGCTCCCCATAAACAACATAGAAAACTATAATTTTCTTGGATATACAGACTTCTCTGTGCCAACGACACCTTATCAGCCAATCCACACGCTTCAATTCTAACTATGTTACAATCAGTTTTTTACCACTGATTGCTGTTAAGCTGAGCGTTTCAAATTTAGTCTCAGCCCATTTTGTTCGTTGATAACATCCAGGAGTCCCCACACTTCAATAATTACCCCGCCACGTTGTTCGTAGCTCCGTCGATAACTCAAAATCGTGGTGATTTGCAACCTCTCGGGGTTTGTGCAGTTTCCTTTTGGAGCTTTCGATAACCGATTACGATCTCTCAGTGCAACTCAGCTCAATATTAATTTAGTCATTTGATATGAGAGAGAGAGAGCGGAATATCGTTTAACGAGCTAAGGGGTCTTGTGAGTTATGGTATCACTGGTCTCGAGACTTAACCGAGGTATACCATCCGGTTACCCGAGCCCCCAAGGGGTTATGAATGCCTGTTTTCGACCCCACGCTCTCAGGCGTGGGGCTTGGTTCTCGTTTACGTCCCGGGCTCAAGCTTGTGATAACAATCTCGACCTGCCCCGCAAAAAAAAAAAAAAAAAAAAAANGCAGAATAAGGTCACAACGTGTATCTAGGTGTTATTGGTAATAGTGATTTGTTTTGTTCTTATCGAGACGAAAGGGGAAAGTCCTCTCGTCGAGGGCGTGGTTTTTGCGAAAGGTTCGCTTAAGTTGGTCGCAAGCACATGGGGTGCTCCCGCTGGGCCGTTAGTCCGGTCCCGATAAGGAAGGGGTTGCGCCTGCTAGCGCCGGGCGAGATGAAAGTAAGCCAAAAGGGTAAAAGTCTATATGTTCACACGAATAAGCTCTCGGAGAAAAGGCGGTCAACCGTGATTGGTAGCGGATGGACGAATCATTACTCACACAGCAGCCCCCGTTATCGACAACTTTTTCTCCCCCCATCCCTAGGCGGGGGGTGCGATGTGCAGAAATCTATTTTGCTTTGGGGCCCGGGGGTGTTCTAGAAAGAAAGCAACTAGTGGCAACCAATGAAGTCATAGTGTAGTATTTACTCGGCGCCAGGAGCACCGCTTGGTCATGAAAAATCGTTTTTAGGTAACCGGTGTGGGGGGGGTTCGGGCAAGCGTTGCTCGAGGGCTGTTTTCTCCACATTTCGTCGCTATCATGGGAGGGTCGTGGATGGGTTCCCGTCGTGCGATATCAGCGATTATCAAGCGCGCTTGCCATTGGCCGATCCCGGTATTAGGAGCCCCCAGCACCCGGGTATATGTGGAACGCCTGGTGAGAAAAAAATTGCTTTTTTTCAGGACGTGTACTGCACACAGTGCTAACGATGTACTTTATATATCAACCCTCAGCGCCTCCCACTGACCTCTCCACTACGAAAGTTAGTGAACCCCCTTTTACCCCC